TGCTTTGCCATACTCTATTTTGTTTCTTGCGGAGCAAATTATTCACGCGTGTTTTTGCTAGAGCTTGAAGGCCTAGGCAACGCCCCCTGGGTATTATTTGAGGCATCGTATGCAAGTACGTAGAACCAAACTGTGTCGTTAGACCATGAGCAAGGCCTCTTCTACCCCCCTCCCCCCCCTCTTCCTCCTTTCCCCTAGAAATGACCTTGTAACAGTGCAGTGGCATGGCCTCAATACATGGACGCGCGTTTCTTTTTCATTTTTGTCTAGGACCTATTCAGGGGTACTTGTGAATCAAGTACGCGTCCGAGGGGGTGTGGTAATAGAATGTAACCTGTAGAATGTAGTGCAGTTGGTCAACAGAAATAGCGTTACGCCAGTGATGAACAAGGTAAACGATCAGTACCATGTAGGCTGTTTGACACCAAGATATCTGAAAAGAAAAAAAGAAAATAAAGCTATAGCGTGCTTTTGCTTTTGACAGATGCAGTTTCTTCTCCGCCCAGCAGAATTGGTTTCCCGCTACAATGTGATCCTCCCTTGTCCAGCTTCTTTACGTTGGCCTTTTTCTTTTTTTTTGCCACCGAGATCCTTGCCGAGGAGCTGCAAAGGCGGGGGTAAACATGAAAAACTTTGTCAAGTATTAACATGCGACAGTGATAATGTACTGCGCCGCCGTATGTCGCGTGCGAAAAGAAAATAAGGTACAAGGGCGAGTTCGTAGTCTATATTGATAGATATCTCCTTTTTTTTTTCGTACTTGTGGCGAGTGCCCAGGCTGTTCTTGTACAAGGGACCTCGTTTGGGACGAGATATTTCTTGACAAGAGGAAATAGGACTTACTTCTTTGAGCAGTTGTATGCATTCAAGGACGTAGTAGAGAGGTAAGGAGGGTAGTACATCTTCGGGAAAGGCGCAGCATCCTTCCAGATTCAGCGATCAAAAAGCATCAGAGTCGGGGTGGGCAATCTATTAATTATTATTATTATTTTTTCATGGGACATGTATTTAGATGTAGGATGCAATTATAACAAACCGTTAATGGGGGCCCGGGACAGCACAAAAGAGAAAAAACTTCAATGGTGTCCATCACTTGTCCACAGAGCAGTCTCGAGTATGTCCTTTGACGTACCATGGAATTTTTAACCATCTGAGGGTCTGGTTCTTTGTCTTCATATCCGGGAGGAACTACGTATGTGATGTGATGTGATGTGATGTGATGTGGTGTGGATCTGTTGCTTCGTTGTGCCTGAAATCGGTACCCTTGTATTCAGGACAGGCCTTTTTTTTTAACCTCAACTTTCATTCCACCGCGCATTGGTAATGAAACAAGCGCCAAAGATCTTTTTGTCCATATCATCTTGCGAACATTGAAAGTCGACCCTTATGTCCAAAAACAACAACACAGAATTGAAAAACACATTGTTAAGTCAAACCAAGATGACATTACACAAAGGTATTCAGGATAGAAGCAGCAGCAGCAGCAATCATCTGTAAGAGGGATGGACAAAGCCAGCTTGTGTTTTATTGCACATGTTGAAGAGTGATTGTTTAATCGAAGAGACCTGTAGTTTTGCAATGAAAAAAAAAAGAAAGAATAAGATTGTTAGCGAATCGTCAAATTGCCAGATAAATTGTAGTTGTACCCTTGCAGGAAGCAATTGAGCAGTAAAGAGACAGAAAGAAAACACATACCGAATCCCATGTCGTCATCAGACTCCTCCTTGGGCTCTTCCTTCTTCTCCTCGGCCTTCTCCACAGCAGCGGCAGCACCGCCAGCAGCGGCGGCAGCACCACCGGCAGCGGGGGCAGCACCAGCGGCGCCAACGTTGGACAACATGGCGGCGACGTCCTTGCCCTCGAGAGCCTTGGCGAAAAGGGAGGTCCAGATAGACTCGACCTCGACGTTGGCACCCTTCAAGAGGGTCTGAAGCTTGTCAGACTAGAAAAATAGGAGCAAGACGAAGAAAACCAGAGCTCGGTCAGCGATACTTTCAAGTCGACTGGATGGAAAAAGAAGGAGGGAGGAGTGTAATTCTTTAAAGGACGAATGGCCTTGGGTGTTGATCCAGGATGAGTTGAAAGGAATTCAGCTTCCAGATTCGCGTACTCGTCGCGATTGGTGCTTCAGGTTGCAAACTTTTTGATCAGACAGCCCTCCTGTAGCTCATGGCAAGCTAAACCCTTCTATTCTCTGTAGCAGTAGCTGCTTGTGTTCGATATGGCGTTCAATTGCTCCAAATTAAAGTCGATTGGTCTTGCCCAGTTGCAACGTCGTAAGATGTGCCACTTAAAAGTCCAGGAGTGATGATCATCCAGTGCGATCCGTTTGTCGATGCCATGGCATAGGTCGATTGAAAGTGTACGCGAAGTGCAAGAGGGATCCTCAGTATCGCTGTAGCGGTCGATCCAAGTAATCAGAATCCACAGCAGGATGTCAACCTGATCTCTGTCCTGCGTTCAAGATCATATGGGCGTATCCATCGATCTAGGTGCTATCCAGGCAACCATCCATTGGTTCTATAGATGATAATGGCTCCATCCGATGATCGTCCTGCATGTCTTGCATGATACAGGTGAATGGCGGAATGGTCTGGTCCGATACTTAACGGTGATCTCGACGTTGTCGTCGGTGAGGATCAAGGCAGCGTACGAAGTAGCAAGCTCAGAAGCCATTTTTGAGATGTGAGTAAGAAAGAGGAAGATTCAACTAAAGCACAGGGGCCAACATTTTCTTATCCAGAAAGTCCCAAACAAGCCACTACACTGTCCATTTCCCCCATTCTCCCTGGCTCCCCAGAAGGACTCAGCGGCTACGAACAGGGCCAACAACTACGGGGCGAGGGGAGGTTAGCGCTCAACTGCTTCGAAAATGCCCAGGTGGGGAACGAACAGGTCGTTCTTCGCATATTCTAGTTCATTTGTAGCCCCTGTTCAGGATCCTCTGCAGAGTAAAGATATCACCCTGAGCATACAATTGCCGCAATTAGGACTCTGGCCATTTGACTATGAGGGAGGGAGGAAGCCATGTAGGCTGGTGGGCAATATAGTGTAGCGTAGCGTGGGACATTGCGTCTGCGCGACCTCGTGGGATGTGTCGAGCCTGGATATCAAAATCAAAAGATACCTCCCGCCCGTTACTCTTTCTCTTGACCATTCGACCTCTTTTTCTCCATTCCTCATCCTCTCTCCCATTCCACTTTACGCTTCTCATCGGCTAACCCAACCAACTACACACATCACCGACTGTTTTTTTTTCTCCTGTATTCACAATGGTCTTTGCCTCTGCCGACACTGGTTTCAAGCAGGATGTCCCAGTAGTCCAGAACACTTTCCTCGAGGACCCTGTCATGACCTCAGTTCTGGAGCGATTGCTGCCTGGCAATGTCCTCAAGGAGATCACCCCGTACGTCTCCCAAAGACACACAAGGTACCCAATTGACTCTTGTACTGTAGATCCAGCACATTTACCTTTTTTTTTTTTTTTTTTTTTTTTTTGCCTTGACTATTCTTCTCAGTGATCTCATCCACATTTCCGAGTGGGCTAATACAGGTATGCCTTGCATGGTGACTGGACTATTCTTGCTGACATTTGATGATTGCGGTTAATGCGGGTACATATCTGTTAGCTACCCACTCCCCTTTGTTAAGGCTCAACCATGGAACATCTCACGCTTGTATTATGGCCACCATATGAACCTCAGTTCTTCTTCTCCACACACACACACATGCACATCGAAAACCATATCAACAATCCCAATTATGGATGGGGATCCGGATAAAATGCGGAGAACTTTTTATATTTCTCTCGATCACAACGAATTGTGGATGAGAGTCAAAAAGGTTTCGGCTCAGGGTTGCATGTGCATGTGATACTCGTGGAGTGTTGGCGTAAAAAGGAATCAAAGCTTTTTTTTTTTTTTGTTTCTTTTACCTGGCGCGCTATACTCACCTCCTGACTGCCATTGTGTCTGGGATGTTTTTCAAGAGGGTGCGGAGCTACTCAAGAGAATGGAGGACGATCAGCCCAGGCTTCGCCAGTATGACCATTGGTGCAGGTAAAGCAGCAATTGAACTAAAAATTCTCAATTTGAAACAATGATGTGGAGATTGAAAATCTTAAAGCATTTTCTCATAATCCGCTTTTTGTGGTCGATCTACGATTTTTATTATTTGTTATTATCATTTGTTTTCGTAGACGCGTCGACGAGCTGATGGTCACCGAGGCCTGGAAGAAACAAAAGGAGATTGCTGCCCGTGAGGGTGTCGTCGCCATTGCCTACGAGCGCAAGTATGGACAGTACTCACGCATCTACCAGATGGCCAAGCTGATGCTCTGGTCAGCCGGTGCTGGTCTTTACAGCTGTCCCATTGCTATGACGGGTATGTAACGCTCCTTCATCATCTCTCCAGCAACGGCAATGGAGACGGCGGGCTATTGTTCTTTTGTATTGACAGTATCATTCGTATTTTTTTTTTTTTTTTTCACACTATCACATTCTGTATCGCGTAGATGGATGTGCTCGCGTGATTGAACTCATCGGAACGCAGGATATGAAGGATCAGGTCTACTCCAGACTCACCAGGTATAGCATCGGACGCAAATTAATACTCTGCGAACAGCGTCTGAATATAACTCCATGCGTACCTCCCTCCCGCCCCCATGCTAAACCTGATTACTTTGTGCACCCTAGCCGCGACCCTTCTGACTTTTATACCAGTGGCCAATGGATGACGGAGCGTCCAGGCGGAAGCGATGTTGGCCGCACGGAGACACAGGCTGTTTGGGACGAGGAGAAGAAGGCATGGTCGATTTCTGGATTCAAATGGTTCTCCTCCGCCACGGACGCGGACGTGACTATGCTTCTTGCCAGAACACACAACCCCGATCCCGTGGTCGCTCCCGGTAACATGAAGGACGGCAGCAGGGGCCTGTCGCTCTATTTGGCAAAGGTCCGTGATGATCAGGGCAAGTTGAATGGCGTTCGCATCCATCGCTTGAAGGACAAGGTTGGAACTAAGGCCCTGCCGACGGCTGAGCTCCAGCTGGAAGGAATGATTGCTCAACAAGTCGGTGAAAGCTACCGTGGTGTGAAGAACATCTCGGCTATATTGAACATCACCCGCATTTACTGCGGTATGAACTGCACTTCTACCATGCAGCACTTGCTGCTGCAAGCCAAGGAGTATGCGCGCCGTCGCGAGGTAATTATACAAGAACGCAACGCTTTTTTTTTTATTGTAAATGGAGAATGTATGGTTGGTTGGCAAATGCTAATATGAGATTATTATTCTTCTTTTTCTTACCATGCTAGGTCTTCGGAGAACTTTTGAAGGACCAGCCTCTGCATCTTGCTACGTTGGCCAACATGGAGCTGCAATATCGCGCTACCAGCCAGTTTACGTTCTACTGCGTGGCCATGCTCGGCCGCATCGAGACGTTGGACAATAACTTGTCAGAGATCTGCAACCGTGACATCCCACTCCTCCGTCTCCTGACACCTATCCTGAAGGTCTGGAGTGCCAAGAATGCCTTCTATCTTTCTCAAGAGGCGATGGAGAGCTTTGGCGGGCAGGGATACATGGAGGAAACTGGAATTGGCCGTGCCATGAGGGATGTCTTGGTGAACACGATCTGGGAAGGCACCTCCAACGTCCTGTCGCTGGATGTGCTCCGCGTTATGGCCGAGACTGGAGGAAGTGTTCTCCAGGTGTACTCTGATGTATGCATTTTACGACGAAAAAAAAAAAAAAAAAAAAAAAAAAAAGATATGAAAAGTCAAATTCTTCAAACTGACCCCATTTTTTGTTGCTTACAATCATAATAGGCTGTCCGTGGTATCATGGCACCTTTGAGGTCCCAGCCTCAGTGGGTCAAGTCCGCCAAGAGTCTGGAAGAGTGCCTGGTCCTGATTGCGATCCGGTTCACGTCCTATTCGACGCCCGAGGGTCGCAAGACGCTGGAGGCATCTGCGCGAGGTCTGTCGTTCGCGATGGCGGATGTGATTGCAGGTGCGCTGATGTGCGAGCATGCCGCCTGGTCCGAGGCCAAGGCCAAGGCTAATCCGTCGGATAGTCTTGCGGCGGCGGAGTCCAATGTGGACAGGATCTCTGCGCAGAGATGGTGCGAGGAGCTGTACCGTCGTGTTGACTGCCAGATCCAATCCCTGGGTCGGGACGAGAGGTACGAGCAGGACCAGCAGATGCTGTTTGCGCTTGCAGATGCACGCAGAGGCGCTTCCGCCAAGACGGATGGATCCTCTGGACAGTCGTATGGCGTCGCATCCAAGCTCTGAAAAAAAAAAGGGAGCCAGATAGACTGAGGGTGATATGCAAAATAAACATAAAACAGGAAATCCCGAGGTGTTTTTCTACACAGATGCATGTTGTATGGGGATGTGAAACATGTATGCGCCCACAAAGAAGACATTTCCTCCCGATACAGGCACCCGGCACGTAAGTGGAGCAGAACCATCACCTGACCCCATGGGATGCGATGCCGATGTCGTTTTCGTGTCCAAGGAAGGGAGGAGGGAGGAGCTGGAGGATTTGCTTCTTTAATCCCTTTTCGCTTTCTTTCTTCTTTTCTTTTTCCCCCACGTACTGCTGCTCCCACCAAAACACTACCAACGATGATTGCTCCCGTCCAGAACCTGCTCGCGTATGTATTCCACAAACACAGCGCCCACTCATTCTTGACTTTTAGGACGGGTGACGGAATCACTCTCGTTCATCTCTTCTTCCGGACCCTCATTCCGAGTTTTCCGAATTTGCGTGTTTTTTTCAACTTGGAGCTCGGTCATGGACTCTAAATGAAAATTCTCATGAAAGAACAAGAACAAAAAAAAAAAAAAGCCCTTCTCACACTAGGTCCGAGGCTATCAACTCGTCTCTAATAACAAAATCCAGACTGACCGGCTTCTTATTTTTTTTATTTTTTTTTATTCATCCATGGTACATATCTTCTATAGTAAGGACATGCTCACCCATATCGGGATCGCTCTCACTCTCGGAGGGTAAGGGGATTTTGTGCGGTCATGTTTATGGTTGAGGACATTCGGTCATAAATTTCTACGGAAGGAAGTGCTTCGAGCGCAAAGGATCGACACGACCCGAAGGGCTCATAGAGACGACAAAGAACAGTCCGCACCAGAAGCATCGAAAGGAGCGAAGAGGACTGGATTGAAGGCTTCAGTGGGATGGTCGCAGCCAGCAAAAGCAAAAGCAAAAGCAAAAAAAAAAAATTGGACCAGCGAGACATGTCTCATGAGTGGATTTATTTTCTTTGTTTATTCGTTCAAAGGAAGCGAGTTATTCTCAAGGAGGAAAAGGAAATATTGGATGGCATGGCAGTTGGTGCTGGATCGGATAGGATGGAGTACATGAAAACGCATGAAAAAAAGGTCTCGATTCGCTCACCAATACTGTTCTACCACGCTCTTTTTTTTTTTTTTTTTTTTTTTTTTTTTTTGGTATTCCTCTCTGCATGAAATTTAGCGCTACTGCCTATACCTTCTGGCACAAGAAGGTACTCGCAGACCGTGAGTTGCGCCATCAGTACTACATCAAGGTGCACGCCAGCAAGGACCTTTAAACAGGACGGCAATTGATCAATTGCATGATGGATTATCCAACCTTCATCTACCGCCGCCAATGTCGTTACAGCGCATGTATCACACTCTCCTCTCTTTTTTTTTGTTTGTGGCCACGTTGGGAGCCAGTATGGTCAAAACGAGGAAAACACTTAAAATAAAATAACACCTAAAAAAAAAAAAAAAAAAAAGCAAAAAGCAAAGGAAGAGAGCAAAAAGAATAAACCACGGACCACCAATGTTCTAGAATGATGGCTTTTTATTGGAGGAACGCGTAAATGAGAATCAGGAATGTATGCAAAGTATGTCTCCACTGACACATGGAGGAGAGAAAAGCATTGCGAAGAAGGAAAGGAGATAATGCGGTTGAGACGGAGAGGATCCTTTGGTGCGACTGTGCAGGGATGGGAAACGAAGACCGTTTGCCATTGGGCGAGAGAGAAACCGTCCGGCGACGACAACAACAACAGCAGCAGCAACATCAACAATAACAACAGTAATAATAACGATAATAATGATAATAACGATAACGACGATAATAACAACGGCAACAGCAACAGCAACAGCAACAGCAGCAGCAGAAGCAGCAGGAGGGAGGAGCCAGACAGGGCAAGCATGCAGGCATACAAAGCGGCAAAGAGAGAAAGAAAGTTCAAAATTCGCCCGGCAGTCTATGAGGAATAGAGTTTGAGTTCGGAAAATAAGGGCCCTATCGATATCAAATGCAAGAAGACTCTGTACACTCTGTACACTCTGTGCTGATTACTCATACGGTCCTGTATTCCCCTCATCCCATCCATCGCTCCCCCTCCCTCTCTTCTTTAATTCTTCCTTCACCTTCCCTCTCTCTCTCTCTCTCTCTCTCTCTCTCTTTACCTCCTTCTCTCTTTCTCTCTTTCTCTCTTTCTCTCTCTTGAACACACACATACACATATACATACACACTCACCCGCCCAAACACATAAAGCACCCTTGCATCCACCACACGCCACCAACTCCCTCACTCTTTTATTCTCTTTATTATCATCGCCGATTAATCTCGCATACATCTTCGCAGTCAACAAAACAGGGCCCTTCCAAAACAACGTCCACCAACGAAAAGCATCGGAGATAGCTGTGTCCGCCACCAGCAACAGCACTAGCACCAACACTAGCGTCCCCCATCCTCGCGACCACTCGCACACTCCCCCCTCCCTTGCAGCCAGCTTCTATTAAATTCATTCATACGCTTCATTTTTCCTCGTTTCCATTCCCATCCTTCTCCACTCGCTCGTCCCCCTCCCCCTCCTCCCCTCGCCTCGCCTTTTGTACATATAAACAATCCCCCCCCCCCTTCCCGCCCACTCGTCCTACGCACATAATACTCCATCATGACCGTCTCCCTCCTGCCAGACCGACTCTGCCTGCTGCGGTTCCCTCGCGAGGACCTCGAGATCTGCAGCCATGCCATCCTCAAGCACATCCTCTTCCGCGACTACAGGTGTGTGACAACATCCCCTCATTCTTTGCCACCAACTTTAACTTCTCTCCCTCTTTCTCTCTCTCTTTCTTTTTCATATCACTCAGTCTGATCCAAACACCGACAACATTTGTATATAAAAAGAGTCAGCGCAGAATCATTAGCCGCAGATAGACAAGGAGGTGCTCTCGAGGAAGAGGGAGAGTTTCCTTGTCTACATCTGATCGACTTGTTTCCCCTAACGTATGACCGCATCCTTATCTTCTTGTCTAGCCATTCACATAGAGAGCATCGCAAAGACCCCCTCTTTTCCTACATCGACAATTCACTTGAGATCTCCATTTTCGGGGACGCAGATGACATCTCACGAGATTTTGTGAAGGAACTCTGCCCGAGAATCGAGATCTCGGATCATATTTATCGTGCGCTGCAGGTCGATAATGGTTAGTCCGTTCGATCCATACCCTTTATTTGTCGATTGCGATTGTAGTCAAGAGGAAGAATAACTCACACCCGATTTTGTACACTGTGACACTCTCTACATACTGCTCTCGCGCCATGCACCCTATCATGCATTATGATTACGCGTGCGAAATGCTGCAGACGATAGTTTCAACTCTTCAAGGATGTGCACGATTGTAGAGCCATTGGCTAAGGCTGGAGGTACGTGTCCTATATGTCCTATGTACAAAACAACGTTTTTTTTTTTTTTTTTTTTTTTAACTCGGGGTTTGTTTAGATGGGCATGGAAGGTGGGATGTGCCATGGAAAGAAAGGAAAATAGGGAGATGAGTGCATGGAGGAGGTACATGGTGGAGGAGATGCATTGCATTTATGAGAGATGTATCTTCGCAGCTGCAGGAGCAGAGGCAAAGTGGGCGCAACAGTAAGAGGCGGGGGAAGCACGAGCGAGAGATAGTAAAGCTCTCTCTTCTTTGGCCTGTGGCATGTCCATGGTTGCATGAAAGATGAACGGGATTTATTTGGTATGTGTGTGTGAGCAACAAAGAGACCAAAGAGACGCAAGGCCACCTTGCAGCTCTTATGGATAGAGATGGAAATCCCTCATACATTTGCATGCATGCACATCTATGGCAAGGAAAAAAAAGCTCCTAGTGGTCAATAGCAAACGTTCCACACAAACAACCTGCAAGATGGATCACCGCGGGATGGACCCAGGAGTGGAAATGAAACGCGACGATCTTTTTTTTTTATCAATCTTTATGGTTTGTCACATTAAGGTTCTTTTTGGTTAGCGTGCACCGGCAACGGACTACCGGAAGCCCATCTGCCGCTGCCTGTTAGAGTTTTTTTCTTTTTCTTCTTCTCTGACTCGACGAACTTTGCTATCCATGTGTTTCCTATATCCAACCTGCATCCGGAGATCGGACGGAAGGGAGATGCTAATTTGTAGAGGAATATCGGGGGGAACACCAATCACCAGATAAAAAATATCAATCTATATATGCGCTAGTGTCCAGAGCAACGTTGCACAGGAAGGAAGCAGCGTTCAAATCTAACGTGTTCTCTCTACTCCCTATCCTAGTTTCTATCTTTTACATGAGCACGTACCAAACAGACCTGCTCTTTGTATGTTCAGCGCTCAATCTAGGACATATGGTTTTTCTTTACGTCTCGGCTACACCAACAGCATCCTAATCTCGCTCTAATTGTACCCTTTTAGGTCCAAGAAAACCGTCTGCCTGTCGTCTTTACAACACTCTCGAAACATGGCCTCCACATGGCACTGGACGAGGAAGTCGGGACCACGCCGCCACACACACCCATTCCTGATCAACTTCATTTCTGGAAACGCGGCATGCATGACATCGAGGAGGAGGAGCACCACGATGAGCAAAGTGGCGATGAAAAGGCACAGTATTCAGCCGCTACGGACTCGCGTCATGTCACAATGCACTCTGAATTCTCGCTGGCCACACCACCTGGATCCAGAAACTCAACCAGCGATCACGAGGACGTGGAGAATACTGTGCAAGTGGACACAATAGATGGGCTGGCTAGGCAGCTTATGCCCCTGGATATCGTTTCGGCGCAGCAACATGGAAGAGGAGCTCCGACGTGGACATCCGCGGAATCTGCAGATATTGACGCTGAATATGGTGTTAGACTTGAGCTGCTCAAGGCGTCCCCAACTACAACCACAGCATTTGAACTTCGACAGCAGGCGGTTCGAACGCTGCCTCAAAACAGTCTCCGCTGCGTCGGTCTGAACACTGACCTGGAAGCAGGGCATCAACCATGGATCCTGAAGGTCATCAAGATTCTTTTCTACCACGACGAAATCAAGAAGGAGGCCATCCGCGCCGGCAGAGGGTATGAAACGGTCTTTGAAGCAGGAAACAAATTGTCTCGAGGAAATGCAAACCGGATGTGGCTCAACTAACGCTGTACTTATGCTTTGTATGCCGATCTAGGCCGACGCACGATGCACCACGGTTCTTTTCCTTTACCGCGACATCAGAGTGTGTCTCCATGATTACGGACACTTACATCTTGGAAGAGTTTGAGGAGCATGAATTGTTTATGGACATGGAGACACATCCTCTCCGACTCATCCAGCTGGATCTGCATCGCTTTGGCCTCGGTTAGTGCTCTATGCAACTCCCTCGACAATAGGTACCTGTTTGCCACTGCAACCAAAATACTGATGGAAATTATCCGCTGCCTGCTTTGACCTTTTATTAGACAAGTATGGTATTATCCACTCTGTCGCAAGGCTATTGACGGAAGCAGGGATCGACTTGCTGTACCTGAGTACGTTCAGTACCGCCAATATTTTAGTGGTCGAACACCGACTCTCTGACGCGGAAAAGATCCTTAGCGGCAGTGACGCTAGTACGTCCCAGGAGTCTGAATTTGAAGAAGGATGTGAAGGAGACGACGAAGACGATGAGAGTTCTTAGTAAAGAAATAAAGGGCAAATGCCTGACCTTCTATAACTACAAAAAAAAAAAGGTGGTTTGGCTGTAACAAAAAAAACAGGGATGTGTCTTTACTCCTGAGGTTTTATCCCTACGAAGGGGGGAGGGTTAAGAAAAAAAAGCGTTGTCCTTGACCACGATACCTGTACTCTTCGGACGGGTCCGCACCATGTCCCCTCTTCGGTTCCTCTCTTTGTCCTCGGTTGTACTCATCTCTCCTCCTTACTCTCGACCACCCCGCGTCTTCATACTAAACAAGTTGATACAATGTATACACTCACTCGGTTACGGATCGTGTTTGGACAGAAGCCGATAACGCCTTCCCCGTATATGGCCGTGGGGGGTTTGATATTGATGCACGGACTCTGACTGCAGAACAGGGTCTCAAACCGGATAAACAAAAGTCAACCCGGCTTTTTAGAGATCAGCTCGGGCAGAACGGATCTACAGGTCTGCTCTGGGACTATCTTTTATGTCGACAACAGCCGCATCTGCAGAGGACAAAAAAAAAGCAGGTGTTTATTATGAGGAAGCTGGCGAGGCAGCACGTGGAAGTCGAGTTATTGTTGTTGTTTTTTTGTTATGCTGGAACGAAAACTATGCCCTTGGCTCCATCCTCATAATAAGAGGTCGTTCTTGATGTACGACTTCTTCGATGGCAAGGAATCTTGTCCTATGCACAGGTAACTGGCAATATCGAATGCATAGCCTCTTCTATCCAAGCCAGCCAGCGGCTGCAGCTCAGCTAAACTACGGGAGATAACTACGAATACTAAGATGTTCGATATATCCTCAAGGTCCTTGAACAGTGGCTGCACTTACACGTATTTATTCTGAAAGGAAGGAAGGAAGAAGCTTGTGAGGAGTAAAAGGGGACTTTTTTTCAATTTGCCCTTAGAAGCCGCTTTACTACTTTTCATGGTTTACTTTAGCTGCTGCGACCGCACAGCGCACAGTCCTTCTAGACTAGACTTTGGAGGACGACAGGTGTGACCCCCAGAGCCCTTGACTGAGTTAATGTCTAAGAAAAAAAAAAAAAAAAAAAAAAAAGAGCGCTTGGACGTCTAGGGGAAGTCGCTTGGTACTCCATGCTGCATTTGCATTTCAGGTTTCTTTCGACCCCCTTTTTCAAGACACTGCTTGGGTTTGAAATAGAGTTTCGACGCGTGCTTTTAAGGTTCGTAAGACAGATCGCGTCGAGCCCGATCCAATGAACACGGTTGTTGGCGAGATGGATGGCCAATTGTTACATTGGTAACAGGTAAAGGGCGCGTGTCCCTGTTTATGCAAAACAAGTGTAGTGCGGGTTTCTTTTAGGGGGGCGGGGCACGCCATGGTCTCTACAACAAGCACCACTTTGGGTAGCATCCCCCTCTCCCTCCCTCCCTCCAGTCGTTTGATGCCTTCACATCCCCCTTCCCTTGGTTATCCTTCTAGTCCGTATCCCACTTACTCGATGTCCAGATCGCCTTCGTTTTCGTTTTTTTTTCTTTTATGATCCACAGCGCGACGCAAAGGCTCTCCTTCTTTCACCCTTTATCAGCTAACCTACCTGTTGTCAATCACATTTCACATTGCTGGACGTGCCTTTCTCCCTCAGGGGATTTCTATAGTCAGGAAGATAGATGATCGGAGATGACACTCGAGCCATTCGACGATACATCTGTTCTGTAGCGAAGGGCCTAGTATGACCCTTGGGCAGGAGATTACAAGAAAAGAAAAGAAAAAAAAAACTAGAGAGATTATTTTGTGCATGCGAATGATCTAGGTGCGCGACTATACTTTCTGCTTCATGATCGAGTTGATATACTGCGCCCCTCACTTGACAATGATCCGAATCGTTACCAACATTGCTTGTGTTGCGGCAATGATTAGTATGGTTAGTGAGTGTTCTGTTACTGACAACAGTAGTGAATCAAGAGAAAGAAGAAGAGGAAGCGTGTTACAGGAAGATCAAGTGCATGGGAACTCAATCGAGTTGTTACTACTTGACGGAGGAAAGCAGGAGAAGTAGGAGCAGGCTCTTACACGGTGGGGGGTATCATTACTGTCGACGGAGGACGCAAATGATATTGATGGTGATGGATCCGCAAAAAGGATATGAAGCGGGACGGCATTAAGAGAAGTATATGTTAATGAACGCTAAGCGAATCAGCCATATTACGCGAATGCGTTGTGTGGCTATGCTGTGCGTGGGATTGAGACGCGGACCCAGTTTCAATGCCTTACGCCTATTGGGACTAACAAATAAAGCAAGAATAAATATTGGAGGACCGAGCACATTTTTGCAGGCGAAGGCGGAGGGGACAGGAGGAGGAAGGAGGAGAAGGAGGCCGATGTGTTTCGATTATCAATCTTCTACTTTGTATTTTGAAGAACCCGAAAGGCGCTGGGAGGGGGGGGGGGGGGGGGTCGAAGCGCGCTCATCCAATTGGTGTATGGGAACCGATATCTGACTATGCTTTTTTTTTTGGGTTCATTAGGGTTGGCCCTGAGGGAGAGATGAACCCAATTTCACACACACAAAGACCGCATCTCGATGATACACTCAAGCACAATGATGAAGTTGAGGGTTTGCGGGGCACAGAGCATGGGCTCTGTTTGTTTTGCCTGTTTGTTTTGTATTGTTTTGTTTTGTCGGTTGGTTGATTGTTTGTCTGCTCTGTTTGTTGTTCTGTTGATGAAAGGCAAGTAGGGCAAAAGCAGGCACGCGGGCCATTTGCGAATGATGGGTTCATAGGCCTGGCACTGTTCCCGGGCTGCTCTTCAGATCCTAAATCTAAAACAACAACAAACAAACAAAAAAAAATGAGCACCTGGCTGCTGCTGAGCAACGGCGGAATAAAAAGAAGGAAGATCCGGTTTGTGGTGTAGTCTATGTAGTCTATGTGGCCTACATGTGTGTAGGTGGAAGGGGATCTTTTGTCTTTGTTGCTTTGTTGCTTTTGTTTCCTGCCGGTGGATACCTCTGAATGCAAAGCATTAGGGGGGGAAGGGGGGTGTGGTGTGCTGTGTGCTGTTGCTTCTTTTGTTCCCTTTGTTGTTTTTTCTGGTTCTTGCCATTTCTTGCTTTTACAGTGCCGAGGGGCAGTTGGGATGGCATACCACACATGCATGGGCTACCACAATAGATTGACGGTCCATATTTGTGTACAGTATGGCATGAACAATGTGTGCCAAAATAGACCTGTGGAATATAGAAAGGATAGAATAGGATAGAATAGAATGCTACAAAATAAGAAATAAAACGACGATCGAGAACACGAAATGATTTGCTGCAGGCGGTGCCAATCTGAGCAAAGATGTCATTTGCCCCTAACCTGGATTATCCACTCTCTTCTTTCCCTCCCACGTTTGAACTGCCCGTCGTCCATCCTCCCACCACTGCCCGCTCCTGCTGGGTCACACCCTTCCATCTTTCCTTTCCTCACTCCTCGTCATCAGCCAATTCCCCTGCACCGGCTCCATCTCTCTCTCTCTCTCCCTCTCTCTCCCCATCAACCTCACCTTCCACCCCTCCTCCCTCCCCTCCTCTGCAGACTCAAACCCTCCTTCTATCATTTATTCAGGTAGGCTACACTCGGTAACATCACATCCACCAACCAGAAATCCCCGATCAGTCGTTTTGAGGAGACACCCCACCCAGCTGTGCAATTCAACGACCCAAAACACACAGATCGGAACAAAGAAAAAAGAAAGAAAAGAAAAGAAGGAAAAAAAAAAAAAAAAGGATGGTGGTTCAAGATGCAAAGCCACCCCAGGAACCCCTTTCTTCTTCCTCTCGCGACACTCAACCATCGCCACGGTTTTCATCATGCTCGCCAGTGTTCTGATTCATCTCTTCTGATTCACACCTCGTCATCCCACTCTTCTTTCTCCTTCCCAGGATCATCTTTTGGCGTGTCTTCCCTAATTTCAACAGCATCAGTTTGCCTTTTTTTCATCTTCAGCTCTTTCAGGAATACAACCAACAGGCAGTAAACCGTCAGGGAGGATCGAGCCCAACATCATTACTACCGAATAAAATAAAAAAAAGTGCCCTTCATCGCGATCCCTTCATTCCTAAATGTCGGGAATATACAACCATCGCCCTATGGTTCCTGGCCGTAGTGCCGGTGTGCCTGAATGGCTCGATCTCATCAAGCAAGAGTTCGACAGCTTGAGTCACGAAGCTATGGTCGCCAAAGCACAGCGCGACGAATGTGAACACAAGAGTAAGTATTAACACGCGTGTCTCTCCAAACGCGATCTGATTATCGTTTCTATTCAATGCTTCTTGTCGTCGTTGGGACAACTCCATTGATGCAGAATAAGCCAGCAACGCGTCTAATGTCTCTCTTTGTCGTGCTTATGAAAAAATAAAAGTCAACAACCAAATCCAAGAAATGGACGCCTTTCGAAGAGCTCTGTACGAACTCGAGAGGAAACACGAATCCATGAAGAGCCAATACCATATGTAAGAACCTATGTTTTAAATGCTTGGCTGTTTGATTGGTATTAAGCGTGCATGGGTCGTACTGAGAGCAATTTCCTGCAAATGCTGAAGAGCAGTGGAACTAAAATGGCTGACGTTGTATTGGTATTTTAATCGACGCGAACCTTGTATTGATATTATTAGGGTAGAGGAAGAGGTTGTACGACTGAGACGCGAGGTCGAGCAGCGCGGAGGAGTCGTTCAACTGCCACACCAAATGTCGCATACTCAACCGCCCCCACCCAACATCGGACACGGTCAATCGAATCTCTTCGGGAACATTATTAGTGGAGGCCCTGGGGGTCCTGGCTTGATTGCGCCGCCTCAGATGGTCGATCCCTCGCAACAGCAGCAGCAACAACAACAGCAGCAACAGCAGGCCCAACAGCAACAGCAGCAACAGCAGGCTCAACAAACTCAACAGCAGCAACAGGCTCAGCAGCAGCATCATATGCAGCAGGTCCAGCATCATCAACAGCAACAGCATATGCAACAACAGCAGCAGCAGCAGCAAGCGCAGCAACAGCATCCTTATGGTGGACCAAACATGCCTCCTGGACCAGGAGGATCTCACTCGCCTTATTTGAACGGAAGTAATGGTCTGTCTCAACAAGGCCAGCCCCAGCCAAAGCGATTCAAGACCGAGAGCGATGGAACTCGTTTCAAGACGGAGGGAGATGTTCCGTCACCAGGCCCTTCTGGCAGTATGTACGGAAATATGTCGCCTAACGCTCACGGTAACCCCAACGGACAACCTGCAGGAGTGGGTCCTGGTTACAATTCGCCTGTCCCACCACCATCCTCAAAGCAGCCTGCCAAACCTGGAAAGGTATACCTTTGTTCTCTACCTGTTTCTTTTCTTTTTCTTTTTCTTTTTTTTTGTCACTGTATCGACAAATTACTGACAGTTTTATATTTATGCATGTCTTTAGGGAGGCGCATATGTTCAGGCAAAGGAAGAAGCTGGTTCTCCGGCAGGGTCTGCTAACAACAAGCGGAAATCCGGCGTAACTTCCTCGACCCCAACTACTGTGGCCCGTACAGGAAGGGGAGCCAACACGCCTTCATCCAACTGGAGCGATGATCCCGATAACGTCCCACCGCAATTGAAGCGCGAGGGTCCTGACTGGTTTGCAATGTAAGCCGCATGAGGATTTGTTCTCGTAAGCAAAGGACGTTGCAACATCTCATGACCCACAGGAACCGCAGCTAATTGTCATTGCCTTTACACCTATTCTCTCTTAGTTCGAATCCCAAAGTTCCGCAGCAATTGAAGGTTGATCTTGTTCACACAATGGAACACACCAGGCAAGTTTTGACCCAGTCCAATAATGACGGCTACATATGATCTTGCATAGGATATGACGCACTCTCGTCATTGTGGATCACTAATGAAAGATGATTTATGTCTGTTATATGTACAGTGTGGTTTGCTGTGTCCGGTTCAGCGCCGACGGCAAATACCTTGCTACAGGATGTAACCGCAGTGCCCAGATCTTTGATATTCAGTCAGGCCAGAGCGTTTGGTAAGCCGATGCAGGAGGGTCGCGGAATTTCCTTCTACCGTGTTTGACTGGACAGCGGGCAGGGCTGTTGGACTAATCTTCCAAGTGTTTTTATTGGATAGCGTTCTTGCGGATGACACTGCTGGAAAGGATGATCTTTATATTCGCTCGGTTTGCTTCAGTCCTGACGGAAAGTTCCTTGCTACCGGTGCCGAAGACAGGCAAATCAGGGTATGTTTGGTCGCCATTGGCATTCTCTAGCTCTGACAAAACATCGAAGAAATCACTAATGCCCCTGCTTGGGATTATTCATCATTAGATTTGGGAAATTGGTCGCAAAAAGATCCGCATGATATTGAAGGGCCATGATCAGGATATTTACTCATTGGACTTCTCGCGGGATGGGCGGATTATTGTTTCGGGATCTGGGGATCAGACTGCGCGCGTGTGGGACATGGAGACCGGCAAATGTTTGTTCGTCCTGACAGTAGGCGATGCAAATATCAAGGACGCCGGCGTGACCTCGGTTGCTATTTCACCGGATGGTCGTCTTGTTGCGGCTGGATCACTGGACCGGATGGTTCGTGTCTGGGACACTCATTCTGGTCAATTATTAGAAAAGTTGGAGGGACACAAGGACTCCGTTTACAGCGTTGCATTCGCGCCCGATGGCAAGACCCTTGTCTCTGGAAGTTTGGACCGCACATTAAAATCATGGGATCTCGGTCTTATTGGCAGAAATGGACAGAATGGTGCAGCAAGGGGCACGATATGCAAGGCAACGTTCAACGGACACAAAGTAATGACTCGTCAATGTATTGCATCCAGCTGACTGGAATCGATCCTTACATTGAACTGTGCTGACCTTGTTTTTGTTTTTTATTTTTTATTCTCAGGATTTTGTGCTTTCCGTTGCCGTTTCTCCAGATGGCAAGTGGGTCGTCTCTGGCTCTAAGGATCGTGGAGTTCAGTTCTGGGACCCTAGTACGACAGCAGTTCAATTCATGCTTCAAGGACACAAGAACTCAGGTATGGACTGCTCTTCGTCATACCGCGATTCGACTTTACATGTCCATCTACAACTCACTAACCATGGTTGCGTCTCGATATCTATTTCGCATAGTTATTTCTGTTGCCCTGAGTCCAGCCGGTACATACTTTGCCACTGGTTCAGGCGATACCCGTGCCCGTGTTTGGAGTTACGAGTCCACCCAGGAATGATATCAGTAGTAGTAGTAGATAGAGTTGTCTTGCTTTTTCTTTTGCCTCTCTCAGTCGAGACGTAAAACAAATGGCGGCAAGGGAACCACACTGCGATGTATTTTTTCTCTTCTTTTTTCTTTTTTCCTCCTTTCAGCTTGTTTTTCGTCTTGTTTGCATTATTAAAAAAGAATGTTTTGTGAACCACTCAGCTATTTTTTTGTGGACGGTGCTTCTTCGAACGCGATTCCAGCCACAACCTTGATACCGCCATACCTTTTTTCAAACCGGGGTCAAGACCCTTCAAGCTGGCCCTCACTTCTTCTCATGTCACGACGAGACATTGCAGAGATTCTCGAACGACTCTCTCTTGACCACCGAACATCGCTCGCAGAAAAGGCATGCGCCTACCTTCAGGCCGTGGACTCCAATGGAGGGATCAAAAACCACTCGAGCCATGCAGCTATTTGCGTCGACATTGCAGCCGAGCAGTAAGGGAACTGAAAGAGAGCACATGGAGGGCCTGTTTGCGGAGGGGCGTTGGCGTCAACATACTCATAGAGACATTGCTTCCCTTTAACGTATGTAATATAGATTATCGATAGAGGTGTCACGTCAAGCCTTGATCCGTCTTTCAGGGGCAGCGTCGCCCTCGGCCTACAGCAGCACTCTGGAGGCGCTCTCTCGATATTTGACAGGGAAATCCAAACACAACAATACACACAGCACACGATCGGCTAGTCAACCGTCCACGCAATTGCATCTCAGTGGTAATTCGAGGCATGCACAAATGCAACAGCTATTATCCAGCACTTCGCAAACATATTTACGGCAGATGGCAGTTCAATATGGGTCTATGGAGCTGGAAGAGTTGGTTTTGGAATTGCTGGAGCTCTTCTTTGAGTCCTGGATCAAAACGCTGGCGCCTGCGCAGCGCATTCATGTCAAGTACTCGGATGCGAAGTGGGTCGGAGCCGGGTTCTGGTTGTGTGCGATGGCGCGAAACATGACGGCGGGCAAAGCTGAAGAGAAGGCAACAACTGTCAAGAGGATCGGAGGACGTGGGGGCAAGGAATTGAAGGACTTGATCTTGACGGCGGTTGAGCATAAAGTCAAGAAAACAGAACTTGACAACACTATTCGGTTAATGGAGGATACGTGCCAGGAATTCTTGTTATCGCTGCGGAAACCCAAGGGAGGCAACGCTTCTGCACCCTCGACCCCCAGGAAACGAAAGGACTCGAACAATAGCGACAGTGGTGCTAGTCTGGTGGATATCGTGATACCCATGCGAGGAGGCGTTGATGTACAAACGACAGCGACAAATACGGACATGCAGGAAAGTGGTGTTAAGGAAGGTGACAATCCCTTCCTTGTTAACAAATCAGCCCCGACATCTCTCAGGAGGCCACGCGAAGAGACGCAAGATCTGAGTATTTACGGAAGACTGGGCACGAAACGACAAATCTCGAATGTCAGTCAGATGTCCCTGCTGTCGGATGGTGATGATTTGGAGCAGGACCAGGCAGGAGAGGCTATTGTGACCACAGGAAGAGTAGTAAAACCACCGTCCAAGCGGAAAAAGCTAGATTCGCAGGATGTTCAATTGTCATCTGCAGGTATCATGAGCGCTAAGAAAGGTGCAGCGCCTAAAAAAGGCTTGAAGGAGGCAGCCGCTTCATCTCAAGAAGCGAGCCGACTACTGAATCAGCGGCGTAAAACAGGCGTCTATAATATGGTAAAGGACGAGCTGGGGGTTTCCATTGGACTTCATGCTGTACTTTTTTTTATTTTTATTTTTTCGCGGCTGCATTCTAACTTCAGTGCTGTACTGTGTATAGATCCCACGGGTCAGGTACGAGAATACAAGAGCGTTTGCTCAGTACCAGGAATGGAGGGATCGAATTCTCAATATGCTCGGGTCTACAGGATGACAATAAAAATCAAATTGCAAGCTTATACCGCCACTATACAACGTGTGCCTACGCCCTGAGACATGTGCTGGAATGAAAGTTTATGACAGGGGGGCGAGCGAATCAAAAATCATGAACAGATTGCCACCAATTTGGTGTAAACAGATAACCGTTCCCACTTTCAGTCTGTTGTAATCAACATCCCTGCAGACACTCGACATTCTGATCGCGACTAACGTGGAGCAAGCATCAATGACCCAGCCTGGAGTCGACACAATGTCCGAGGCATCGTCCTTTGTCAGCCAAGGAAAAACACATCTGATCCTGTGGGCACTAGCAGAGGAATATATCGACCAAGCGCGGGCCCTGTGCTTCGTTGCCACCACTCAGCCCGATTCTCAGCCAAGTTGGCGAGAGCATCACCAGGATCTCATTTTCTGCGCTATTAAATGCCTTGTGGCTTCCACCTCTCTGGACTCGCTGGCGATGACCCAGCTGGACAAGGCCAAGTCACGCCTGCGGTTAGCCCAGATCTTGTTTGACGAGACTGATAGTCTGGAGAGATCTCAGGAGGAAGTCGACAAAGCGGTAAGGGGTTTCCTTGGCCGTTCCGACGAGAGCGCCATGTGGATGTGCACAAATTACTGACAGTGTTTTATTTGTATTTGCATTTGCATAGATCGTTATTGCAGACGCTGTAAGCGGACATCGTTGATTATGCCATTATGGAATGCAATGCGTTTTGTGAAACCTAGCACTTTAACGAGATCCTCTTTTTTTTTTTTTTTTTTTTTTTTTTTCCAACTGTAGATCCAAGGCTCTGCAGCGCTAGATATCCAACTGCGATTATACGATCTACAGATTCAAATCTATATTGAGTCGAAAAGGTTCAGACTGGCCAAGAACACACTGAAGATCGCGATGAAAGAAGTAGCCGGGTATGCGCATAGGTTCTAATGAGCATGCAGGAGCATATGGATCAAATGGGCCATACTGACAGACTACCTTTTGCCTACTTCATATAGACAGGAGCTGCATTGGTGGATATATCACTTTTATCTCGTCAAGGCTCGTGTGCACTTTTTGATGAACGATGTCGCAGGAAGTTTGGCCATTTTGAATCAAGGAGCAGCATTAGCAGACGAGCACGGAAATTTCGATCTCAAGGTATATCCCTTTTGAGTATGGCCACGCGCTGTCAATGCCCGACCCGGCTACCTTTTTTTTTTTTCTCTTTGAGGCTGTGTAAAGGAGGAATGTGGACTTAACGAAGCCGAGGTTTCTTAACTTTAGATAGCATTCTGGATTGTTGCAGGACAATACTCCTTGATGCTATCAAATTGGCAGCAAGCCATCAGTTATCTGCAAAGGCTGACACCGTATATGGGGCTCGACGATTCCCTGATGCTATCCCCAACTACGACGCCCGTCTCAAAAGAGCCATCTCCGACAGCAGAGTCAGCGACTTCATCAACAGCGCAAGAACACCATCATCAACGTTCTCAACAACAACAACAACAACAGCAGCAGCAGCAAGTGTGCCAATCGAAGCAACTGCGCATCTTCTTCCTGATCCTCTATATCTCATGTATGCTTCAATCCGGTGCCGTGACAAAATCCTTGGCTGCCCTTACAATGCTTCATGGCGCACTGGACGAAGCACGGCCAAAAGATGCAGAGGAACTGCAAGGAGTATTCCGGATAGAGCTGAACAATCGTGCGGACCAAAACTCAGGGCAGCAACATCAGCATCTCCCTCCACAGCATACACCATGGTCACATATTCCGATCAAATGGATGTCCTTTTCTCAGGTCTATTGCCTGACGTATCTGTTGTCTGGTATCTGTAATAAGGCCGACATGACGCAACCGATGAAAGCAGAGCAATTCTTGGTTGAGGGAATCAAAGTAGTGGATCGTAAGTGCAAGAAATCGATGTTAAGATGGCGTGGAGTACCCTGATAGGGATGCTGGATTTAACTAGATGCTCTTGATACATTGTGCAACCATCATAGGCGAGTTCAGCATTAACGATCGTAAGTATTTCCTTTCGGGGGGACAGACGGCGCCATGATTTTGATATAATGAATCCGTTATTGAGGCGCGTCTTTCCTTCAATTATAGACGCTACATCAACGCTCTTGGTTCGGCGAAATCAGCGTTGGTATTCATTATTGATGATGACCATGCTCCTCCATCTTACGGACGTTTTTTTGCTCAAGTATAACCTGCAATTTGCAGAAGATGTAAGTATGCTAAGCAGGAAATCCGGATCAAATTCTACGCTCTGATATGCAAGGCATTTGTTCTAAAGTAGCATTGACGATACTTTTTTTTTTTTTTTTTTTTTTTTTTTTTTTTTTTTTTTAATTAATAGACAATCATGAAGGCAACATACTGGGCCAAGGTGTGTGGGGTATGGGACTTGTTCAAATGGAGGATCTCACTCACTGTTGGTATGATCATGCAGTCAGGTGGGCGACTGGATGAAGCTTTGGAATGGTATGGCATCTGCCTGAGCCACTCGATAGGGAGCCACGAGGATCCGGAAGGATACGATGCAAAGACCTTGGCCATGATCAACACTGCACTTATCCATTGCGGTGAAAGGTTCTTTGATCTGAAGAAGGTATATTCGACCCCTGATTAGGCCTGTTAATGGACGCAGTGGTAAGAGGATTTAGTATTGGCCTCCTAACGGGACAGCATTGTCTCTCTTCTGTGCGCTATCTAGGTCAAAGAGTTGCAGTTGGAGGCAAGGGGAAGACACGCATCAAATATGCCAAGCAACATTTTGTGTGCACTCCACATTCTCGACAGCTGGGTCAAGGATGGTCTTATTCCAGCGAGGTAAGACGCCAGGCATGCTGACTGGACTAATCTATCTTTGGCCCTCCACTCTTACTCTGACACATGTGGACATTTTAAACATCTTCGATTACTATCTAGGCAACACCTGCAGGAGGCCCTGAAGCTGTCGAGCGCATTACTGAATACGCAGCTGAGAAGCCTGACGTTATTGCTTCTGGGCAACGTGTATATGCAGACGCATGACGAACAAGCAGAGAAGATGTTAATGACAGGATACATGCATGCGGTCAAGACCAGTAACCAGATTGTTGCCGCAGCCACTGGATCGTGCCTAAAAGGTATGCAAGGATGTTTGGCTATTCGAATATGGGTATGAGTGAATCTATCCCCTGAAATCGGACCTAATCAGGGTGCATGCGCGCCATACACTTGCTCATCGATAGATCTGTATCTGGCGACGTCCCAGGGCATTAAGGCTAGCCAGCAGGCCCAGAAGAACAAGCCTATCCTGGACACCATCGACGAGACGTTTCAATCGCGCCTGATGGGTCCTCTTCTCCGCAACAGCGTCGATGCAGAGCAGAAATGAATAAAGTGACGACGTCCATAATAAAGCGGAAGTCCAGTTCTTCTGTTCCGCGCACATATTTATCCCAAACGCACTTGGTCTCAATGTTATCTTTTCTTAGGCTATACAAGGGCATTACACACTCTTTTTTTTCATTTTTATTAATATATTTATTTTTTTCTTAATTTACTATATTGAACGCTGCACACAGCAGATGTAAAGAGAGTCGGGATGAGTTGTTCCACACAGATGAATAGCGGCAGAAAATACTGCACGGCAAAAAATAAAAAAGATAAAAGAATAAAATGTAGCCACAGGCAAAACCACCGCTTTATTGTCCAGGCAACAATGTTGCCTCATCATCTGCCGCTTGTACTACGGCGGGATCTCCGCTGGCTGGCACATTCACTTCCTCTTGTATCACTTCTTCTTGTATCGGGGCTTGCTCCTCGCTCTTCTTTGCAAACATGGCCTTCAAGTTCTCAAGGTCTCGCTGCTGTCGCTGTCTCTCCACCTCAAGCGCACCCCCCGTCTTTCGCAGCTTACTTGCACCCACGAACGTTGTCAGCTCCTCCTCAAACTCATCGATCCGGTTTGACAGTTCGATATGTCGCAGCTTCTCCATCTGCGCCATCGCCCTCAGTCGCTTGTCCGAGTCCGGCTCAATCAACTTCACTTCCTCCATCACCGTCTTGAGTCCCTGGAAACCCTCATCCGGTACAGGTTGGAATACAAACTCGCGCGACCCCCCACCGGTCTTGAGCTGCAGCTCCAAGACCTTCTTAAGATTGCTGAGGGTCTGCGTGAGTGAGCTACGATCCTCCTTGAGATCCTCCAACAGCGCCTCCTGCTCCTTCAAGAACATCTGTTCCTTGACGATCGTCTGCAGTTCCACCTCCCAGGTCTTCTTCCATGAAGGACGTAATGACTGAATAAAGTCCGAGAGTTCCTCAATTTCCTTTCCAATTTCCTCACACTGCTTGTCCACAAACGCAATGGAGATGTCACTCGGCCGACCACGCCTCTGCGTCACATTGATCTTCATATCCTCGACCACATCCTGTAGATTTTCAATCTTGTTCGTCAGATCCTCCGACATCTTGTCCAGCTTGACTTTGCCCGATTCAATAAACACCCTGGACGAAACTGGCTGCTCAAACGCCTGCTTCCGGATCTGAGTCGTGTAGCCGGCCAGATTACCGAGCATGGTCTTTGTCTCGCTCTGGAGTTCCGAGTACAACTGCCGCACAGTGCCCAGATCACGTCGTAATGTCTGGACTTCATCATAATGCGACTTGAGTTCTGCGGCCGAAACTTTGCCCTGTGTGGTTGTGGTTGTGGCGGCTGCATTTAAGGCAGCAGCAGCGGTCGAGGATGCCGATCCCAGAGTCTTGCTCCTGGCCAGGGCCTTTTGGACCACAGATCGGAGTATTGGTGAATGCTCCGCGTTCGAGGCTGAGCCACGCTCCGGAAGGTGGTTGGCCATCGCTGCGACGGCTGCCTTTTGTCGCGCTGATTCCGCAGCCTCATGAGCTTTTTTGATCTCGCTTAGTTCCTTTGAAAGCGCAGCGAAGCCCTGATCCATCTTGCGCTGAATATTCTCCAGGTCTATTCGCGCCGATATATATATGTGTGGTATATTCATCGCAGTTAGAATATAACTGATATGGAACCCAATTTGAGACCAGAGCAATAATAATTGACAAAGCAAATGAGACATTCATTGATCACGCGACGTACCATCGACGTTCAAGGACAGGAACGCGTTCTGCTTCACATCCGCCAATGACTCGAGCTCGTAATGAATATTGGTGTTGGGGTCCTTGACGTAGATCGTGGGAAAGTCCTCCTGTCCGGGATTGTACTGGAATTTCTCCATGAAGAGCATCCGAAGTCCAGAATGGGTTAATTCGCCCTCAAACCTGGTTTTCTTCACGCTCTTTCCGACCTGAAGGAACAGCGTCAGGCTTTTATCGTGCTGATCTACTCTCAAGAAAATAACCAGTAAAAAAAAAAAAAAAAAAAAAACAAGATATCGTCCTTAGTGATATGTCTCTGTCATCAGCAGGTGCATTCATTCCACTCCTGACATCAAAAGCGGTTGTTTTTTTTTCGTACCTGGGCCATCGGTCAATGGGGGTGATAATACACTGGAGGCGTCCGCAAAGCTTAATGCTGTTGGGGCTGCTGGGCCGTGAATTACATCTACAGATCCATTGCCTACAACAGGCGGGTATGGCAATTGTGCTGCCTCAGATACCAACGTGGTATGCGTCATGGAGGACGAGCCCAAGAGTGGTGAGGACGGTGAAGACGGAATACTCTGTAAGATGCTTGAGGAGGGAGGTGGAGGAGGAGGGAGAGGAGGCATCGGTTTCGTTGGCGGCAAAGGCATGCCGTCCAATGACCGGTTCAGGCCAGGGGAAGGTAAAGCCGGGCTTCCAGGATGGTCATGTATTGGCATGAATGGAAACTGGCCATATTGCAAGAAAGCATTCGGGCTTGTCGCTGGAGTCGACCCCTGTGAGCTGGTATACCCCGAATAGGAGGACAGCATTGTGGGGTCGGTCATGGGATTCCGACGAGGAACTGGAGGCGCATTCTGCTCCAGTAAAGTCGAGAATCGTTGAGAGTGGCGTCGAGAGGAGGCGCGCCTTGTGATAGCATCACTCTTACGGAGCGATGCCATGGTTTCGGCGTGCCCTTGCTCGTCGCTTGGGGAGGAGATGGAGAACATAGGGGCGGCGGCGCCTGTAGGGATCAGTCCACCGTCCCTTTCCGCGGACTTTGCTGTCCCATTGGGTTGTCGAAAGCTGGCGCCACTGCTCTTGGATCTTCCAGAGGCATTGACGATTGCCTGTAAACGTCCCGCCTTTGCTTCGTGCTGCTCGCGATACATATTCTGTTTGAGACGCAGACCCTGTAAGAGATTGATAATGACCTCTTTAATCCGCGGCAGGTATTGGTCGAGCGACGATGGCGATGGCTCCTCTCCCAGGGCCGTCTCTAGACAATTCCTCAAGTCGTCCGGGATATGTGCGAGCTCACTACAAAGGCGCAATTGCATCGACAACGTGTGCGGCAGTGTTAGTGTACACATTCAATTTTGCTTCCTTCCCCTCCCTCCTCCCCAAAATAAAAAAAACGGTCGGCATCTCAAAAGAAGAAGAACACGGTTACCTTGTGTCAATCTGGACCTCGTGAAAGGCCTGGCTTGCCAGATTGAATTGCGTGGCGAGCTGGACAAAGATGTCAGAGACCTGCTCCTCGGTCATTTTCCGATTAGACCAGAGGGTCAAGCCTTCAAGTAGTTGCTTTGTCGCCACGAGCAGCTTCGTCACTGTCGCCTCTATGGGATTTACCTAAAGGATCCACAGCGAGACCCATTGACGGACACACAGAACAATCGGACGTGATGAATCGTTAGTATTGGAGGAGTCTGCTCTCGACCTAAATATCGTCCTGTTATCGGGGAACAGTGTGCAGGGTTTTAGTGAGACGTTCTTCCAACTTACCGTGCTTTGGTCAGTTTTACGCCTCCGAACGGTGTTCCCTGCAGGCGCATGTTGAGCGCTGGGATCCGTGGCATCCATTATCGTGTGAGGAGTATCCGAAACTGAAAGTGACGTGTCGCAGGATAGGTGGGAGGGAGGAAGGGTGGAAGAGGGGAGAGAGAGGAGGAGGGAGTGGGGGGAGAATTGAATGAATGAAAAAAAAAAAAGGTGAATGAGGTCGAGGGTAATGTGTGGCAGGAAATTAGAGAAGGTGATCTTGTCTGTCACATTCACTCGCCAAAGAAACTTATGATACGGTGGATGGAATGCTGAAGCCCCCTCTAGAGAATGGGGCGGGCGTGCTCTTATGGTCGATCGCGTCAAGAGGATTTTACGATATGGGCCATGTTTCCAAACTATGTCCAATGCAGATGATGATGATTTAATGCACTCGTCCGAATCTGGATTCGAACACCTTGGACCCCAACGGAAGACAAGGAGTGTTAAGCTTGAACACTGTTTAAAAAACCTAGGAGTGCACGCAAACAGCTCTCCCGGCTTTTTGTCTTTACCCGGGAAGAGGGCGTGCGACAAAGAGGGGGGGGAGGGCCTGTCTTGTCTTGGCCTTCAGACACTGGTTTGAAATATCGTTTATTAACGGTGGTTGTTCGTACATGGTGCATACATACTATGCATGCGTAATGGATCATAAAGTTCTCAATATTACGTTCTAGGCTACCGCTTTGTTGTCAGTGAGGATAACAGTGCATGTTTATTTTGAACCAAGGTTTTTCAATTTGCTGTGGATGGAATTGAAGAGCAGCGGCTGCAGAGACACACACAACGAAGCATCCTCAAAAGGACCAGGCAGGAAAAAAACCATTTAAAAATTACAGCACAGCGAACTTTCGACGAGAACAGAGCAAGTCGTCTTTTAGACTAACATTCGACAAAAATTGGTCCTTGACAGAGGCCACCATACCAGCTTGCGTATGCACCATATCCCCTATATCGCGTATTCATGAACCGTTAAGAAAATTCGACGCGACGCACAAAGAGTTACAAATCAAACCCCGTTGATATCCAAAAGGTCCCAAAAAGAACATGGTTGCTTTTATTTTTGCCAATAAAAAATTGCTCCTGATCAAAAGTATACAGTCCAGAAGTGGATGATCCTGAACATATCCTGATATCCGATCGAAACAACTTTTTTACAGACGACGACCACGACGACCACCCTTTTTGCGGGTAGAGTCGGTGGGGGTGGGGGTAACATCCTCTATTAAAAATCATCAGTAAGGAAAGCAAAGAGAAAATTAGCATCTCCAAGGCATGATCCAGAAGCAATTGAAAAAAATGACCAGTCCATATAGATAGGCAACCAACAACTTACCAATGCGGCCAATCTTCATGCCGGCACGGGCCAAGGCACGGAGAGCAGACTGGGCACCGGGACCGGGGGTCTTGGAGCGGTTACCACCGGTGGCACGGAGCTTGATGTGGAGGGCAGTGACACCGACCTCCTTGCACTTGGCAGCGACATCCTGGGCAGCCAACATAGCGGCGTAAGGGGAAGCCTCATCACGATCGGCCTTGACCTTCATGCCTCCGGTAACACGGGAGATGGTTTCACGGCCGGTCAAATCGGTAACGTGGACGAAGGTATCGTTGAAGGAGGCGAAGATGTGGGCAACACCGAAAACCTCCTCATCACCGCGGACCTGAGGGCCGAGCGAGATGTTCTCCTGAACCTTAGGGGTGGACTTGACCTTCTTGGACTATTTTGTCAAGCAACGAAGGGTGTTCTGGTTAGATCTCTGTTGGCATATGGCAGGTAGGGGATTGTGCTGAAGAGTGGGATAGGCAGGCATGTTTGAGTTGATGCTGCCCCTCGGGCGCGGCTCAGTAATGTGCTGCTGATAGCGTCCAAATGACCAGAGTCGGCGCCCATTGTCACACAAAAGCAGTTTTCTCCAAGGTCGTCCGAAGAAGTTTGTGTGAGGAGATCGCTGCTTCAAACTGGTGCTCCGACACTGAAGATAGGTCCCAGTTTTGACAATAGATCCATCTGAAGGTGTGGTTCCTAGAAATCAGCTGTCGATCCAGATTGAAACACATCACAACTGAAGGGCGGGTGAATCGTTGATAGGATCAGGGCTCCAGGATGGAATCCATCGTCTCCCAGCACCAAACGACATCAACTCCTGCGCTGATGATTTTTTTTTTTTTTTATCCTGGGTTGAATGGCTGATCCAAAAAGTATGCCCGAGAAAGGATGTTGTTCCCAGTAGACGCAAATGTGTGTCGATGGGACGGATGGATCGATCGATCGATGTTGCCTTGGGTTGCTGCAAGGGATGGATGTGTGTATGTGATACGCCGCCCAAAAAATTTCCAGCCCAGCCTGCAATACCATGTTGAAAGATATGTGAAAGAGAAGGATTCACCTGCGCTGCACACGACTCAGGAATATGTCCGTTCAGATTGGAGAGAGAGCGAAGCCACCCACTGCCCCTGTGAGAAGCAGATCTCGAGTGATGTGCCTCTCAAACTTTCCTATTGACCAAGGCCCGACGCAACTCCACTCTCCTCACTGGGACGCTCGTCATCGCGCCCTTTTCTCCTCTCATCGCTCCCGCATAGAGTCACTGTTCCTCATCTCATATACCGCAAATACATCATGGTCAACATCTTGCAGTGGGACGAATTCCAGAAGGCGGCAGAGGAGCTGTACTTGCTGTCCCCCAACACAGTAAGGATGACTTGCACGCGTCCAGGAATCGAACGATGACCAGAGCTTCGACTGCTATCCCCGGATGAACCAGAGAGTAACCTATCTATCGACCTTTACCCGCACTTCCTTGGCTCTAGACACGCTATGTTGCAAAATATCGCCACGTCGAAGGAAAACTGGTTCTCAAAGTGACGGATGATCGCACAGTAAGGAACATCTCACTCTCAACACGGATAGTATGCGTTCTTTTCGACTTGTCCACTGCTAACCGCGTCTTTTCTTTTTTCTTTTTTTCTTTTCTTTTATTGCCTACTTGCTTGGTCGCTATCGATAAACCCCATCATCAATTCCGTATCCTTCAACTTTGTTTGCTGCCCTAACTAAAAGTGTCTCAAATACAAGACCGATCAGATGCAGGACCTCAACAAGTTTGAGCGTCTCAACCGTTCATTGATGGCCAAGATGCACAACAGGATCCCAGCACCGGTGACAGAAAACTCAGCCCCTGCTGCTACTGCCGCACCATCATCATCCTCAACGGTTTCAGCACCAGGACCAGCACAGGCAGCAGTTTCAGCAACGATATCCAGCCCATCAATTCAACAAGGAGGCGGTGGCAAGGCAAAGAAGAATAAGCGCAGATAGGAAGAGTGACAAGGCAAGGGACAGATACTGGGGGCTCTAGGAAGTTCGGATTGAGTCACGTCATCATCATAGCAACGCCAAGGACACGATTCCAATAAAGTACATGACACGATCTTTTCAGGGATATGATGATGGCGATTTTTTGGTTCCCTGTCAGATCGAATGGATAAAAACGAAGGGACGGCACGATCATCAGCGGAAGAAAGCTAATTGAATACCTCAGTGCCGTTTGGATGGCTCTGTCAAGGATATGAAATGCGGCAGATTGGAGCGGAAAAGTCAAATCGAATTTACAAGATTATATATATCGACAAAGCATCTCTGCTGTTGCTGCTGCTGTTGCTGCTGCTGCGAATTACAAAATGGACTACTGGTTTCTACGACGAATCTGCCACTTAAAAGTCCTCCTCCTCCGCAAAGAAGCGCGAATACGAAATGACTATATAGCAAGCAAATTCAACACGTTAGCGTCAGTGGAGGTGGCACGAACAGTGTTGTTGATGATCATAAGAGTCAGCGGCGCGACATCTGCAATGTGACAATACTTACGCGTGCCATAAATCAAAAGGCCTCCCGAGATACTCATAATCATTGCTGGAATAGTAATCTAGGGACACAAATAAAGCAAGGACACATTAGCCTTTATTTCTGCTTTTATAACAGTCAATCGTAGGCACCACAAAAAAAAAAAGCAAAAAGGACCTACCACGCCAGCGTGAGCAAACACCATAGGCAAACAGAATCCTGTGGTGATCATCAAGCCCGTCAAAAAATATCCTGCATCAGCAAGTCCCCCTTGGTAATCTGATGTCAGGTCGTCGTGACCTGCGCACCGTCCGAATATGGCGTTCGGCAATGGTGCCAAGACGTATGTCGCCACTGGATTGCAAACGCAAGGATAATCAATGGTTCGGTTAGGATCTGCTCTTTTAATCCAAAACAAATGCTCAGCATGCCACGGCCATATCGCCTGTTGAGTGTCACTTACCGACAAACAAGGGCCACCAGTTGCTAAGATGAGTAGGAGGAACGGAGGAAAAATAAGTATCGGGTGTTAGTTTCTTATGGAGAAGCGACAGTCGTACGAACCCAATAGGCAACTTAATACTGGCATTCGCTCTTCCTCTGTAGTAGCTTACTTGTAAAGCGCACAGGACATGATGACCAGCAAGAATCCCAGGGCGAGAACAAAGGCTAGGCCAATGACGCTATACGCATGAGAGTGAATAGTCGTTGGTGAGTAAGAAGAATGAAAGGACAGTGAGAGAATGTGACATGGTCCCGTTCGTAATCTGTACGTCCAATGTTCCCAGTTTTGACTATCGGCACCAGCATCCAGAGCGCCAACGTTCCAGGATCATAGTAGTCGCTCGTCTTCGTTCCATAATAGCACACGCTTCAGGTCCCGTATGAAGTCATCGTTGACACCCTCCAGTGCTCAGGTTTCTTACACTAAGAGAGAGAGAAAAAAAGGAAGGAGGAAAGACACGCTGGTTAGATAAGTCGCTTATGCCATTGTCACAATGCCTCATGGCATTCAGTTGAGGGGGGACATTCCCCTCCCGCCTTTGCGTCCTGTTTGTAGGCGGGTATTCAAACTGTCCTTGTTGCCAGAGGGTCGTCATTCCTCTTTCATTTCAATAAACGTCGTTGAAAACTCCATGGCCGCCATTCCTGCTGAACACTAAGGACGATCCCAGAATTTGGCTGGGATTCTTGCATGCCCCATGTTTCTGGCCATAGTGCCCTTGCAATGCGATCGTTCTTCAGCGCGCTTTGTTTTGGTCGTATATATGTCGACTGGTCGCTTTTTCTCTGCTTGGCTCCGTTGGCTCACAGGGGAGGCAAAGCAGCGGCGTTGAGACGCACCTTTCAAATCAGCAGCCATGATATATATATATGCAGGTGTATCGACCGTTTGGAAGGTATTAAGAGGATATAGCGAGGTGAGAAGGGGGCGTGCAAGAGAGGGGGAGAAAAGGCGAAGAATGGGAGCGTGAGGAAAAGAAAGAAGAGGGAGTCCGCATGGGCAAGGGCTGAACCACCTGATGGTGACGCACTTTCTTTTATCTTTCGCGTACGACGTTGGAAAGTGTTTATTTTCTTGCATTCTCTAACCAACCTGACCTGTCTTTGTGCACCGCAGGCACGGCAAGAAAGCGCTGTTCTCACACACGATCGCCTTTTTTTTTTCTTCTATTTGTTCAGACCTCTTCTCAGTTCCAACCCTGCTTTGTCCTAAGCTCCTCAATCTCCTTGAGCGTCTCGTCCGGGATGAAAAAATCGGGGGTGAACTTTCTGACGCCAGGCGCATACTGGTCCATGTCTGTGTATCCCTCCTGTCTCAGGAACAGCTCGTCGATCAAAAAGTTGCCCGAGAACTTGGCTCCGTCCTTCAAGAACACCTCATAGGCAGCATCTGCCATGATCTCTGGCGAGCGCATCGACATCTTGGAGGTATCGCCGACCAGTTTGAGTGCCGAGGTCCCGATCAGTGTGAGAGGCCACAATGCGTTGACACCGATCTTGTGTCGGCGCAATTCACCCGCCAGTCCGAGCACGCACATCGACATGTTCATTTTGGACATGGTATAGGCCACGTTGTTCTTGAACCATTGCTCCTTCATCGACAAAGGTGGCGATAAGTTGAGGATGTGCGGGTTCTTGTTGGATTTGATCAGATGTGGGATCGCGTATTTCGAAACCATGAAAGTGCCGCGGCCATTGATATGGTGCATCAAGTCATACTTCTTCATCGTCGTCGCCTGGGAATCGGTCAAGCTGATGGCGGATGCTAGAGTGGGAAGGAGGGAGAGGAAGAAAACGATGCAAGGCGACGGGAAGCGTTTTCGATCAGCTACACTACCGCAGCAAAGAAGAAAAAGAAGAAGAACGCGTTCTTCGCGGAAGCATAGACCTACCATTGTTCACCTATGAATCGCAAAGGCGATAGATACAAGTTTCAGTTTGAATCCTCTCTGTTTCTTACATTCGCTAGTCAAAATAAAAATACGCACGCTCCTCAACACTCTTACCAAAATATCGATACCGCCAAACTTCTTCGCAGTTTGCTCAATGGCGTCCTGGACCTGGTCTTCCTCGCGAATGTCGCAAACAATTGGGAAAGCTATGTCGATCCAAAAACGAGCAAGTGGGAAAAGGTACATCTTATGTTAACATCGGCCGGCCATTCACCCTGTGATAAATTTGCTATGGAACACGATCCAACTGACATGTCTCCTCCTACCTTTGCCACCAGCCTTCTCAATCTCCTCTGCAGCAGTGTAGATCGTTCCTGGGAGCTATTCAGGTTAAGGCCGAGCTAAGGATCAGAATCTCCGCAGATGTGCCAGATAGACTAGAGCTCTGGTGCCAACCGCATCCTAACTTACAGTGGGATGGGGTGTAGCGGTCTTGGCGGCGATGGCAATGTTGGCCTTTTCCCTAGCCGCACGCAATGCGATCGCCAGACCGATGCCTCTGCTGGCTCCAGAGATGAAAAGCGTCTTTCCTGAACAGTTTTTTTTTTTTTTTTGAGATGGATCATAACGCTATTTGTCAGCAAAAAAAAAAAAGGTCTTTTCGTGCGTCAAGAGCATCCAAAGATTACCGTGAGAAAGAATCATTACCTTGAAGAGACATACTGGTTTTGTTTATGCTGCAGAGGAGAGATTGGCGGCAGTCCGAGAAGAATAAAAGACGATGGAATGGTGTGTAATTTTGAAAGAAACAAGCGAGAGAAAAAAGATCAAAAAGGACCTCAACTTTTTATACGGGTTCAAAAAAAAAATGGAAAATGGAAAATGCTCTTCCTTAGAGTGAGAAGCGACCCGAACATAACCCGTGGAAAAAGCGCGTCACGGCAACTTCGGGTCGCGATTCGAAGCAGGCGTAAACAGTTGGTAAACAGGGGCCGGCGCCGTGTCGCCCGAGCCCTTTGCCTGCGATCAAGCGGGTCGTCAAGAACTATCTATGTACCGGACACCATGGCTACTGGATAAAAAAAAGAAAAAGAAAAAAAAGAAAAAAGAAAATGCGGCGAGTGAGTATGGTGGTCGCTATACCGGTGACACAGTGAGCCACGCGTCAGATTGATCGGAGCTTCTCTATAGCTTTTCGTCTGGCTCGTTCTGTCTTTGCCACCTCAGTTATTCTCTCTCATATTTCTATTCACGATAACCCAATCCTGTTCAAAAGACCTGCCTTCTTATTCTCACTGACAGAAAAAGCAGCTTTCTTTTTTTTCCGAAGCTATGGGTGTAAAAGCGAACCCTATATACTCTTGTTCGAATGCCCAACACGCAGTCTTCCATCCTCCTAATCGAATCCAAGTCTCGCCTTATCCTTACTTGTCTTCATTATTAAGGACCATTGGCAAAGGATCGTCTGAGCACTGCGTACTCTGTCAAGGTCACTAAGGTCATGGATGGATTGCACTCAGCCTAAGTAAGGCGCGAGATTTCACATCGTTCCTGCATGCACTGACCTCTTTTAGCTGTCTCGAATTGTCCTTCCTCCCCCCTGTTTTTGGTCTTATGGCGGATTTACTTGCGCATAAAAAAGCATCGATATACTTTAATGTCAAAAATGAAGGGGGTTTTTTTATTGGTCATTAAAGCGTTCTCGCGTGAATTATTTATTTTTTGTCATATCTATCGTTTCTGTTATTAGTTTGCATGAATTCATTAGTATTTTTTTTTGTTTAGTGCGTTGGAGTTTGTGGCTGTGTGTGTGCGTTGGCCGCCGCCCAATGCGGTTGTGGTTGTGTGTATGAAGAAGACCAGTACGGGCCAGAAGGGTTGGGTGGTCGAATGATGGGAATTGGCCCGTGTTCTGTCGTTGTCGCCGTTGTCGGAGAATCTATCATGAAAGAAAGAAAAAACCCACCTTCAGCGTTAAATTCATTGTCTCACGTCTACAGTACATAATACTCTTTTTTTTTGGTCTCATTCTTTTGTCTTGAGATCTCATTTTTCTTTACCTAGGGCGTATTGCGAGGCTGAAGAGATGGATCGGCTGCGTCGACGGTTCATCGTGAAATTGCTGAGCGATACGGACAGCTTACGGATCCGATTCTTGATCTTGTCTATGATCGTCACAGCGCCCTTCACCTCTTCTTCTGTGACATGCACCCGCTGGTAGTTGCTCGAATCAGTCTCGATCCTCCATCTAACAGGGTCGTCAAGATCCTCTGTAACCCAGGCATGTTCCTGTGGGTAGCGCAATAAAAAAAAAAGTTTTTCGTGATTATTAATCTTGCGCCCGAACTTGCCGATCGTCCCCCAAGTGCTCGAATGCTGAGACCCCGTATCTAAGTTCGCCCCTTACCTTGATTTCCTTGAGCGTAATCCGCTTATAAACATCCTTCTCCAACAGACGAGAGAGCAGATCCTTCAATTCTGGATCTACGGCCTCTCGGCCTGGAACGCTGTCAGGGAAATTGGGTTGTCTCCTTGGGATGATATTGAAGAGTTCAAATTCCGTATCGGCAATGAACGGACAGCGCCCATACACGAAACAGTAGAGAGTCACACCGAGCGCCCATACATCGATCGCCTTGGTAATCGGCGGTCGTGGCCCGCCATGTCCAGTATAGACATTTAGCGCTCCGGTCGACGATGATGGATGTGTCCGAGGAAGCGAGGAAGATTGGGCGAATGACGTCTGAGGTGCTGATGGCACTGCTGATGAAAGTGCAGATGAATATTCGCCTATTAGAACAAAGAAGTATGTTTGTCAGTACCTACAGGACTTGATGCATGCAGCAAGTCCTTGAACATCAATAAAGCCAGATTGTTAATGGTCCTTACTGACGTGACAAAGCTCTGGCGCGAAAAATGCAGGGCTTCCGGCTGTTTTGGCGAGCTCCAGATCGTCACCCCACTGTTGCTGCTGAGTAATAGTCGAAAGGCGTTTCTGCTGATAGGGCGATACGTGCTCCGTGTGCTGACCACCGCTCATTGGCGAAGGGTTCTTATTCGGGAACGAAGAAGATACAGGGGACGGCAATGAGGCATGCGCTGCGGGTTGACTGGCCGCAGGGATGTGGAAGCCCTTGTGGACAATGGGCGAGCTCTCGAGATCGCGCTCCAATGAATTCTTTTCGCTGAAGTGAGAGACTCCGAAATCCGAAATCTTAACGGTACCCTCTACTGATAACAGCAAATTGGCTGGTTTGATGTCCCTGTGGATGATGCCTTGCATATGAACTATAAGATCGAGCGCATAACAATCAAGCAAGAGAAGACGAGAGAAAGACATGAAGATGAATGCCGGCACCCCCTATATATCCCTTCCGGATTCATCTACATCAGCTCGCCGGGAAGACTTACGATACTCCAAGCCCAATACAATGTCACGGAATATCGAACGTGCATCCGGCAGCGACAAGATTGGCTTGTCCTCCGAGTCCTTCCATCGCACTTCGCCACCTTCCATGTACTCGAGAACTAGGTTTAGGCCGTGTATTAGTCGCGGGTACATTCAAAGTCTCGAGCGCAAAAAAAAAAAAAAAGAGAGAGAGAGAGAAAACTTACCGAGATATATCTTTCGAGCAGTAGGGTCGTCAATCACCTCGATGAGCCGGACAACATTAGGATGAATACACTTTTTCATAATGGCAATCTCTCGCCGGATTTTCTGCTCGTTCGAGATCTGTGAGCGTCCAAGACGCCTACGGGTGGTTTTGTCGACAATCTTGATGGCCTAAGATAACGGATGCGGGATCCGTTTTCCAAAGCGTGTCAAACCACTCTGCGTTAGTCTCCAAACATGTAGAACACGCTCAGGGGGTCCAAACATAACCACCACAGTAAACACAAGTTCATGTTGTATGCGCGTTCGAGGATATTTTTTTTTTCCCTTCGCAGTCTGTGATACCAACATTGGACAAATCAATAAAGGGAACTTACACAGAACTCATTTGTAATAGTATCGCGACATAGTTTCACCTTCCCATGCACGCCTCTGCCCAGTTCCCGCACCACCATGTATTTGTTGATCATCTTGTTTCCAGTCATGGGATCATAATCCTTCATCATCGTGTGGGTCTCCTTGACGGGCTGCAGCGAGGGGGAGGTCATTGACCGTCCCGGCGATGTGCCGTAACTGGAGGGTGCGGGAGATTGCATTGGAGTGGTGTTACACCGTTGGTGAAAGGGACGGTTTGAGGATGGAGACATTGGGATGGGCGAGTGGATGAAGGAAAAGCGTGAAGACGGCTTTGGTGCCGAAGTCGAGAACTGCAGGGCTGAGAGAGGCGACTCCCTCTGTCGTAAGTTGATGTTCTCGAACGAGGGATGACTCTCGAAGGATTGCTGATCCAGGGAGAGTCGCCTGTCCATAGCCGATCTGGGTGAGGCCTCAGTGGATATCCGGTGGTGGTGTCCGTCGCCAGGGTGTCCATGGTCCAGTTGGGACTGAGACCTTGGTGCGCGCAAACTCTTCAGGCTGAGTCGCAGGCCAGAGGTCTTGCCCTTCTTTTGAGATGGCAGGGGCGTGCCTGAAGGCGTAGTTGGGCCTGGGGAAGCGGTCCGAGAGCTTTGGTTGCTGAGCGATTGCGAAGACGAGGCGTCGTGGAGCGAGTCCTGGTCGGACACGCTCTCCTCAAGATCGGTGGTCGAGTTGTTGGAGAGGGCGCTCGAAGACGCTCGCCGGGCCGCACGCATGTCTGGCTGGTTGAACCAGGGCACCGAGAGCTGGGCATGGCCATCACCGCCGCTCAACGAATGCTGTTGACTTGGACGCCGCTGACGCTGCATCATTTGTCGTTCCTTTAGCGCACACTGACGCTATCAATCGAGGTGTTGTTGCTGTTGTTGTTGTTGTGGTGGTTGTGGTTGTGCGGGCGAAATCAACTGGGAGGGAGAGAAGGAGGGAGGGCAGGGAGCAATGGGAATATGACAACAACAAACGGTTTTTCGTCGTTGTGGATGTGTGCAGATGGATAGGAGTGTGGAAGGAATACAAACGAAGGGAAGGAGAGCGAGGGAAAACAATTGAGAGCACACTGGACTACAGGGGCGGTGATTCGATTTCGAAGGAGGAAGAGGAGGAGGAGGGAAAGGAAGGTTAGGGTGGGTCCAGCAACAGCAGCAGCAGTAGAAGCAAGAGCAAGCACTAGGTTTGAGTCGATTAATAAACGAGGGGAGGGTGCGCGCTGGGGACGGGACGTGGCCTGGGAGGGAGAAAGAAGGTGTCGGGGGGGGGGGGGGGCTGAGGAAGGAGAGGAGGGAGGGTGAAGGGAGCGGAGACAGGAGAGGGATGAGGAATGGGCGATGGTGGATGACTGCTGGGCGGTGATGGTGGTAGTGGTGGTGGTGATGGTGATGGCGATGGTGATGGTGGGCTAGTGGCAATGGTCGCCCTTCCTTCTGAGTGCCTGCCCCTTTTTCCCCTTTTCCCATTGCTCCTCATTTGTGTTCGGCCTGGATGTTCCTGGCTGGCTGTACTCCCTCCCTCGCTGCTCAATGACATCAGCCGATTCCGCGCTTCTTCTTCTCACAGCAGACTGGCTGCACATGAAGGGGGAGATGGGAGCTAGTTTACACTGCGCTGAACTGAGTCCGTCCCAGGAGAGACAGACCAGCGCCCTGCTGGCTGGTGCAACAATGCAACACACGGTGGCCCCCATTCCCCCTCCAATGCATGCAGGCACACAGAAACATGCACAAATGCAGAACATGCATGCAGGACATGCATAGACTGCACTCCCTCTTTTGCGTATGCTTCCACGACTCATCCTCTCGCGTCCCAAACGGCCTTCTTTTCGCTTTGATACAGCCGTTGGGACCACAAGTGCCACGTGGGCCGCTCCCAACAGCAACGGCAACGGCAGAATAGGCAGACCCTGATCGACAGAGGGTGATTTCCGGGCTGCAATTGGTAAATTGCTGGGAAGAGTCGAGTGAGCAGTTGTGCTCTGCTCTCAAACAAGAATCTTGAGAGAGAGAAAAACACATGCTTGTTTAACTGTGCACTCCTCGCGTTGGCTGCATACATCCTGATTGTCCAGACGGATCAAGGGGAAGCGGTTGCAAGGGGGTGGACATGGCCAGTCTGGCAGTGAGGCGCGTAAAAGTGCCGCACGACTATACCACACATCCTCACATGGGCATTTGCCTTTGGGTGAGATGAATAGAAAGATAGTGTGCTCCGTCTATTGCACTGCAAAGTATTTATTTAAACTTACGCGGGAAGCGACGTAGCTTATCGAAGCAAGAGTAAAGTACTGTGCATCTTGTGTACTCCATCCTAACAGCAGCGGCATGGAGAACATTGCAACAGTCCTCCGCCCGATCGCTCTTCACAACAACTATCGCCTTTTCCGCCTCCCTTTTCCTCCTCCTCCTCTTCTTCTCCGTGTCTTTGAACATATCATGTCCTCCTGAACACCCAAAAGAATTCCTCGGCATATAAAGGCGGCAAACCTTGCACTTGAAACTCCCCTCACAGTGCTATAAAGAGGCGAACTTAGTAAATATATTGCCCCATTCGCCCTTAGTAGCTTGTCGCCCTCTCGATTGATACAACAGAGGCCACAGTCGTGTTGAGGCATAAAATGTTATATTCATATCGAACATTGCCAGCAGGCTATATGGACACATGAAGGTGTATGCGCTTTAACAACATTAGGTGTTTTCTTGCGTTGGTGTGTATCTGTAACAGCAGAGTAGCATGGCATGGCGTTGATTAAACCAAAAAAAATAAAAAATAAAAAAAAAAAGGAGAGCATCGCCACAACCACCACAACAACAGCAGAAATTGGAGCACAGCCCATCTGCAGATTCTTGTCCTTTTGGGCACCCCCCCCCCCACCTGTGGACTTTCCCTCCCTTTAAGAGATGGGCGCGGTATTTTTAGGCTTCTGTCGAAGGAAAGGGAGGCTGGTGGGAGAGCCATTCATGCTTCGTTTCCTCCTTTCCGCTTCTTTCTTCACTCTCCTCTCCTCCTCTTCCTCCACTTCCGTGCCCTCTTCCTGTTCACGTCATTGTCTTCTTTTGGTGGCAATTTTACTTCAACCCCCGCCCACGATAACACTCTCCATTGGATTATAAAAGAAAAAGACACCTTTGACAGCCATGAGTCGCGACCGTCTGAATGACTTTAACAGCAATGTAAAGGAATGAATCCCGTCACAAGTGGCCCTCCCCGAGATCCAAAAACCCCTCGCCTGTGCACTGACCACCGACAGCGGCCCGCTCTTTTCAATGCTTCTTAGTCGGAGCCCATGTCGCATCCGTATCCAAGCTCTAATCTCAACAGCGACAACAAAAATAATCAAGCCCCTGTCGAACTTGCTCCTCTGCGTGGCGATGCGCTGAGCCAGTTCTTTCAAGAGGCAAGTTGTTTCCTGTGTGGGAATTCTGTTTCTGTGCACTCTTTGCCAGGCTGTCGTGCTGCCTGTTATTGAGCCAGTCTTGGTCTTTGTAAAAAAAAAAAAAAAAAAAAAAAAAACCTTCCAATTAACACGACCGCTTACTTTTCCTCTTTGCGGATATTAGACCGAAGTCATCCAGACAAAGATCCAGCAGTTTCAGTCCAGCGTCAATGAAGTCGAGCAGCTGTTTACCCGGAACCTGAACTCCAGAGCAGACCCAGAAGGTACATGTATATATTTTTTTTCTTGCAGTCAATGCGTCGTGTCTTGCTGCTGCACCGCCACTCTCTTCCATGCTCACCAATGGTTATCAACTGTTTTATGTTTACAATCATAGCGAACAAACAGCTGGAGGATAAGACACGAGCGGCCAACAGCCTCTCAACAGAGATCTATGACCGTTTGCGAGGTAAGGCCTCGAGAACTGGGTTCTAGAACGCTGCAGCGATCGCTATCCTATATACTGACTCCCTCTACAACATGACGATCTGAATCTACTATGCTACAGCCCTGACTCAATCTAACATGAAGGTGCGCACGAAGGAGGAGTATGACCAGCGCAAATTGAGGACATCCACGCTTAGCAAGCAGTTTAAGGACGCCGTGAGCCGGTTTCAGAATCTGCAGTATGAGAATGGACAAAAGTCAAAGGAGACACTGGCCAGGCAGTACCGTATTGCTAATCCTGCCGCGACCGAAGAGGATATTCGGCGATTGGTTGATGAGGATCAGGGCGGTATCTTTTCTCAACAGGTATGAGAGATGAGGCCATGAGAGGAAAGGAAAAACGAAAACGTCACGAACATGACATGCTCACACATCAACAATCCGTATATCTTTGTTACCCATAGCTATTGCAGCAGGCAAGAGGTCAGCAGGCAATGCAGGCTTTGAACTCTGTTCAGGACCGCCAACGTGAATTGCATGCGCTTCAGGAGAATGTTGTAGAGCTTGCACAGCTCTACAAGCAGCTGGAACATCTGATCTCGGACCAGGACCTCACGTTCCAGGAGGTCGAGGCCACGGTCAACCGAGCAGAACTTGATATTGAAAAGGGATATGCGGAGGTTGGCATCGCCCGCGATCATGCAATCTCGGCGAGGAAGGTAAAAGCTGCTTTTGTCTTTCTTTGTCTCTACAGAACACTAAAGAGGGGGTTAATGATGCTGTTACTTTACCCAGCTAACGTTGTCTCTATAACATTTTCTTTGGGTCAATTAGAAAAAATGGATGGTCCTTGGTATCATCGTCGTCATCGTCATCATCATCCTTATCATCGGAGCGGCTCAAGGCTGGTTTAAGAAACCTGCAGCATAAATGCATCAAGCAAGCTACGATCGCTCATCCCTGCTCGATACCTCTCGTTCATGTTTATAAATCCTTGTTATCTATCCTGTATATCATTTGAATCGAAGATATTAAAAATGCAAACCAAGATATGCGTGAGTGACTCCGTAACTTGGTGCCTGTCGCAGCAATGCATGGACTTGAAACCCCAAGGGAGTAGATACGACGTGGGTTTCTAAGGTACAAGGGTTTTTTGCTACAATGTTAAGGGGCTGGATAGGACAGAGGGGGGGAGTTTTTTTTTTATCTTACCGCTTTGGGTAGGAGTAATTGGGTCCTTCTCTTTGCTTCTTAACAACATGTCCAGTGATTCGCTCGCATACAGAGGCCAGCTTGTCGGTAATGCATCTAACAGCCCTGAAAGGATCCGAAATTGCTGTGGCCATCATGGAGGGGAGCAGAGGATACGGCATCGATAGCGCTATCATCGACAATGGATATTATTTATCATCGATGGATCGATCGATGGATGGGAACAGAATACCCGGATTTTTTTGTCTATCACAACACTGTTCTGCGCCAGCACCCTCGAAAATACGCCGTTCCTCAACACTCCACTAGCAATTGAACATTATTTCGTTATTCAAGGGCGCTCGCGGCACCTCAGAACAAAAGCCAGGAATGTCTGCATCGTTCGCTTATGCAGTAATGAATGCCTTCTCTTTGGCTAGAGACATCATTAATCGTCAACGGAAGGACAGATCTTTTTTTAAATCTATTCTGACTGAGGCATTCGCTCGAAGCTGGAAGGCGAGGACAAAAAAGGATCAGAATCAGGAACCTGTGCTGCATACAACGCTTGATCGTCTTTTTCTCGCAGGACGTTTTCTCCAGCTCGCTCAACATCTACAGTCCCAGCAAGCAGCTAGGACAACTGAGGATGGGGGGGGGGGAGGTTTTTTCCAACACAAACACACAACGATTGCACGAAAGACTGATGCCCTGTACTCCGTTTTCTGATCACAATAGGCCACCGTGACTGGGTCACGGCCATTGCCACCACTGCCGAGGCTCCCGATATGCTCTTGACTTCCTCCCGTGGTATGTAACCCTTTGGCTGTGGCAGTTACAGGACACTTATGATGGGATACGGGACAATTGTCTTGTCTAAAGGATCGGCCCCCAAGTGAATGGGATATGCAGGACGGTAGCAGCAGCAATTGGGCTTCAGGATATGGCTGCTGATGCTGTCAGGAACTTGTTGGGGTTCGACAACTAATCCCAACAGCTCATGAATTGCTAAGAGCAAGACGATCTGGACCAGCGATTAGTCAAAGGGATCAATTTGCACAGCAATGCATCGACTGAACAGCAATCTGATCAGGACACTGAAGGAACAAAAAAAAAAAAAGTCGATGCAGAAACTGACAGGGTGGCCCACCTTTTGTTTTTCATTCTCTAATATGCAGACAAGTCTATCATCGTCTGGAACTTGGTCCGCGATGATGAGGGCAACTTTGGTATTCCCCGCAAGTCCCTCCACGGACACAACTCTGCTGTCCAGGATGTTGTCATCTCCTCGGACGGTCAGTTCGCCTTGTCTGCTTCCTGGGACAAGACCCTCCGTCTCTGGGACCTCAACACCGGTCTCACCACCCGCCGCTTCATTGGCCACACCAACGATGTTCTCTCGGTCTCCTTCTCTGCCGACAACCGTCAGATCGTCTCTGGATCCCGCGACAAGACCATCAAGTTGTGGAACACCCTCGGAGAGTGCAAGTTCACCATTCAGGAGGATGGCCACACCGAGTGGGTCTCCTGCGTCCGCTTCTCGCCCAACCCCGCCAACCCCGTCATCGTCTCCGGAGGCTGGGACAAGGTTGTCAAGGTAAAGTTTCAATCATTTTATCATGATGGAGTGTTTTTTATGGTACCATCTTGGTCCAGGATACGCAACGTCAGGAACCATGACTCTAGTCATGACACTTTGCAAAGGAATCGTGCCCTTGAAATGATGTCTATTTTATATTTGCTACTTCAGAGGGGGCGTCGCAACCTACCAATGAGACAAATCTTCCACAGAATTATCTGATCTTTTTTTCCACGATTTCCCTTCATTGCAAAACGTCTACGACGATGCTTTGTTGAGAGCTGCATACTTGGATCTCATTTGCTAAATCAACCAATTGGTCATTGTTGTTTTGGTTTAGGTCTGGGAGCTCACCAAGTGCAAGCTGCGCTCCAACCACATCGGACACACCGGCTACATCAACACCGTCACTGTCTCCCCCGATGGTTCCCTCTGCGCCTCTGGTGGACGCGACGGTATCACCATGCTCTGGGACCTTAACGAGGGCAAGCACTTGTACTCGTTGGAGGGTAAGGGTGACGATATCATCAACGCCTTGGTCTTCTCGCCCAACCGCTACTGGTTGTGCGCTGCTACCTCGTCCTGCATCAAGATCTGGGACTTGGAGTCCAAGTCCGTTGTCGATGAGCTCAAGCCCGAGTTCACCAACGTCGGCAAGAAGTCCCACCCTCCCCAGGCTATCTCCTTGGCCTGGTCCGCTGATGGCCAGACTCTCTTTGCTGGTTACCAGGATGGCCTCGTCCGTGTCTGGTCCGTTGGTTTCTAAAGAATGCGCTTTCTTTTTTTGATGACCATCTTGCCCTTACTTGGAGAATTAAATACAACAAAAACTGGAAGTAGTGTGAAGAATCAAAAATAAAAAGAAGAATGGGACATGCCAAAGTGTCAATTTCTAGTCTCTCTTTTCTTTTTCTTTTTTTATTTTTTTTGTTCTTGTTCTTGGACATATGTATTATTATTACAGCCATTCAAAAAGAACAAAAAAAAAAAGACACAGCATGGTAACAACTGCATACTATTCGACGTAGTTTGCGGGGAAGATGCCCTCGCGTCCGTTACACCTTCCGGTCCACCAATCGTCCCGGCTAGGAGTCTTCTTGGTGACCGTGATCCTGTCTCCCTTCTTGAACGACAGATCTGTGGCCTGTTCACCCGAAAAGTCATACAGGGCCACCACGAACTCGGGCTTGGCTCCGATCCGTGGCGGGACTCTGGGTCCTTTCGAGAGGAGGTTGCCGATCGGTTGTTGGTTTGAATAGTCCGCCTGGATAATATCTGGTCGGAATGGACTGTTGCTATCGGTCGATGGACGGCCATAGAATGCTGGGGTGGTTCCGGACTTGTTGAGCACGGACGTTGTGGCCATGGGTGTATAACCTGGAACAGGGTCATCGTCTTGATCCATGCTCGCGCGCGCATTATCGAATCCCCTCTGTTTTTCATCTGCGCCGTACATGTTGTGGGTATTGCTGCTGCTGCTGCTGCTGCTGCTGCTGCTGAAGGCGACTGGGATGTTGCTGTTGTTGTTGTTGCCATATGCCCTTGCGCTCGTGGCGGACCGAGTCATTCCGTGAGGGTTGGGATTAACATTGTTGTACCTGTTGTGTGTCGCAATGCTGGCGCTGCGATTAATCCTGGTAGGGTTGCGGGACATGTCCTGGCCGAATGAGGGATCGTCATGATGGCCATAGCTGGTGTATGCGCCGGAGGCCTTGGTGTTCAATGCCCTGTAGAGGATATCCGCCTGAGGAGGGGGAGGGATCGCACCGCTAAGGAGCTCAGCAGCCGTGACAGGTCTGCGGTAGAAGGTTTCGTTCGCGTCCTTTCTCTCCATGATGATGGATCCTTCGATCGAGACACCTGAACAAAAACGGGTGGGGGGAAGGAGATTGGCGTGTGTTACATGGGTAGGCAGTCTGGCATAGGTTCAATACACATTTCTTCATAGGTATAAAAAAAGTTATGCAGATCTCTTACCTGCAAAGAGTCCCTTGGTTTTGCTGTAGGAGTAAATGGCGGCGATGCTTCCAATTGACGCTGATGCTGCTGCCTCTGCATTTCTTCCGATGGGTCCAGCGGCGACTAAACGGCCAGAGAAAGATGGACGGACAGATAGGATCGATCAGGTTAAAACTTCTTTGATTTTTTTCCCCTCTTTTCTTTCTTTTCTTTTCTTTTTACCTGACAAGTTTCCGCCTAAGGTGACATTCCCGCCTTTGGTGAACGACTTGACGGCGGCGCGCGTGTTGAGGACGATCACAAAGTCTGTGATCTCGGCCCCGATCTGGCCTCCGAAACCCATGCCACCGGTTCCAATAGCGGATGGTGCAGACCATGAGCCGTCCTCTAGACGAGCAACCACGATACCGGCCCCAGCTCTGCCCGAGAAAAGGAAGCCGGCCTTGACGACTGTGAAGATGGCGAGACCCTTGGCGTTGGAAAGGATGTCTGAGGGGATGACGTTGTCGATCCCCTTGGCTGCGATCGGGTCTACACTCGGTTGCGAAAAAAAAATAAAAAGGATTGATGAATCAATTTCCACAGCAGCAACAACAGCAACAGCAGCAGCAACAGCAGCAAAAAAAAGCCCATAAAACAAAGAAAACCGTTCGTTGCAAACGAGAAGGCAGGGCAAGGGCGTATATCCTTACCGATGAAGGCATTCAGGATCTTGGAGGCCTTTTTGCACTCGCCTAAGGCAGTGAATGTCGCACAGGGACACAAAGGATTGTTTAGTAGGACACAATACTGCTATGCACAGCAGCAGTAGCAGCAGCAGCAGTAGCAGCAGCAGCAGCAGCATACAAAGCGAGTGCAGCGACACCAGGAAGAGGAAGCAATGTAACAAGACCGGGACAAGAACTAGAAAGCGTGAATTCTTACCAGCAAGGTCTTTTGGCAGAGGGCTGTTGATCTTGACGGACTTTTTGAGGGAGGTCATTCTGGTCCTATGAGCGTGGTCTTCTGTAATGGATGGCTGCTGTTCTTTCCTGCTATGTTCCTCGGCAGCTGAGCGAATGAGCGGTGAATGGGTGTGCGAGGAAGACGTGAGTGCGTGGAGTGAGCGAAGAGAGTGAGAGAGTAAAAGAGTGATGAAGCCAAGGCCGAAACCGAGACAAGAAGGGAAAAAATAATGCCTCGGCTGTCCGGTTGTCGGCTGTCTAATCTGTGGCCGGGGCTGTTGCTGTTGCTGTTGCTGCTGCGCTCTGCTCCTCCTGGAGATCCACAGCGGGGTATGCATGGTCGATGGGTATCCATGTTGTTTCACGCGGGGCGCCATTTGCGGCCTTGATTCTCCAAAAGAGACCGGGTCCACCTGGACAGGCTGCTGCCAGTGCACAGAGAAAGAAGCCTTGGCCCTGTGCGACCCTTTGCTGCTCACAACAAATGCTGACAAAGTGCTGCCCCCTGCTGCTCGGGCCCTACCCTCCCGCTCCTCTGGTTATATGCATTTCCGGTTGTCCAAACATGTCGATGGCGATGTCGATGGAGTCATTCGGGGGCCTGGGACCGAGCAGATCCCGGATGCGATGTCTCAGCCGAGCGTGCGACACCGGTCTCTCTTTGGGGAAAGAGGAGGAGGCGCACAGACAGGGTACTTGCTATTCTCGGCAAGCAAGCACCCCGTCCTCCCGCCCAGGATCAGTCTCTTCCCCGGCACCCTTCCCTGCCACAGCTCCTTTTCTTCTCTCTCTCTCTCTCACTCTTTCTTCTCTCTCTCTCTCTTTCTTCTCTCTCTCTCTCACTCCCTGTCTCTCCACACGCACTCAATGGCTGTCCACACATATTCCCGCGCCGAGGTCCTGAAGCACAAGGGCGCAGACTCCTGCTGGGTCATCCACAACAACAAGATCTACGATGTGACCTCCTTCGCCATCGACCACCCCGGTGGAGACGAATTCATCCTCGGCCATGCCGGCCAGGACATCACCCTGATCATGAAGGATGAGCTCTCGCACTTCCACTCCGAGGGCGCATACGAAATGCTCGACGACTTCCTTATCGGCGTCCTCGAAGCCCCTGCCGCCTCCGCAACCACCACCACAAGCGTCACCCTCGACCAGACATCCAACTTCCGCATGCGCTCCACCGCCACCGCCACTGTCACCACCAAGACCAACTCGACTGCCACAACTTCAGTGGATGGACCAGACGAGGACGCCTATCTCAAGCCCACAGACCTGACAGCCGACAAAAAGACAAAGTTCCTGGATCTCAGTCAGCCATTGCTCTGGCAGCTCTGGAATGCCCGATTCACCAAGGCCTTCTACCTCGAACAAGTTCACATCCCGCGCCATCTTTCGGGCCCAGCTCGGATCTTTGCTTCACCCTATCTCGAGGTCTTCACAAAGACTCCCTGGTACATGATCCCCATCTTTTGGCTGCCAGTCATCGCCTACAACTTTTACAGGAGTCGTGAGACCGGGCTGGGAGTGGACCAGGCCTCGACTTTGTTTCTCGGCGGAATGGTTCTCTGGACGCTGGCAGAATACCTGATCCATCGGTTCTTGTTCCACCTTGACGACCTCTTGCCAGAGTCCAACGTTTCCCTCGTTGCCCACTTCCTCCTCCACGGCATCCATCACTATCTCCCAATGGACAGGTACATTTTTATTTTTTATGTTTGAGTTCGGGAAAACAAAAGACCCCTCTTGTTTTTGTGTTCATTGGCCTTCGTGCTTTGCCGACATGTGAGCCGAAGAAAAGGAACCAAAGAGTTTTAACCGAGTGTTCTTTACAACTATTTTTTTTTTCGCCTAGACTGCGCCTGGTTATGCCGCCAGCACTAGCAGTCGCCCTGGCGATCCCCATCAACAAGCTGGCCCATACGCTCCTTGTAACACCCAAGGCCTACGCCGTGATGTCGGGCCTGCTCCTTGGTTATGTCCTCTATGACATGACCCACTACTACCTTCACCACGCAAGGGTCTTCAAGATCCACTTTAAGGAGATGAAGACCTACCATCTTGCCCATCATTACAAGAACTACGTGGGTGGATACGGCATCACCTCCAAGATCTGGGACAAGTATGTTTTTTTTTTTTTTTATGTTCATGTTCATGTTCTTTTTTCTTTTCTTTTTTCCCGGACACCAAGTGGTTGACACCGTTTCAAATCTTTCATGTTTTCTTAGGATCTTCAACACCGAGCTCCAGCTTTGAAAGGCGAGACAAGAACATGGACTACAAAGCAGCACCACGCGAGTTCATGGTCAAAATTGCATTATTACTTTTATTTTATTTATTTTGCATTAATACACTCGGGGTCGTTTTCTTACCGCCCCCACTACCTCTTCCTCCTCCTCCTCCTTCCCTTCACTTAATATACACCTCAAATAAACAGCATTTGATTATGTGATACTCCAATGCTTGTCTTCTACGTCTGCGCAAAGAGGAAAAAAGAAAAAAAAAAACTCCTGTTGCCGAGCTTGCTTGTGTACAAACCGCGCTGCGCAGACTTCTGAAACAACAACATACAGAGACATGCATGCCAAAGTATCACCCCTTTCCTCCCATGGAAATTCTATCTACATACTTGTGCCACTACCCCCACCACGTTCATGTAATAAGCAAATGACCTTCCTCGTAGTGGAATGGCTACCACGTGATACAAAAAAGGGTATTTGTTGTCCCTAAAAGGAGCAATGCCCAACATAAAAAAGAAAAAGGTTGGAGGACCTGGGCATCGATCCCAGTGCCTCTCGCATGCTAAGCGAGCGCTCTACCATTTGAGCTAGACCCCCTGTTTGGCCCTTAAGAGCTTGAATCTCATTGGCTAAGAATTTTCATAAAGGCTAAGCACATTCCGTCACATGACTTTGCACTTAGGAGGTTTGTGCATTAATGGAATGTCACCCTTTATTTGCACAAAATAATGTCGCTCTCTATTTGCACACACAGCAACAGGTTGCGTGGTGTTCGCCGTGAGGAAATTGGGTGTGGAGTGCAATAAAATAGAGGGAATCGACCGAAAAGGTAACAAGAAGAATCCAGAGGTAAATAAGAGGCCACTGGAGGTTAAGTGAATAGAGAGTGAGAAACGAAGTGAGTTACGGAGTACTTTATATCAAAGAAAGACAAGTGCTAAAAAATCAAAGAGCAAGGGTCAGACACGACCTTCTATTTATCTACGGACGATAGATCCACAGTAGATGTGGTCTATCGGGATGACAAAGAGCTTCGGCACAAAGAACACAGAGTTCACAATGAAACAGTGGACACGGAAGGGGTCTTTGATGGCGGGTCTCTGTCGTTACCACTATTCCCAGAAATAGGCATATGTTGAGTGTGGCACTCTTTTAGAGTGTGGCACTCTTTTAGAGTGTGGCACTCTTTTAGAGTGTGGTCGCCTGAACTCACGGAATTACACAACAGCAGCGCGTCTCGTGCTCGTGTGGATTTATGTTAATAAAAATAAAAAAAAAAGTAACAGGTCGCGTAGCGAGCAAGACACGTGCGGTACTTGCCCATGCGGTCAGCGATTATGAAACCAGGATATCTGTGTCGGTGTGAGCCGGAATGGATGTAGCTATGCTGTTTGTAAAAGACGTTATGAGGCACATCCTCTGTGGACTATAAATCCCATATCGTTGAGGATCCTTGTAAATTTAAAAAAAAAAAAAAAAAAAAAAAAAAACTCTTTATTTGCACGCACTTTTCCTTCCTGCCATGTTTGGAGCACATACCGTAAGACTTGTGGGTGAACGAAGAACAACGAGGGTGGAAACGAGGGGAGACGTGTGAACAAGGTGAATAAAACAAAGTCGAATGGGTAAAGACAATTGTTTATTGGCTAGACTGTTATGAGTATATGAACTGAGGTTCTCCACATAGTCTGTCCTGTTATATATATCTGAGGAATAAAGGTTCTGATTAGTAATCCATGGTTCTAGACGTTTCTCGGTGCTGCCTTTGTTCATCTTTACTTCGTGGAGCTTTCTGTGATGAGGGCGAAGCTGATTCATTTTTAGACGCGTCTAGCGTCACATGACAGTATTAATCAGAGCTGAGCTCTGACAATACCGGTGCGAGTGTAGGCACACGCTGTGGCAATTCAATCCGCTCCAACCAACAAAGCCCCAGGCATATCAGAGCTGACTGGAGATCTGTTACAGCACCTTGGGCCAGTTGCGCTTTCGGTCTTTGTGCTCCTCGTGCAATCCTGCATTGCTCAGGGCACTCTAGCCACGGTATGGCTCAAGGGTCTGATCTACTGCATCCTGAAAAGTCCGTCATGGTCTGGCAAGATCAGTGAAGTTCGACCGATAGCGCTGTTAGAGCACTCAAGAAAAATCCTGTTCAAGATCCTGGTCAACCGTCTTACTGCCATCTTCGCCCGCCACAACGTCCTACATGGTCCAAATTTTTCTGTCATGAAAGACACAATGACAAAGGACCTGATTCATATCCTTAACTCAGTCATGGAGGACGCGTGAGAATTTAACAAGGAGTTGTGGGTGCCGTTTCAGGATATGCGACGCTGTTTCGATTCTGTCTCCTGTGGCCCCGATGGCATACTCGAGCGAGGCATGCGCCATTTGAAGATACAACCCCATACGACTCTGTCTGACAAATGCTGCCAAAAAGAAAAATTTGATCTTGACGGCCTTTAGGCTCACAGATGAATATAGCCCACAGTGCGGATTGGACCAGGGAGGGGTCGAATGCCCGCTATTCTGGCGCATCTCGTATGAAATTCTGCTGACGGTGGTCATGGACTCCGGGCTTGGGCATCCTGTCATGCGCAAAGCTGCGTTGGCTGGACACCGCAAACTGTCTTTCCCCCAGCCTGCGCTTCCAGACGCGGAGCTTCTGGTTGCCGTGCTTGCGTTTGTTGACGATACCACTTGGCTGGCGCCTAACTGAGAATGTCTACAAGAGATCATTGATATTGTGCTGAGTTTTTTTTCATTGAATTCTATCGAGATCAACCCAAGAAAGACAGAACTCCTGGTCATTAACCCCATCCCCGAGGATCGCAGCGTCATGCTTGGTGGCGATACCATCGAGGCACTCCCGCCAGCGACGGCTGCCCGAATTCTCGGAGTCTGGTTCTCTGCCGACGGCAAGGGCACCCACACTCGCCAGCTGGTACAGCAGGAAGTCGAATCCATGTGTTCTCTGCTGGCCAGGAAAGCTATTACAGATAAACAGGCAATTTTCATTGTTAACAGCGTGCTTATCCCTCGCATTCTGTACCGCCTCACGACAACCATCCTTACTGATCAAGAAATTACTGGGGTCGTCGGTCAGTACGCCGGGATGGTTCGACAGAAAGTCGGGTTGCCGAAAGGCACGCCTAACAGCATCCTTTTTCATCGTCGACTCTGCGGGCTCCGGCATCTTGGAGATGTGCAAGAGGAAGAGCAGATATCCACTGCGTTGTAACGATTCAGCGACCCAGGATTGGTGGATCAAGTCATGACCGCTAGATCCGATGCACACCAGACTCAGTGCCGTTTGCCGATTCCACCGTGCCAAGTCCCTCCTATTGGAGCCCAGTTCTCCAAACACAACTTCTTCGGCCATGTGTACCGCCTTATGCACAGGCGGGAGATCGCCTTCCGCCAACCATGCGCCGCTACTGCCTCCAACCGGTTGGTGGCCTTCCTTCTGCCATCAAAGGTGTACCACAAAGTCGCCCGCCAACTCGTGAAGGATAATGTGTCATGTCTAAGAGATGTCACCGCTGCAGATGGTACTGAACTGGCAAGCTGGGACGAGCTATACCGGCGTCTGCACACCAAAGGCCGGCAGCGTCAGTGGTACGTTGCACTGAGACACCACGCCTGTGTCCCACTTGTCGACGATACGCTGTGTACTGGTGTTGAAGAAGACTCGGATGAATACAATGATGACTCTGACAATATTCAAACGCAACCTGGCCAGGATACGGCTGTTGGTGCGCTATCAGTTGATATCCCTCGACCCTACTTGTCTATTACTCCCAGCAGTGAGTCCGAGGATGAGGCTCTTGTTGACCCCCGAGCTAGACAACGCGCAGAAGCCCAGGTCCGAGTGGCTGCTGCTGGCGCAGGAAAACGATTTTTCTAAACCCCTTGGTGTCATTGCTGCATGCTATGACAGTAACGGAGGTGACGAGGAGGTTTGTTTGTCTGTGAAAAAATACAAAGGAAAGCAGCCTGTGCGCGATGCGCTGCGCACGGACATTGACCCCGCAGAAAATTTCTTCACACAAGCACCCTCACAGTATCTGTATCATCATTGTTCTCTCGGTCTATATCCAACCATCTCTCCATTGAGTCTGTATCCCCATAACTTTTGGTCTCTGTTTTTTCAATCTGTCTCGCCCATCATCGTTGTTCTCTCCGTCCATTCAATCCGTCTTCTCTGTCTTCGTTGTTCTCTCTTTATTCATGTAACGTCCTAGACGTATTTCTTCCTATAGACGTAGACTACTAGACCAGCTAGTTAGGCATTCACATAGACAGATATGTTTCTGTGAGCTCCGCGTCTAATACAATCCCTCTCTTTGTCTTGTTGACTCACTGGGCCCAAAAAACATTTCAGTTATATCTGGGAGTGCTCAACAAGGTTACTCCTCGCAAGCTGACTTCTCCCCTGTCATTTGCTTGGTCCAGACCTGGACAAGTTGAGGAACAGTAGCTTCGGAAGTGAGTAGTTTAAGATTGGAAGCGCTCAGCTCGGCCTTGGGACGCGTCATCTCATACATCCTCCGCTCAAAGTCGGTGACGGCATCCACGAGAGGTTTTCCTGTCTTGACGGCATCGGAAATGGCCAAGGCCAGCTCCGTTCCATCCCACATCGCCATATTGGCGCCCGCACCAGCAAAAGGTGACATGAGATGAGCGGCGTCGCCTATCAACGTTAGGCCAGGCTTATTCTCCCAGACATGCGGGACCGGCAGCGCATAGATCGGGCGAGGTATGATCACATCGTCGCAGTGACAAATGAGATCTTTGAGCCTGTCATCCCAGTCGGCATACTTGTCCAACAAATAGCGCCGCCCCTCCGCCGGCTTGGAGAAGATGGTGTTGGTCTCCGAAAACTGGTCCTCTTCGATAGGGATTCCCGCGTAGATGCGCATCGTTTTGTCAGCATTGCATCCGGCGCCCAGTAATTTTCCGTCGGACACAATGAAGCAGCCGCCTCTGCCAGTGGTCTCAAGGATCTCGGGAAATCGAGTCTCGGCATCCGTAATTCGCAACTCGATGAATGAAAGAGACGAATACACTGGCTTGGCAGAGGAAAGAAGTGCACGAACCTTGGACCATGCACCATCGGCGCCAACCACCAGGTCAAATGTCGCCTCGTGACCACCATTGTAGACAACCGTGTACTTGTTGGCGTTCTCCTGGCTTGGCTTGATCTCATGGATGCGCGTACCCCATTGAATAGCGTCCTTTTCAATCGAATCGACCAAGAGCTGTCGCAGATCGCCTCGATCTATTTCGGGTCTCCCGACGGTGTTGTCTTCAGACTTGACATGTACGTGAATGACACCATGCTTGTCCAGCGTGCGGTGTTCTTGCGCATCACTTCGGATATAGGTCTGGAACTTGGAAAACAGACCAGCTGCGTGGAGAGCAGCCTGCCCAGACTCGGGGTGAAGGTCAAGAGTGCCACCTTGATCCCGGCTGCGCGCGAAAGTGTCGAGCTCTGTGCGAAAGAGTTATGCCAATATTATTGATTAGTGGAAACAAAGATCGTTAACTACGAAAACGATAACGACATAGTTCTTCTCTTTTCCAGTCTGCACTTACCAAAGACAGTTGAGTGGATACCATGAACTTGCAAGACACGAGCGAGGGTGAGGCCAGCAACACCGGCACCAATGATGGCAATGTTTGGGGTAGACATGCTTATTTTTTGCTGTTCTGGGAGTAGATCAAGGAAGATATTTGATGTGGGAAGTGTCTTGTGATGGCGGGAACAAATGTAATAGACTTTCTCGTTGTCTTTTATACCCATCACGGATAGGAATTAGACATCCATGCGGGCCGTTCGTACCGCGAGTCTCTAGCCAAGGCGTGCATCGTTATAGTCTTGGTAACTAAGTGTCTTTAAGTTTCAGCCAAAGAGCTGCTCGCAGACCGAAGAGCCTCTTGGAATTTTTTTAAAAAGGAATTTTTTTAAAAACGTAGTTTCGGGCTTAAAATGGAAAAAAAGGATCTATGCGCCCTTTAGCGTGTGAAAGTTTAACCAAGATATGTCCAAGATGGGATGCAGGGATGCAGGCGAGCATCGTGCAAAAATATAATTTCGTGTCCGCTCCATGCAAAAATATAAATTCGTGTCCGCTCCATGCAAAATAACTTCGTGTCTGCGCAATGCAAAATCATGTCGTGTCCGCGCAATGTAAACCATCTCTTTCACAAGAAGGGCTCTCACTCTTCCATCCCCTCAGTATTTCAAAAGAAATTGCGAAATCGTTTGCCCGCGGAAGTAACGCCCTCAGTATTTCGAAAAAGATTGTTTTGCAAGGGGCTTTCACTCGCTTGTGGCAGCCAAGCGTTCATAACGACGTTGCTTTTTGATCCTTCGATGTCGACTCATTCAATCCTTGCTTCATTTGAATTCGAGGGCGCGTTGTCGATGCTTTGTTCACTTGTACGAATTTTATTTTGTTTAAGGGGTTTGATTATTAACTCAGTGCATGCGATCAAAATAAAAAGGAATAAAACGAGATAGACCAGGAAAAGCATTACCATGTAAATTTAGTTACACTACCGAAAATAATGAGTAGATGTTTTTCACTTGCGTGGCACATTTGTCAATGGTTTCTGATCAAAGTAACAAGATGACGTTCTACTGCGATGGGAAATAATCTATAGCATTTGAGGGAAGCGGAGGAAATTATTGCGAGTTGCACACAGAGATATGTTTAAAATGTTCAATTTGTTCTATTTACTCATTATTTCTCCCATGGACATGGTTTTTATTTTTTCTGGCTCAACTACGATGACATGTTTACTCATGGCCTACTTAGTACCTAGTGTGGCCCCCCTTGGCATTCTTGACAGCTTCGATCCTTTTGGGCATACTCTCAATCAAGCCTTGGCAGACAGAAAGGGGAATCTTGTTCCATTCCACCTGAAACCTTTCCCAGAGTTCGATCATGCCTTTAGGAGGCTCCGGGTACTTGCCTAACTGGCGTTTGGCGTAGTCCCAGAGGTGCTCAATCGGGTTTAGGTCCGGAGAATGAGGCGGCCAGAACGACAAATTGTACCTGTGCTGCTTGAAGAAATTCATCGCACTGTCAGAAGTGTGTTTCGAGTCGTTGTCCTGTTGAAAGATCATATCCTTAGACTTGATCTTGTACCAGCGCTGTGTGAGTGGGAGGCATCCTCCAGGATTTCGACGTAGAGACTGGCGTCCATGTTTCCTTTGATCCTAGAAATAAATCCAGCACCGTGCCAGGTCATGCATCCTGCAATAGGTTAGGTCGCGGAGTGTGGTTGAGTATATGTTTATTAGACAAAGACTAAATAGTTGTGTCTGTGCGGGTACAGATCGCTAAATATACTATCTGGTGAACTGGGCTGGTGATATATATAACTGATCTCGTTCTAGTTCAAACTCGTTGCATCGCTGACCATGCAAACGGGAGCTGCCCTGGCCCCGTGCTTGACCCAGATGCAGCGGATCGGACGCTGTTGGACTGCCTGCAAGGGGGGAGGCGGTTGAGGATCATGGAGGGGATGGGGAAGATACCCTTCTTGTAACAAGGTGTTTTCAGCTTTTAACACACTGATGAGGTGTGGCAATTGTTGCGCAGGCCCTAGGGGCAGGCCCGGGGAATGTGACCTGTCTTTTGGCGGCTGTGGATCGGCTCTTACTTTGGTGGAAAGGACGACTGGAGTAGATCATTGCTAATAAGGTCTGATAGATTCGCAGGGTCAATCGACTCGAGAGACAAACCGTTATAAAAAAACAAAAAAAAAAAGCCCCTCTTTATTTGCATGAATCGAGGGTTGTTGTTTTTTTTTTTTTTTTTTTTTTTTTTTTTTCAAATACAGAAGTGCACAGGAGGAAATCGGAGGAGAGAAGGCAGCTCTGCAATACAAATATCTTCTTTGCCCAGTACTCTCTTGTTCACTCTTTATTCCTGCACTCGAAACACCTTTGATCTATCTCTAATAAACCCCATATATTATGATGGATGAAGGAAGAACTAATGGGCTTTATTACATAATAAAATGATGTTTATACTACTACGTATCAAGTGCTTAACAGAAGGCATATTGGGAGTGAAATATATTGTTGAGATTTTATTAGGAATTTGGGATAGGTGAGAAAAGATATGGAAATAGGAGATGCCGGGGATTGCTGCACTCCTTTCTATTGTTTCGAAGTGGACCTGTATCGCAGAATAATGAAAGACCGTATCGAATTGCTCTGCTGCGTGGCAGAGGTCGTGGATGGTGAGGACGTTCCGGTTGGTGATCTGCAGCGACATCAATGTCTGCTTAAGTTCCAAGGGAGCTCCCTCGAGAAATGCAGCCTTGACGGCATCCTCGAGCACCGAGCGAGCTTCCTTGTGCATGTCATGAGTGCAAAGGATGGCCATGTACTTGCGCACGCGCGCAACATACTCGGCTACGGTGGAGGTCATCTTGATGGAGAACAACAACGCTCGTATGTGGTCGTGGAAGCCAGCAGGGCGTACCCGCCCCCCGCGAAAGGCCTTCTCAAAGTCAGACCAGTCGGAAAGATACTGACTGCAAAGAATAATGTGATCCAGAGGTCAATGAGAACAAGAGAGGGACCTTTAATAATAATCCGCCGAGAACATTATATGTCACTCGGGAGGCTTAAATAAATTATAGGGCTCGCTGGATCTAATAAAATAAACGCGAAATGGGGGAGGGGCAATCTGATCTTGTCCATGGTTTATAGTCTATGGTCGGCCCTAGATATCATATCTGTTGTTTGTTGTTTGTCTCTGCGCATGAAAGCGAGGGAGCAATTCGTGCAGGAATGTAGTCATCGAGGAATGTAGATCTAGTCTTTCACAATACGTGAAATCATAAAAGAACTTGATATATTAAAAGACATCGAGAGTATGATGAACCACAAAAAAAAAGAAAAAGAAAAAGTCGCTCATAAGGCGCTGTCAAGCAACACACCTCCCGCTAGGAGGCATCTTGCGGCTGTGCGAAGTCCCAGTGAATGTGCACACACGCCTCCCATGATCCTCGCTAAAACGGATCGCAGTTGGTTAATGATGCAGCTCCTTCCAAGAAAGAAGCCCATCACCCGCATCCACAATCAACGCGCAGCGAACACGAATATCCGAACGCGGTGAATTCACAACCACACATTTTCTCCAGCCCAGGTCGATGTTTTGTCATAAAATAGAGAGGTGCTTACCTCAATAACGCAAGTCTTGTGGATGGTGTCTGTGAAAAAAAATATGGTTGGGAGCTTGCTTGTTCAGTGTCTGTTGTTCAAGAAAAATACTCGCTCCGATTCAACCGCACAACGACGTTCAGAACGATGATGCACTTACCACGCGGCAATGACCGCCACGATTGTCTCTTCGTCAATAGCATCGTGGCGCGCCAGAGCGCCAAGTCCTTGGGATTGAATGTATCTGACAGCTCGATTTTTGCTTTGGCTCATACTTTGCTGTGCACAACCATCAACAAAAAAAAATATTTATACAGAGAAAACCATCGTCTTTTGAAATTATATTCACAATTTTATTGACTTGCAATAAAGATTTTGCGCTCTGCTAGAATATGTACATTGGTTAACTTTGTTGTTTGTTTTTTGCGGGTGTGTCGACAAGGGTCCTCTGGACTCGCGACTTAGTACCGCGTCAGCTGTGGGCTGCCCTGGCATGGAGGCGCCGAGAATTTTGTCTGCACATACACCTTCTGCATACCCTTCTCGCGCGAATTGTACTTCATGTAGACCTGGTCCATGTCATCGATCACGACGCGATGGCTCACCATCCTGAGCGGGTCCAGCTCGCCAGTCTCGATCATGCCAAGCAGCTTCTCCCAGTACTTGTGCACCGGTGCCTGTCCGTTTCCGATCAGTCGAATGCCGCGCTCCATCAGACTGCCGATGTTGAAGTGGTTCGTGAATCCGACATAAGCACCAGTGACACCGCATCGACCATAGGCACGGCAACTGGTAATCATCTCATTGATGATCTCGGAAGTGTCGGTCTCGAGTCCGAGGAGGAGCTCAAAGTAATGGGCCCACCCCTTCGCGTATTCTCCAGCGGCGCACTCCAGCGCGACATCCACGCCCTGTCCGCCCGTCATCTTCTTCAGCTGGCTTGTGATCGACTCGCCCTTGGGGAGGTCCGAATAGTTGACGGTCTCGAGCTTGGGGATTCGCTCCTTCACCCACTCGAGTCGCCAGCTCGCATCTCCGCCGTCAATCAGAATCACACGCGATGCGCCGTTGATAAAGCTCATCTCAGCACACATCTGGCCGATTGGGCCTGCACCCCAGATAGCAACGACATCGCCCTTGGCCACGCCCGTGTCGACGACGCAGTTCCAGCTCGTGCAAAGCACATCGCTAAGGTACAGGGCCTTCTCATCTGGAACATTGTCGGGGATCTTGAGCAGGTTGACATCGCCAAAGGGCACTCGGACATACTCGGCCTGACCACCTGCGTAACCGCCCATCAGGTGAGAGTAACCGATGATGCCGGAGGTGCGGCCGCCATAAAGAGAGTTCATGATCGTGCTGTCGTTGGTGCGCTCGCACTGGCTGCTGAGTTTTACAGCGCAGTAGCGACATTGGCCACAGGCGATCTGGAAGGAGCAGACGACGCGATCGCCGGGCTTGAGCTTGGTGATGGAGGGTCCAACGCTCTCGACGACACCGCAGAACTCGTGGCCGAGAATGTCGCCCTTGTGCATCTCCATGACGACGCCGTGGATGAGATGGAGATCACTGCCGCAAATGGTGGTGCCGGTGGTTCGGACGATGATATCTGCGGGCTCGACGATGGCGGGCTTGAATGTCTCCTCGACCTTGACAGTGTTCTTGCCTTGCCAGGTCACGGCTTTCATGCGTTCGCCCGAGGGGTCTGCGAAACGGGAGACGTTGTTGGAAGGGTTGCTGATGCCTTGCTCGCTGACGGCCTCGCCGCCACGGCCTAAGGCCTGTTCGACTTTGAAAGCAACTTGAGAGAGGGCCATTGTTGAAGGTGGCTAGGAATTGATTTGTGGGAGGGGGAGGGGGAGAGGGAGTGAGTTGTGTAAAGAGTTGTGTAGAAAAGGAGTGGGAGATGGGATCGCTCGCGGTTATATATTGGAACATTTTCAGCATTATTTTTTCGCAGAACATGACAGGCTCATGACACACTCTTTAGGTAATTTCCGTAGCTGGGACTCGTCCTGTCCCATGCGTAATGAGTGCGTCAAGCCAGAAACCCCCCGCGCATATAAAAACGACAGGATCCGGATTAGCGACCCTGGAATGCCTTGCAGGAGCTGGACTGTGCGACTCGGATACAGAGCTGGTGTTTTTCTCACGGTTGCCATGACGACTATAGTGTGCTGTCTAATTGTCATGTAAATGATTTCTCCCCTCCCCCCTTTTTGAGCACCCACCCTCTGATCGCCGTCAGGCTGACGATCTTACTTTGCGGGTTATGCGTTTAAAAAAAAGAGAAGAGGAGCAGAGCGCGTCTACAGCCCAGCAAGTCCATGCATGGATCATGCAATGGTTATGGGTGGGCTTCAGTATTTACGTTCAAGGCGTCCATTAGAAGGGTTTGCAGAAAAGGAAAAAAAAAAAGAAAAAAGGCGTGAGGGCAAGCAGGCGTACTATCGATGTACCAATTGAGGCGCGACACGTTTGTGCATGTGCGCGCTTGAGCAGATGAAGCGGCCGGTATGAAAGGCAATTCTGCTAAAGGATGAAGGAGAGTCATATTGATAAAGACTGCTACCAAAGCAGGATCAAATTTTATGGATCGTTGCTAAGCTTCAATAGCCTGGAATGCGAGCGATCGATTTGTGTTTGCGTCTATAACTCCATACGAATTTAAAAAAGGCTCGTTAAAGGCAGGATAAATCCATAATGACGGAAGCAGCTCCAGAATTGTCATTGATTCAAACGATGGGTTCCATTGTGTCTCTTCTCGATGGCCTCCCCCGGCAAAATAGTCGGAAATTAGAACAAACGGGCTCGTCCGAGTCCTACGCGCATGTGGGGTTCAAAAACTTGCATTTTGCAAAGAGGCTGTGTTCCGCCCAGATCCCCCATATAGCCTTTTCATATTTATGAGACTTTAGTTATCTGACCGGGTGCATAATATTCTCAAATGAACACGCATTTACGGCTTGCAGAATAAGAAGGCTCATTGAAGGCAAAACGTACGAAGGTCGCCAAGGAAGCGAACTTTATTTGGCCGTCTATCCTCTGTATCCTCCAAGACCACATACGCATTCTCTCTCCATTGTGTCTGCTATATCCAGTGTCAACTCCCTGCAGCCGTTATACACTTTCATCGCCTTGGCTATAGCAAACCAGCGCTTCCTCAAACTGGGATTATTGATATTCTCCATCATAGGTATTTTTTTATCCATAAACCGCCGATTGATTTCTGTCACCTCGGTGGATAATTCGTCATACTCTTGCGTCAAGGGACTTAAGGTACCGGGCGATATTGGATCCCTCACTCCCAGACTTGCGCTTGCTGCTGCGAAGACTGTGCGGGTCCTTAATTAAAGTCATCGTCATCCTCCTCCTCCTATGCCTCGTCGCCTTCGTGTCCGACATCATCTTCTGTGCGTGGGATGAAGCGGTGCCTGTGCTTGTCAGAGTTCATATCTTCTGTCTCTTCGCTATAGTTCATCTTGAGATAGTTGAGATAGTTGAGAACGGCGATATTTTTTTTGGCGACCATGCCCTTGGCGCCAATGCACTTTTCTATGGGTTCCCCCTGAAGCTGAGCGATTTGATGCTCCTTTGACTCGGCTCCGAGACTGCGCAGATGTGCCTTCATGGCCTCGCCTATGATTGGGACCTCCGCGAAGCAGCTGCGGATGCAAAAACAAGGCCAGCCGTGGCAGACTTGGCTTTTTGTGTCTGGCGCGTGCAATGACCTCGAGCATCTCTTGACTGTAAAGCGTCTAGAACGATCTGATGATTCCTTGGTCGGAGGGTTGTGTCGCTGACATGGTGTTTGGAGAGAGCCGGAATGTACTGAGGTTGGCCAGGCTAAGCTTCTCATAATCGTTGTGTGTTGAAGCGCTGTCCATTAAAAGTGCAATATGGCGTCGCTGTCCGCGAATGTGGTTGTCGAGAGCTTTAATCCACTTCGTGAAGATGGGTTGTCTCATGTATCCCTTATCTGAAAAATTTGCATCGAGACGCTGGAGGATAGTCTCAGGTAAATGGACTGGACGATGCTTGGCTAGATTTTCATTACAGAAGACCGAAAAAGAAAATGAGGCCACCGATTTCGACCATGGGAATCAAATGTACAATATCTAATGGCTTGCGCTTGTCAGTTCCTGTCGCATCACTGCAGAACAAAATAGAGACACGGGCGGCTCGGACGATCTTTTTACTACGAATGGGTGGGAATGCGAGAGTTGTGTTGGACATCGCTTTGAGATAAAGATCTGCTACAGATTTATTCATCGCAATCCGCCTGCTTTCTTGCAGAGCCAAAACTGATGGGTCGATAGGGTGAATACCACAACACCTTGAAATACTCGAATTGCACAGGACAAATCAAGGACCGTGGCAGGTCATCTATACGACGCCTTATTTCTCAATCAAAGCTGTAATAAATTTCCCTTCGTCATCCAAGCATCCTTACTCAAGCAGAAAACAAGTAGAGCAAGGAAAAAAAAAAAAAAAAAAAAAAAAGCGCGAGAATATTCCTGGTATGGTATGGTACAGCGAAAACTCACAAAAGATGGTTCTTGTTTCACCAGCAATCATTACACTTGGACCAGTGGATCAGTGCTTGCGCTCGGTGCATTTTCCTCGTTATTTTTTTTTACGAAGCTACTATTTCATCATGGTCGCAGAGGAATGAGCTACGGCTACGTATGGAGCTACTTAAAGATGATGTGATGAATCCGCAAGTCTACGTACCGCGTAGTCTACCCTACAGGCGACCTTCTACTTTTTTTGGCCCTAAGCCTTGGCAAAGCAAAAAATCGCTTCAGCGAACGAAAATACAGGATGTTGGCCTCATAGATGACAATAAATGCAGCTCGCGTAAAGACAAATTTGTGTAACGAACCTTAGCTCAAGCTCTCACGCGGTTAACCTATGGCGAACTACCAGCTCTTTCCCTGTGCGCAGAGTAAGCCTGAAATATTACGGGCATCGCGCAAAGGATTTTTTGCGGCCACGACGCGACGCATGCAAAAGGCTAGCGGAGTCGTTTGTGTGATTAACTTTTGCGCCAGTGGCCTCTTTGCCGGCTTCGACATCACGTCTTTGCAAAGTATGATCCTACCCTTACGAAAGTCTGACTCAAGATCGGAGGTCAGAACACAGCCAACAAGGACAGGTTCAGTCGCGGCCATTACAAAGCAGATCTGCCTTGGAAGAGGGCATATGCAAAGCTGATCCAGGTTAGTGCAAAGAACGATATTATCATTCGTTGTCCTAGCATGAAACCTCGCGCGAAGAAGCTGACATAGGCAAAGGCACTAAGGGCGGTGGTTGCCTCTGCCGTGTTTGACTTCATGCCGACGCCATATCTGTTCCAGACATGACACCTCTCGGCGAGGGCTTGATGAAAAGCTATATAAACTGGGACTGAAGCTGGGCATCCCATCAACAGCAGCACCACAACAATAGCAGCGCCAAAACAACACTCAAGTACTCAACAGATTCTATCAGATTCTATCACTCTTATCAAAATGACAAACAACCCAAACCCCGGAAACTTTGCCAACCGCCCCAAGGAAGAGGTCCGTGCAATTGCCCAAAAGGGTGGTCAAGCCAGCCACTCTGGAGGATTTGCGTCCATGGACGCTGAGAAGCAGGTATTCCTTTTTTTTTTTACAAGCAGTGTGCATGAACAATCGCGTTTTGAGTTCCACTGCGAATAAAAAAGTTCCTCACAGCTATAATTCGGCTTCCTCCCCCCACATACAGCACGAGATCGCGTCCAAGGGTGGCCATGCTTCGTCGGGCAAGTTCGAGCCTGGTAGCGAGAGGGCTCGCGAGGCAGGCAGGAAGGGTGGCCATGCCAGCGGAGGCGGCGGCACCCGCAACGACGATGAAGCCGATGAAGCCGATTTTACTCAGGAAAGCAACACCCAGTAAACGTTCGATGGTTGTACACGACGACGATGCCACTAGTTTGCTGAGGATATCAAAAGCATGTATATAGTCCCGTCCCAACCTCACTCAAGCTATCCCGTCCCAACCTCACTCAGTTATCTCGCTCAGCTATCCCAACCCAACCTCACTCAGCTATCCCGAAACACAAAAATAAGACCCAATTTTACTCACTCCATTTGAGCATGTCCGGAATTTTACATCTTGTACATTCATGATGATAATAAGCGTAATAAGCGATGAGCCAGTACTGTGTTGCTGGCACCATACTGGCATTAACCGCCACATCAGATAGAGCGGCCGAGAGTTTTCTTTTGAGGCATTCTCTTGGATTCGTTCGATCCCCCCACTCCCCCCCATCCAGACTTTCCCATTACGGCATATCTTCTTCCTATGGACAAAATCACAAGCAGGCTCTTAAACCATTGCTATTGTGGGATTTCAGGGCTTTCGGGTTCTTGTTTGTTTATCCGCTTTTAGGCGCGGTTGCATGGATGTGGTACGGATTTTTTTTTTCCAATCGAGCAGACTACACACAGCGTTGTTCATTTCAAATTATATGCCACGGACTCTACGCACAAACGACATACAGCCATGCAGCATGGTCAGTGGCCCAAGTGCTTGATGTCGTCACAGACTTGCCCATTTGTTCTTGTTCTCCGGCCCGTTTATCCGTCGTGTTCGCAAGCCAAGGAGAAGAGACCCTTCATTCGCACTCGGCCTGAATCCGAACAGCAGCTACCAATCCGCTAATCTATGCCCGTGCTTGGGAAACATAGATAGCAGACCATTTGAGAGTAATAAAAACGTTGAAGCACTCTCTCTTTTTCTCTTCTCTTTTTCCTCATTATAATCTCTCACTCCCCTCTCTCCCCCACTCCACGTTCCTTATAAATACACCCCAGCATCATGTCTGTTGCACCCCTCCAGACCGAGACCGCCCTGGCACCCACCGGTGTTGCCCTCTATGCTCGCTTTGCCCTCGCCGGAGCTATCTGCTGTGGTGTCACCCATGGATCACTTACACCAGTCGGTATGTCTCTGTTGATCCTCTCACTTTTTGTAACAACGACGCAAAGCAAGCAGGCAATCGTGAGATCATGACATTCGCTAACAACATGTGCTTGCACGCGACATCGTATCTGGAACTTTAGATGTGGTCAAGACCCGCATCCAGCTCGATTCCAAGGTTTACAACAAGGTGAGGAATTGTGGGTTTTATCAAAAAGTATCGGAGGATGAGGTTTGGGCGCGACTGGGAGCCGCCTGAACAACGTTGTGCCCAGTTGATCTGTGCTGGATCGCTTATCTGGGTCCGTCTGCTCAATACAGAGGGCCCCCGAAACAACGTTCCTCAGGATTACGGGCAGGAGGGCGAATGGTGGTGTCATAAAGTCGTCCAGCCCTGGAAATTATGTCATGTCAAATAATGTTTACGGCGGTGGTGCTGCATGCAACGGATAATTAACACATAATAAATTCCTGAACTAAAAAAAAAAAAAAAATTCAGGGTATGGCAGGTACCTTCCGCCAGGTGATCGCGAACGAGGGCGCTGGCGCCCTCTGGACAGGATTCGGTCCCACATTCATCGGATACTCTCTCCAGGGTGGGTTCAAATTCGGAGGATACGAGCTCTGGAAAAAGATCATCATTGACCAAATCGGAACGGAGAACGCCACGAACAACCGCACCGCAGTCTATCTCGCAGCCTCCGGTGTGGCCGAGTTCATTGCCGATATCGCGCTCTGCCCCCTTGAGGCCACCCGTATCCGTCTGGTCTCTCAGCCCACGTTCGCATCGGGCCTTGTCTCGGGCTTCCGCCGTATCCGAACAGAGGAGGGTATCTACCGTGGGTTCTATTCTGGATTCGTTCCCATCGTCTTCAAGCAGGTGCCCTACACGATGGCCAAGTTTGTGGTCTTTGAGCATGCTTCGGAGCGGATCATCAAGCGCCTGGGCGGCCCAGAGAAGCTGTCGTCCACGGCCATGACGGGTGTCAACTTGGGAGCAGGATTGATTGCCGGCATTGCTGCTGCGATTGTATCCCAGCCTGCGGACACACTGCTCTCCAAGATCAACAAGGCCAAGGGTACAGGATCGGCTGCCTCGCGTTTGGCTGTATTAGCGACTGAGCTGGGATTCCGCGGTCTCTTCCTGGGACTCGGTCCCCGTATTGTCCTGGTCGGTGTCCTCACCTCATTACAATTCGGTATCTATGGCGATCTGAAGAAGGTGTTTGGAGCCACTAATGGTGTCGAGATCAGAAAGATCTAAGAAAAAAAAAAAAATAGAAAAAAAAAAAGTTGTTTATTTTGTGGGATACAGATGTAAAGTAATTCAATAAATATTATGATACAGAAAAAATATAAATAAGGCGACCCTGTTTCTAGCTACAGTTCGCCCTCGCGCTCGTCTAGGATCTCGTCTGGGCTTTCCATGACGCGTTTAAAGGTGTCGTAGTTATAGCTGTCGTCCACGTTGTCGTCCTGGCTCTTGTAGTCAGTGATGGCAAAGACAATTTCGTTGAAGGTTCGCCCTTTCTTGGCGCCACCCATGTAATTCGTCCGGATCACTTCTTTGAATATCTGGGCCGTTGACTCTGGTGGGTTGTGCAAGCGACCACATCCAAATGCAGATAACACAATTGCATCGTGTCCTACAGAACGACCATTGTGCAAAAATACATTAGCATTAATAGGCATAGCTGAAACATAACAATAAACAACAACAACAACAACAACAGCCGAGTCGATCAATTGCAGGACGAACCGTTGTCAAGGGCGATGCGGAACATATTTTGAATCTTCTTCTTGGTGATGATGATCGCTCTTTCACCCAGGATCATCTCGTTCGCTTCATTCGGGACCAGCGGAGGGTTTCGAAGCGGTGCCATGGCCTATCGATTATACAACAGCGATTAATGTCATGGTCCACAGCAAGTGAGCACAAAAGCGAGTCTGCCATCAAGGAAGGTGCATACCAGAAAACTCATCCATTCGGGCCGCTCCATGAACTCTTCATTTTCCTTGATCGATTTCCTTAGCACAACCATGTTCGGACAGTACACAGCGCCTTGGCTCGGTAACGGATAGAACTCGGAGCGCCTTGGTTCCGTGGCCAGACATTGGTGCAAATTCGTCCTGCGAAAAAGCCCCGCCTCCTGTGTAGTTCCGTCAGAGAGGTAATCTAGCAAGTGGAGGACAAGGTATCGGGATCTCGGTAAGCGAACATGAACAGAGAGAGAGGGTCCAGGCGGCGGAAAAATAAAATAAAAAATAAAAATGTCCCGGGTTATGATAGACATGCTGAACACACTAACCTCCACCTGGATACTGTCTGTTGGCCATATCTAACACAACAGGTTTGAAACCACGTCGCTTTAGTCTCAATGCCTCGTCCAGACAGTCGGCGTTCACAACCCTGACGATGGGATCATCCTGCAAGTCCATGATCTGTCTCCGAAGCCTTGTGCCCTGATATAGTCTTGCCCGCCTCACTCCAGAATCCAGTTTGTTCTTGTTCAGGTTAACAATAACCCCTGAGCTCGTCATGTACTGGAGTGATTCGAGAGCATGGATGGTCTCGGACATTTTGGGGCCCAAGCGAGCGCTCCGAGAGAACCGAAAGGACGTGACCGATGTAAAGAGCCGGGAGATGGATAGGAAGACGATAAAGAGCAGCAATGCGGCCGTAACCTGGTACCAATTACGCTCAAATCCTCGACGAGTCTGTATCCTGTGATAGCGCTTCAGCTTGAGTAGCGCCTGCTGACCGTACTGGAGGAAACGGGCAAAACGGGTTTGTGGTCTGGGCTGCGAGAACCCGGGGAGGTTCATCGAGTTGGACCTGATGGTGATCGGCTTGACCTGGTACTGTTGTTGTTGCATCTGCATCTGCTGCAGTTTTTGCTGCATGGACACTGGCCGAGAGGACAGATGGTCCTTCTTATATGCTGCAGCCATGGTCGACTTCTCCTGTTTCAGCGCTGCCCCTGTTACGAGGGGGGGGGAAGATCTGTAAAGAGGGACTGGGAAGCGCGGATTGCGAGTGAATGAGAGAGAAAGAAAGAAAGAAAGAAAGAAAGAAAGAAAGAAGGCGGAGTGTGAAGAGGGATGATGGATTCGCGCAACATCATCCCCAGGGAAACAGAAAACAACTGCCCGATTAAGCTTTCTGCTTACATGAAACTGTCCCCATTTCATTTCGCTGATACCTCGGATAAGATGGCGATGGCCCTCCAATAAATATGGCCCGACCCATGCCAGCCATTCCATTCTCCGCCGATAAAACCCTGAACGTGCGGAGTAATCTCCAGACCATGCCACTACACGCACCTCTCCTTTTTTTACTTCTCCATCACCTCTTCACATCCATCCTCTCTGTCCTGACCGCATCGCAAAACCGGATTTACTCACACAGCAACTTTGCCCCAATTCCTTTCCCGATGCAGACACCAGAGCCAACCCAGGACTCGACCCTCCGGCGCCGTGCAGCCAACCAGCCCGATAACAGCGGCGCAGATCGATCCACAGAACACGTATCGCCTACAGGCAGTTCCACAGTAACAGCAACTGGACCAGGAGCAACAGTGCCGGGCACCGAAGTAACGCCGTCGCCAGTACCGCCCAACGCAGAACAATCTCAAGGCGGCAAGGTCTTTTACAATGGCCGAGTATACGACGGCACAGGCAGGTTGCCGCGCGACGCGCCCTTCACTCCAACCTACGTCAACGCCTACACCTTCAATTCCGCCATCGCCTTTGTCTCCCTGGTCGTCACCGCAACGTTCTTCTACTTCAAGATCATCGTTGGTATTCTAGAGTCACCACAGATCGGCCCTGATCGCGAGTTCCTCTCTTCCATGGCTTCTATGGGCCCAACAGATCGTGGTGTGCCTCGTCCTATGATGACACCCATTTGTCCGTTAACTCAGGAAAATCAGGAACAGCAACAGCAGCAGCGAGGGGGCAGGGATAAGGAACAGGACGATGGAGACTGCGTACTCTTTGGAAAAATCGTGGTCCTCGCTGATACCATTTCGATGTACGGGTACACGCATGCTACCCATGGCTGGCTCGGATATCTGGCGGACGAATGGGCTGGACGGGCCGATCTGATCTTTCGTGGATTCCCAGGCAAGTGTGTTTTTAGCCTCACATATATGCCGAACACAAAAGCAAGGCAGGGTTTCAAAAAAACGTGCTTCCATAATCGTCTCATGCGCTATGTCCATTTTTGCTCCCTTACTTCTTATTCACTTTTAAGGATACAACACACATTGGGTCAAATCCATCTTCCCAGAGTTGCTTCACCAAGAGTCCAAGGGACCCAACGCGGCACCTGTGAAACTGGTGGTCGTTGCTCTCGGAACCGACGACGCGTCTTTTCCTCATACACGCCAGCACGTCGCTCTGGACGCGTACAGGGAGAATCTAAAGTCTATTATCACCTCTATCCGATACCCAGAGTCACCCAATTACTCGCCCGACACCCAGATCATCCTTGTCACGCCCGCCCCAGTCCACGACAGCATGTGGGAGACATCGCTCACTGCTGTTAACCAGACCCTTGATCGATCCAACAATGTCACAAAGGAATATGTTGATGCCTGCGTTGAAGTCGGACAGGAACTCCGGGTGCCTGTCGTCAACGTTTGGTCCGATATCCAATGTCAGATCGAGGGTTCCTGCGAATTGTACGAGTCGGATCAGTTGGAGGATTATCTCATGGATGGATTTCATTTGAGGAGAATGGGCAACGAGGTGCTTTACAAGGGCGTCATGAATGCAGTGGCACAGCATTATCCACAATTGCATCCGGTTTGCTGGCCCATCGTGTTCCCGGGGTACAGCTCGGAATCCAGTGCTGAGCAGTCTGTTCTCAAACGACACTGCAGCAAGCATTAAAGCAGGTCAAGCCATATAGCGGCATTGCGTACATGGGATATCATTATTTATTATTTTATAAATGTGTATCCGGAAATAAAAAGGCAGCTCTCAATCTACTCGATCAGAAACAATCGCCCGCGACGCTGCTCCTTGTCATGATGTTGACTGGCTTCGACCACAACAGGATGGACTTTGGAGGCATCGCGAATAATTTCCATGGATTCCATCGCCGTGGCCTCCTGCTCGACGCTGATTTCAGGATGAGCTCTAGAGTCCAACAGACTGCCTCCACTCGCCAGTCGATAGAGGACCTCAAACACGGGCTTCCTTCCACTGACACCCCACGGCGATCGGTCCTGTCCAGCCTCGGTCCGACGCCAGTTCTCGATCGCCTGATGAACCTCAGCAACTTGGTGGATGCACTTTTGCTGGAAGACTTTCAGACGACCGAGCACTGATGCTGGTAGATCAGGGCGTGCGAGTATTTGCTCCAACGAACGTTCTGTCAATTGCATCGAAAGCAGTGGCTCGCGGTACAGATTAGGCGACTCCTTATCGAACAGCATCTTGCTAGGCTGGAGCGACTCTGCGACCAGATGAGCTATAGGTGGACACGAAAATGGGAATGGATTAATATAACGAAGCAATCAATAAAACCCAGTCAGTCAATAGTCAAGGGACTTGAACCCCTACCTGGATTGCCAGCACTCTCGAGGCTTGATACTAGAGATTCGATCAATAGCTGCATCTGTGTCTCGCTAGCATCCTTTCCTGCAAACAGCTTAGCCTGGTGGTCATACACTAGAGTCAGAGCTTTCTCGGAAGAGACCGCATACGGGAGACGAGTGCCTCGTGAAACAATCAAAGTCGTCTCCTCGCGAACGTCAGCCTCGTCATCTTGCAGCTGCCAGATCAGCGTCTCAAATAGCTGGAGATACGCCCGAGTCTTCTCTACGGAGGGCTGTGGTTGAGCGGGATCCAGCAGCTGGTTTGTAAAGAACGCGATGGATTCCAATGCAGCCTCCCGCAGTTGCAGTGTCTATTGTCGAAAGAAGAAAAAAAAAAAAAAAAAAAAAAGACGTGAGAACGGGTGTTGTATACGGGACATATCGCCTTGTAAATCAGAAATGTCATTGGGCGCAGCCGTTTACCTGGTCTTCATTGGCGAATTTGCGGATGGAGCCTGCCCACCGGTTCAAGCACTCGGTACGTAGGGATTCTTCGACACTGGCATCATTCCAGATCTAATGACGATATATCGTGTTGTTTAGCAACATGTGCGTACATAGATTGAACGCATCGATACGGAACACATAATATGCGCCATACCTGAACAAAAACGTTGCCTGTGGCAGGGAGGATGGCCTCGACAACAGCAACACCTCCAGCGGCTTCGTCGTCAATACGCATATACAGCTGATCCCAAAACTCAACAATGTTGACTCTAGAGTTCTCGGGGAAGGGCTTGTTTCCCCCCAAGCTTGAGATCATGGCCACCTCCAGTCGAAGGCACTCCAGGTTCTCCTCGCCCTCGAATAGCGTGTCGATCAGGGTGCTGTGAACCGCAGCGATATCGAGATTGGCCTCGACACCTTCCCTGTTCGACTCCAAGAGCCGCTGAAGTGTCTCAAGAGTTTCTAAACGGACTTCGTAGTCGTCGTCGTTCAGTAGGGTCGTCACCATGGCGGTCGCCTGAGTCCTCGACAGCGCAGAGTTCACGCCGAGGACGGACGCTGAGATAACGGTCCTGACCATAAGTCGTCGGACGAGGTGTCCGCCGATCTGTTGACGATATGTCTTCTTCTCCTCCAGGAGCCCCACAACAGTATAGTCCACAATAAAGTTGCGAATGCCCTTGAAGTGCGAATCGCTCAATCGCTTCATCTCCTCTCGTTCACTCTCCATCTCCATTTCTGCCCCGTCTTCGGCCTCGATGGTATTCCGACCCATCCACTCTTGTCCTAGGACAAATTCAGTATAGATCGAAAGAACCATCCATCGATTCACCTGGCAGCCAGTCTTGAGCACGCGCTCTGTAACAGGTCCGAACGCGTCTGCAAATTGGGTCACGAACGACCGACGGACTTGGCGGTCGGCAACACCCTCGCCCAAGAGATGTCCACGCAGTAGAAACTGCACCTGGACCAACAATCCATGGATCTCGTTCTGAGAGATATTGGCCTTTGAGCATCCGTGCAAGATATCCACCACCAAATTCATTAGCTTCCGAGAGGCGATCAATGGAGTTAAAGCTCTTGCAGCCATCTCACGCGTCTTCCAGATAGCACTTGCAGCACATCGACGAACCAAGACCACAAAGGCTGACATGCCTCCGTCAACTGCATCTGCGGGATCGGCGTGTAAACTGGGCTGCAGTCTCGACAGCAGTGTCAGAACTGGATACAGCCCCGGATGGACCCGATCCTGCGACGAGACAGCACTTAAGAGCTGACTTACAGCCACTTCGAGCTGGCCCTGCAAGAATTCACAGAGTCCCTCCAGACGAGCAAAGAGTTCACGGCTGGTGATACCGTTGATCGCCAGATGTTCATCACGAACTCTCTTTGCACCAAATACGCGATGGAGCAACGTCGAGAACAACATAACTCCACAGTTTCGCACCGCCCAAGAAGGCGAGGAAAAGGCGCGGATCGAGAGCTCGAGTCCTTGACCGACGTAGGGCAAGACCGATGTACTGAGTTTGGCGTCCATAAAGAGCCGTCGCAGGACATTCATGGCGTGAATCTGCGGGAGATCGACCTGTTGATTGGCGTCGGGACTGACGGGTTTAGCGGCGATGGCCATAACGCGGCGCATAACCATGGGCAACAATGTTCGGCGACTGTCCGAGAGCTCAGCGTTCACGATTGCAAGGATGCAGAGGGGTAAGCCAGCGGATCGGCGGGTCACCGAAATGGCGTCGCTCAAAATCGCATCGAGGTTCTCTTCCAGCCACACGCGGGGTAGTGCTGCCAGACCAGAGTCCTCCGAGTTTAAAAGTCGTGTGCAGAGCGAGATGTAGGCAGGGAATACGGATGAAAACGCTCCTGGATGACGGATGGTAGTCAAGAGTCTACGGAAAAGCCCACCTGCGCGGCCCAACGCGCTGGGCTCGAGAATTCCGTCAACCTTGAGCGTGCTGCTTCCGAGTGTGGCCTTGGAAAGGATAAGCTCCATAAGTGCGGATGATTCCTTGATGGCTCTCCAGCAATAGCTCAGAATGACCTGGTGGTTCGGTCCTCCACTCTGCTCAAACTCGTCGCCTCCAGACGAGCTGATCACAGCATCGATCGATTCCTCCATCTCTGTGAACGTCGCAGGAATGTTACCTTCGGGTGAAGGATTGGAGAGGACGCCCATAACTATGCCGCAGACGCTCTCAACAAGATCCATCATGTCCGAGTGAACGGCCTGCCACAGTGGACGATGATTCGTGACGACGGGCGAGGCATAATCGATAGAGGAAAAGATATAACGGAGCCCAATAAGGGTCCCATGCAAAGGGTGGTTATGTGCAGAGTCCAACTGGTTCACCCTCGCTTTCTCGAGCTGGATGCGGAGTAAATTTTGCAGGCGGATAGCAAAGTCAACTGCATTGCAATTAAAATAACGCGGTTGAGATATATGAGCGAAAGGTGTTCCGGGAAATTTACATAACTCATCTCAAATTCGATTCGATAGGACATACCAGCAGGGTTTTTGGTTTCCTTGGCAAAATGCACATTTCGTAGATCGCTGGAATCCTCGTAAGGAAGCTGGATATCCCAATTCAGCTCAATAGCATACTTTACGAAAACGGTCTTCAAGACCAATCCACCAGAGTCGCTTTCGCCTGCTCGAGTGCTCTTCAACCAGTCCAGGCCCCATCGGATCAAACCATCAACGGACTCTATGGATGTGTATCCTGAGAACGGGGCCTTGAAGGTCATCAGAACCTCGAGCGCCTGCTCGCGGCAGTGGTCGAATGGGTTTGAAAGACATCCAAGCAGAACCTTTGTATGCTTCTCGTTGGCGAACGGCAGCTGGAAAGGGAACCGCGAGACATCGTCTGGCTTGGAACCTGGTGGAAGAGGTGTGCTCTCGATACCGAACGTCTTAATCATGACGCTGAGCAGCCTCAGGCTTGTTGACACTCGTTGAAAGGACGCTCCAGGATAAATGGAGGAGAAGATAAGGTCGAGAAGCCACTCCAGGAACGCCTTTGTCTCTGCAACCTTGGCCTCACGCTCACTGATCATGGCTGCGACATCGGCTTGGGTCAGATTTTTTTGGCCAACAGGAGTATGAAGCCGAGCGATCTCTCGTGTTAGCACGTAGCAGTTTCCTCGGACGCGAGTCAAGAACTTTGCCAGGTGGGAGTATAGCTTTTGACGGAAATCAGGAACGACGGAATTCAAGTTAAGAGGGAGGAACTGCATCAGCAGCTCATACTCGACGGAGGCGACAGCGGTAGTGGATCGTCTCGATTCACAAAGAATACCCAGTACATCTATGCGAATGTCGCCAGAGACATTGTACATGGCCGAATGCAGGATAGAGATGTCGATCTTGGGCATATCAGAGTCGGAGTCGATTGCTCCTGTTGTGGCGGAGGACAGCTGAGCGTAGTTGCTAGCATCTACAAGGTCGAGTGAGCGGGCAATTTTGATTGCTAGGACAATGGCGTTGAATCGATATTTTTCCTCTGCGACATAGCCTGGATAGGAAGCGCTCCGGCCACCGAGCACATCGAGAAGCGTCCAGAAGGCCTCTGGGCATATCGAGAACAGAGGAGAGAGGATAAAGTGGCCAAGATGCTTGCGGATCAAATCATTATCTGTGGTGAGAGCCTGCGCAATGGGCTTCAGCCAAAAATGAATCCAAGGCTGGATTGCAGCCTTGCGTGCCGTGCGAGAAGCATTGAGGTCAGTAGTCGAGACGTCTTCAGCTGCTGCGTTCTTGGCAACCTTTTTTGTTGTCGCGGGAGTGTATAAAACGTTGGCGCCCTTGGCATCCAGTTCCAGACACTCTCTCCATGCTTTATCAATCATAGCATTGATAGCGACGGCGGCTCCCGGTGCTGTTGCGAGCTGTTCTAATGCCAAGATGGATTGAGCGAGTGCGTCCTGTCGAAGTACGATTACCTCCGCAATGGAAACTCTTCCAACCAGAATAGCCAAGATAGGGTACTTGGACTTGCGATGTCCATCCGCCATAAGAATGCGCTCCAGAAGCTGTGTCACGAAGGCTGGCGTTGTGTGTTCGTTCCGCAAATTCGATTTCAGGTAGACAATGTCCAAGAGCAGCTCGAGAATGTTCTTGACTTTGTGCTGAACAGTGTCCACGGGATCCTCCCAGTAATCCAATACGTATGTCGTCAGCTTTTCCTGGGCCTGCTCATTGATACAGTTGGCGAGGCTCTCTTTCATCTGTATCGATGCTGTTGATTTCTCGCCCAGATGAAGCTTTGTCTGTTGAAGCCAGTGACCCATGGTCTCGAATGCGAACGTCTTACTGGACATGTCCTTGGATGTTGCGCACAGATAGGCAATGGCATGAAACAGGACTTGGTGCAGCACAAGGCCAGTTGTCTGCAAGTCATCGAATACTGCTGGCGCGTACCACCGCGATATGTCCTCGATCGGCATGACAAGGGCTTCCTGCCGAATGTTGGTCAACAGTCCACGGACGATCCCCAACATATACATGCCAGCATCCTCCTCGCCAGGACCACATTTCTCACCTAGATATGTATTCCATCCGAAGTCCATCTCAACCATGACTCCGGGAATGTCGGGCAAATAGCTGGAGTCCTGTCCATTTTCTCCAAAGACTAGACCCACGATGCGACGTGTTGCCTCCTGGACACTCGGAGAAGTCAGATCGATGAGATTGGCAAAGATCATTCCCGATATGGAAGAGATGTCGCGATGGTATACTGCAGACGATGAGACTGAAATGGCGTCCTTGAGAATCTGAATGATATACTGTTGCGGACTGTGAGTCGAAGAGATCTCGAACTGACTTGCTGGAGAGAGTGTTTGTGGCAGGGATGAAAGGGGCGAAGAGCTGGTGGTGCTGACGATTAGACGAGATATTATGGCAAGAATCAGCTTAAGGATGAACTCCAGGTCCAGCATTGCTTCTGTATATTCAGTTGGAACGTGATCCCTAGGAATCTACAAGTATCAATTGAAATAGCGAGGTAAGCGCTTGGTTCACGAGAATCATCGTTCCAAAACTGTGTTTAAGACTCCAGAACTTGCCTCTACATTTGTTGCCTGAACGCGGGAATGGAGAAGTTGTGACAGCTGCTCCAGAATGGTGTGCATGTCAGCATGAAGGGCGGTTCTTCCCATAGCATAGTCGAGAGTAGTATATAGGCAAAGGGCGCGCTGGTGCCATGCCATGTCGATCTCGATACTGGGTTGTGTTCCTGTTGTAAAGATGTTGTTCATGATGCCTGATCGCAGTGCGGATACGATCACACCATCCTGATTTGTTTCGTCTGGTTGAAAGTACGGCTGCAGCGTCTGGATCAGCGCAAAGATCTGTTTCCGCGTGGCAAGTTTGGCTGAGGCAATGTAGTAGTAGGCGAGGAACTGGGCAAATGCCCTCTGAAAGTCGGGCTGATCCATCAATTGCTTGTTTCTCTCCTTCTGTGTTTTTGCCGCTTGTTCTAGAGCGTTCATGGAGATAAGGGGCAAGGCGTGAGCTGTGGACACGATGGGACATCTTCTCAGTCTAATGGCTTTGCCGTCGTATTACGGCAGCTAGTCCTACCAAGCTTCTTGAACGCAGCAGCCTGCTGTTGAGCCGTGGTCCTGCCATAGGTCTCCTGCTCGTGCTTGGACTCGCTAACAAAGTGGATCCATGCCTGGACAAGGGGGTGCTCCTGACTGAGAGGTCTGAATGGCTCTACGAGATCGGACCAGCAGGGCGAGTATGCGACAGACAGATCCTTGGACTGAAAGGCCTGCTTGGTTCGTTGGTGCAGCACCATAGGTCGTTGTCCTTTATTGCTGCTTGACGGAAGCGACCGAGGAGAAGGGATCTTGTGCAGGACCAAAAAAAAAAAAAATGTTTTCGATTGAGTATGGCCAGGACTTGCTTTGCATCGTGCATTTGCCAGCCACCCAACATTCATTTTTCTCGTGGTCTCTTCCCCTCAACGGCCCAAAACCCAAAAAAAACACGCCTTGCTTGTTACAACTCTCGCACAAAGTCATCCCCTACTCGGCTGCCATCAGTATGAAACTAGTCATCACCCCCCGATCCGCAAAGTCGCGCAAGTTCCCCATCACTCTCGACCTCACCGGCTCACCTGCCGATGTCCGTGTCGAAGAGGTCCAGGCTGCTATCGAAAAGAAATTTCCCCAGCTGTACCCCGACCGCCAGCGCCTGACCGTTGAGAAGGCCGCGCTCGAGTCTGGCAAGACCCTCGCTGACTATGGCATCAAGGACGGCGACTCTGTCACTTTCAAGGACCTTGGTAACTTGGCATTCTTTACCCAACAAGAACGCGTCTCTTGACTCTATCCTATCGTTGTTCGCTAACAGAGAGCTGTTTTAATTGTCATCCAGGTCCTCAGATTAGCTGGCGTACTGTCTTCTTGATCGAGTACGGTGGTCCCTTGTTGATCCACCCTCTGATCTATTACCTTCCTTCGTTGTTCTACGGGCAGACCTTCGAGCACTCTTGGATGCAAACGTACGTCCTTTCGCCTATCGTTCGCCATCATTTTGGAGCTTGCACGTTAAAGTGGCGTGTTCTTTCGTACTTCTTATCACATCCTGCATCCATGCATTTATGACATGGAGCACGATATCTCGAATGTCATGACCCTGACTGATCAGTATCAATGCAAATTCATTTTACTCACAACCATATCTACGACCTGTCTTTACTCTTATCTATAGTGTGGCCTACTGGATGGTGATGGTTCACTTCTTGAAGCGCGAGTACGAGACCGTTTTTGTCCATCGCTTCTCTCACGGAACAATGCCCTTCCGCAATGTCTTCAAGAACAGTGCTCATTACCATTTGTTGTCTGGAGTCAACCTCGCCTACTGGGTGTATGGCCCCTGGAATGCCGCTGGCGCGAAGGTCGCCGAGAGAAGCGATGCTCTTGTCTACGGCTGCATTGCCCTCTTCATTTTTGCCGAGCTGTCCAACTATAGCACTCACGTCACTCTGCGTAACCTCCGCCCTCCTGGTACCCGTGTCCGCAAGATTCCTCGCGGCTATGGTTTTGACTGGGTGTCGTGCCCTAACTACTTTTTTGAGACCCTGTCCTGGTTAGCGGTCTCCATCCTAACCATGTCCTGGTCCGCCCACTTGTTCTTTATTGTTGCCGTCGGCCAGATGTACATCTGGGCTGTCAAGAAGCACAAGACATACCGCAAAGAGTTCTCAGATTATCCCCGGGGACGCAAGGCCATGTTCCCTTTGGTCGCGTAAAGCCCTCACGTTTGCAAAAGCCCTTCGCCATTTTTTTTTTTTTTTTTTTCGTGCCCGAGACTCGATTGCATGCTCGCTCGACGAAAGCTCTGACGACAGCATAAATAAAGAAGACGCTGAAAATACATGCATGGACAAAGCGATTTTTTTTTATTGGGAAAGGTTATCGAGCCCGACTGACTTGCAAGTCCAGTTCCACCAAAACTTCTGCTTTTCAGGATCTCGGCTCTCTTCACTCGACTCATTGTCCCCGTCTTTGGTTAAGTAGGCGCCGTTCTTGGTTCTTCCTTCCCCATTCATGGCATTGAACACTCGCGCACCTCCTTCCTGCACAGTCGAGGCAGCGCTGATCCTCGAGATCACATTGTCCATTAGGATACGCGTTGCAAGCCCAGAGTCGCGCTTCAAATCTGTTGTGGGAATGAATCCTGGACAGACCTGTGTATATCGGTTTCATTCGTAAATAGATAATTCAATGTTCCACAGCACAATTTATAGCACGATTTACAGCAAGGCCATGTCTCTTACCGCGTTCACTGTGATGGCGTTATCATCCTTGAGGGAGGCAGCCAGAACATGCATGCAGATGGTCTGACACAATTTTGAGTTGCGATAAATCATCATACCCTCAAATTCGCGAGAGCCGTCAACATTTTCGAAGATCAGATAAGGGCCTTTCCCACGGCCCACGCCCGGCTTGTGAAGTGTGGACGAGACAAAGACGACGCAAGATGGCTCCTCGGGCCATGTCTTCGATCCAGTTCGTAGGGAGGGCAACAGTAGTTGCGTTAACAGGAACTGGGAAAGGTGATTGACTTGCATGTTCATCTCGTGGTTGTCCTCAGTCAGTTGACGAGTAAAGGCCATGAGGCCGGCGTTCAGGATTAGGGTATGGATGCCATGCGGGAAGGAAGATATAATGTCGTTTGCAAAACGACGAACCGATGCAAACGAAGCAAGGTCGAGAGGACGATACTCGACCGTGTTGCTGTTGGTGACAAAGGATTCAAGGGATTTGACGCCCTTGGCGCCACGTTGCGGGTTGCGGCAGCCGAGGATAAGGTGGACATTGTCCAGGGACGACAGGATCAGCTTCGAGCACTCGAAGCCAATGCCGACGTTTCCCCCTGTCATGATTATGACCTTTTTGGGTGCAGGCTGGGCAGTAGGTGCTTGGGTGGCCATGGTTCTGGTGGAGACAAGAAGGGTTGGTTGTGTTCTTTGCTACTGTGGCGACCTAATAAGAATAAAATGCGGGCGCTGTTTTTGCGACTGCTTTCATCTCAATGCGAGGCTTTGCCCCTCTGAGCATATGTTGTTTCGTGCTGTCTCGCTACTCTTCGTCCTTCTTTCCTTTCCTCCTATACGCTCATTCAGGAAGAACTCTTCTCCCTCAGCCTGAGTGTTTCTTTTTAGCTGATCACCGAACTACCGCCATTGCACGCGTGCTGGTGTCACCATGGCGGCTAACCTGATTGTCGAGCAAATTGACTTCAAACAAAACGAGGTAAGTGCGCGTGTCTTTATCGGCTTATGGAGTACTCGGAGCACCAGAACCAGACTATTGACGGATGACTCTTGCTTGCTTGCCTGCCCTCAACGTGATGGTGCCAACAGGATGTCCAATATCGCGAGTTCAAGACCGGCGTCACTTTGAACCTCAGAGAGAATCCTGTGGTACCTGGTGCAGCAGCCAACACCAACCTCCTTGTTGTCTCCAACACTTATGGCTACTTTGTCGCCGGCAGCAGTGATGGTAAGGCGCTGCGGTATTCGACTACGCTGTCCCCCTTACTCTATTTGACTTGGTTAAACGCTATAACATGCTCACGCTCTTTCCTTCATATTTGTTAGGATTTGTCTTCGACACTCTTGATGCACTCAGATCAGCATTTGAAGACGGTCAAGCAGACGCGGAGAACAAGTTCAAGGCCAAGACCAAGGTCGACATTCCCGAAGATGCCCTTCGAATCATCCGGCTCTCGGCAGATGAGCTCACTGTGGTATTGGCCTTGCAAGGCGGATATATTCATATGTACAGCGTCGCTAATCTCCTTGCCAACGTATGTCCAAACCTCAGTGGTGTGTCATGCAAGAAGGTTATGTCGTTTTGTTGACTTTTAATGTGAGGCGCTGATCTCATCTAACTCGTTGAATTGCTTGAACATCTTAGCCCAAGAGTGCTAAGCCTGACAAGAAAGTTTCTGTGGGAAGTGAAATCTTGGATATTCGACCCAACCCTGCTGTCGAAAGGAACGGACTTGCAGCGGTCTTGCTTGAGGAAGGCGTGATAAAAATGATGAACATGGACGCAGCCAACACGGTCACTCTCGACAAGGCCAAGTACACAGCCATAGCATGGTCTGCCAAGGGAAAGCAGATCATGTGCGGAACAGAACAGGGAACCCTCCACCAGATCGACCCCGAAGGAGTCATAAAGAAGGAGCACCAGGCAAATCCAGACAACATAAATCATCATGGTAGGCTGGAGTATGCAAAGGGTGCCTCTATACTATTCTCTCGAGCTTCTCAAGTCTTGATGCTGACTTCACTCTTACTTGTATGCTTGGTACATAAAATAGTTGTCGCCATCAACTGGATTGAAACAGCCATATTCATCGTGGTTTACTGCCCGCCACCCGAGAATGGAGAGACTTTGTTCGAGTTCAACGTTTGTCTTATTTCAAAAGAAAATCCAGCTCAACCCAAGTACTCCAGCTTCGGTGAAATGTGTTTCCCAATGCCGAGTGACGAGGCAGGCACGACGTACTATATGACACCCTCTTTGAAGTCGTGGTAAGTGCCCGTGTACTTGACCATAATCAGGCGCATTGTTTAGGTCTCTACTTGAACACCTGAATTGACCCTTACCGGTCGGCCTTGCATTTTGAATTTTAAACAGGGGAGGCAACATCAAAGAGTTGATTACTGTCACAAGTTCGCCATCGTCAGACGCTGGTATCATTGGAAGATCTGCGGACGGAAGCTGGGAGAAGTGGGATCTCGACGACACGTATCGACCAATTGTTCCTGGAGTGGACACTGAAGCCCTATGTGTGGGGACAGCACTGGATTTGACTTCAACAGCGACACTACCGCCGCTTGACGACGATGGGCCCGAGATCCAGCCAACTCCGATCGTTTACATTTACAATAATTTCGGAAATCTGGCCGCCTATCACCTCCTCAACCTGCAGACAGCAAAGGACGGTCGACCATGTCCTGCCATGGTGAAGGCACGCGCATTGCCCCAGAGTGGTGCGAAGCCCAAAGTTGCAGCGAGTATCCCATCAGCCCTCCCTAGCGCCAAGGTTGCTCCTACCCTTGCCTCGCCCGCGAAGGCAACACCGCCAGCATTGACACCCTCGCCCTTTATGACAGCGGCGACGGGACTCAAGGCGTCATCAACTGCAGCTCCAACCATTGCACCGACGCCGCAGGTAAAGTCGCAACCAGCGGCGAAAGTGGCCTTTGGCGCCGCTCCAGGATTGTTTTCAAACACAGCCAGCATGTCCGCCGCTCCTCCAAATCCTGTCGTGACCCCGAATCCATCGTTTCAACAAAACAGAGCTGTTTTGCCCAAGCAGCAGCAACAGTCAAGTGTTGTGCAAAAAATGCTCCAGGAAGCAGAGGAACCGCTCACGATCAGCCACAAGAAGATCGAGGAAGATGAAACATCTGCACCCATCCCCAAAGCCAGTGCAGCCATGGACGCACTTTCTAGACAACTCGAAAACACATATTTCGCCATGACAGAGGAGCTCAAGACTCTGCAGAGCCATGTTAGAGAGACGCAGGAGCTGGTGAAGGCACGTGAGCATGTGTTTGGGGAACTGGATCACTTCCTGATGCTTACCACGAAGCGTATCAAGTTTGCAAAGGACACAAAGGGATTGGCCGAGACTGTGCTCGCAGATTTCGTCCAGCTAAGAACTGACCTCATCAAAGGTTTGTTTTCGGCTGCTCTAATGCTGCTCTGTTATTATTAATCTTTTTGATTGGCAACCTAACATTCTCTTTCATTTTTTACATAAAGTAACGACAAAACGAGAGGAAATTGGGCGCTTGCTCAAGGCTCGTCAAGACCCAAATCTGCGTGAAATGGTCCTGTCCAGTGAACTGAATCCCGCCCAGCTCAGCCAGCAGAAGCAGATGAAGGCATCGTTTGAGGTAAGTGCGGCTACTACTGGCAATTATAATAAGAATCGCAGCTATGTTTACTTTCTATCATGGTGCGAATGTTGATTATATCATGCTTTATTGTATCTTGGTCTTTAGAACGTAGATAATCGCTTGCGAGAATTGGAGGACTATGTGGAAAGTTTGAATCTAAGAGCGACCAGGATGCGCCAGGGTCACGATCCCGAAGGCCCCACTTTGGACAGTATTCGTCGCGCTATTCGAAACATCAGCAGTACTCTTATTCAAAGGCAAGCTGACTTGGATGGACTCTCGAGCGAGCTTGATCGTTTGGCCATCTCCGCGAATCTCAACCCGACAGTGGACCGGACAACGGAGGCACCTGCAAAGCAGCAGGTTGCGACGAAGACCCGAAGGAGTGTCCGTCTATCGGAGTCATTCTCAGCCCCTGTTCAGCAGCGACCCGCGACGCAGGCCAAGGAAGAGCTCGCTCGCCAACTCAGGCGCGTTTTTACGAGCAATCCACGTTCTAAACCCCTTTCAAGCACACTGACTCAAAATTCTCTTGGCGAGCCGCTGTCGGCCTTGCCTAATACAGCTGCAACGGAATTTGTCCCAGCATCAGAGCCACGACGCGCAGAGGCTAAGAAACGACTTTCAGCCGTCATTCCATCGCAGAACGAGACATCACCAATGGCACCCACGTCGCTAGCAGCAGCAAATCCCGCTACTTCGTTCACCAAGATCGCGCCTGGACTTGCATCGCCATCACCAGCGCCGGCCTTCGGAACCACAGCGTCTGCGTCATTTGGAGTTGCCGCCTCTCCTGGATTGACTGCTCCGTCGTTCGGCTCGCCTAAGCCCTCGCCTACATTTGGAGTGTCTCCTGCACCAAGCTCCAGGTCAGGTCCAGTCCCTGGATTCGGACCTACTTCTTCATCGACGTTTGGGATGGTGTCCTCTCTGGCACCAAAGCCTTTATCTGGTACCAGTACTACATCCCCTCTTTCGTTTGGATCGTCACCAGCTGCAAGCGCCAAACCCCCAGCCTTTACCGGATTTCAACTTCCAAAGCCAGACACGTCGTCCGCCTCGGCTGCTGCTGCTGCTCCAGCTGCAGCTTGGTCCTCCCTCAAGGCAAATACTGAAGAGCCGAAAGCCTTTACTGGGTTCCAGGTCCCTAAAACTGGAACTCCATCTACATTAAACACCGTTCAATCTGCACCTGTTCCAGTATTCAGTTTTGCGAAGCCTGTTCCACAAGAACCAGATCAGAAGGAGCAGGACGAGCAGGACGAGCAGGACGAACAGGACGGCCAGTATGAAGAGAAGGAGGGCGACGAAGAAGATTATGAGGAGGAAGGATATGAGGAAGATGAGTACGAAGAGGAAAATGAGCAGCAGGATTCCCATGGTCGTCGGGTGCGTTATGTGCATAATGGTCATGAGTACGAGGTTGAAGAGGGCTCCGAGCCTGAGACCTGGGGATCGGATACCGACCAACGCGACTACGATCATGAGGATGAAGGAGAGGATGAAGGAGAGGATGAAGGAGAGGATGAAAGAGAGGATGAAGGGGAAGATGAAGGGGAGGATGAAGGAGAGGATGAAGCAGAGGATGAGAGCAAACAGGAAGAGAGTCAAGTACCCGCCAAGCTGGAGACCAAAGAACAGCCTGCCAAAAGTGCTTGGGCAGCACCAGGATTCCAATTCCCAGCGACTGCTCCGCCTACATCGGGTACCCCAACCACGACGACTACCTCCAGCTCAGGATTTTCCTTCTTCGCAGCTGCTGCCAGCAAGGCGGCGAAGGAGGCAAAGGAGGCAGCAGATGGCGCGAAACTGCAACCATCCTTTGGCACCCCCAGTGGCACAAATACGTTTGGATCTACAACATCATTCTCTTTCGGCAAGCCATCCAGCTCCTCAGCTCATGCTTTTGCTTCCTCCGCGCCCAAAGAAAGCACTCCAGCTAAGGAAGAAGCACAGCCTATGACCGTTGCTCTACCTGCAACTACATCCACAACTCAGGTATCTCGAGAGACGAAGCTTGTGGACAGTGATGCCGAGGCGAAGGATACGGCCGAGCAGGAAGATGAGGCGTATTCAGAAGAAGAGTATGACAAGGACACCTATCGTGATGAGGCTGGATCTGAAGATCAGGCAGGAGATGATGAGGAAGAGACGGGAAGTGTCACAGATGGTGATGGAAAAGAGTATGACTCTGACCAGAATGAGCAGGAACAGGAGCAAGGAGATGAGGAGGCGGATGATAGCGACAAAGAGTCGGCATTGACCGCGGTGCAAATTCCTGGTGCCACTTCATCCAAAGGAAAGAGCGGATCGTCCACGTCGTCCGGTGAATCCTTCAGCCTTGTCAACAAGTCTCCCTCACTCGAGGAATCTGACTTGGGCTTTTCCAAGGTTGGTCTGGGTGCTAGTAGCTCCAAGAAGGATGATGGAGTGACTTCTCTAGTGAGCTCTGCTTCGGAATCTACAGCAGGCGCTCCTCCGACCTTTGCGTCAACTTCATCACTCAGTTCGGTCCCTACCTTTGGCTCGGCTCTCACTTTTGGATCTGCCCCTGCATTCGGATCTGCCACCGGTGCTAAAGCTCTACCAACTGGTGTTGATTTACCCTTTGTCAAGCCGCCACGCCATCGCAAGGAGTCTAGGGATTCTTTGGATTCTAACACGACAGATGATGAAGCCGATAATAATCTCTCCGATAATGACAGTTCTCCAGTCATTCGCGGTCGAAACGCAGCACCTTCACAAGTAACCGGTTTTGGAAAGTCCTCTGTCAAGGAGAACTCAGGCGGTCTCGACTCTTTTAACCTGTCTTTGGGTGGCGATGCTTCATCCAAGGCAGAGTCCAAACCCAGTTCTAGTGCATGGGGCACGAGCTCGACCTCCTCTTGGGAATCTGTGAGCCACACCTCTGCACCCTCGAGCGGCTGGGGTATGGCCGGCACCTTGGGCTCTGCTCTACCAGCAACATCGACACCTGTCAGCACTGCATCACCATTTGCGACGCAGACATCTGCGCCAACAGCATGGGGTTCCGGTAGTAGTGGATTTGGACAAACAGCAAAGCTCGGATCAGAAACATCAGCATTTGGACAGACAACTCAGGTCAGCAGTGGCGCTACGGGCTTTGGACAGACCTCGACATTGGGAAGTGGGTTCGGGCAGACCTCTCAGCCAGGGAGCACTGCAACTACTGGGTCCGGATTCGGTCAAACTTCGACGTTGGGTAGTGGCGCTTCCACAGGATTTGGCCAAACATCGACTCTTGGCAGCGGAGCTGCGTCTGGTTTTGGTCAAACAGCGACGTTGGGCAGTGGGACTACATCTGGATTTGGTCAGGCGTCCAGCCTTGGGTCAGGAACTACATTCGGTCAGTCGTCTCAGCTGGGTAGCGGTGGCTCAACCTTTGGCCAACCCGCAACACTTGGGGGTACCACAGCGTTTGGACAGTCTTCTCCATTGGGTGGGGGAGCTGCATTCGGCCAGACTTCGCAGCTGGGATCAGGAACGGCATTTGGACAAGCCTCGCAGCTTGGAGCAGGTACGGGCTTTGGCCAGACAGCCTTTGGACAGCCATCGCAGCTTGGAGCAGGCACGGGCTTTGGCCAGACAGCCTTTGGACAACCATCGCAGATTGGCGCAGGCGCGGGCTTTGGCCAGACAGCCTTTGGGCAGCCATCACAGATTGGTACAGGGCTTACCAAAGCGCAGCCCACGTCCTTTGCAACGCAGTCCAATTTTGGATCATTTGCAAGGTAAGATATATGTTCAATGTGTGCAGTTGCTCTTTTGTATTTTGTATTTTGTATTTTGTATTTTTTATTTTTAAAGCTAACTGTTTTACTGCTGTGCGTGATGTGTTTATAGTACTGGTACGAATGCGTTCGCTGCTTTGGCCAGTACTAGCACCAATGTCCTTGATCAGCAGGCTAGCCAAGGCGGCGGATTCGGTGATGCTGGCAGCGGAGGCAGCGCCTTTGGCGCAGGGTAAGTTGTTTGATATCCTTTTAAGTTTTGGACGCATTTGTTCTTAATACTCATACCTTACTTCATTTTTGTCAATAGAGGAGGCTTTGGTGGTGGTAATGGTGGAGCGTCAGTCTTTGGAGCTGGCGGTGGGTTTGGTGACAACGACCAAAGCTCTGGAGGTTTTGGAGGGGCCAGTACCGGTTTTGGAGGAGCCAATAATACCTCGTCTGGATTTGGATCCTTCGGTGGTAGCAGTGCAGGAGGCTTCGGCTCTAGTAGCGGCGGCGGATTTGGAAGTGGTCAGGGCGGCTTTGGTGCTGCTGTTGGCAGCGGTGGGTTTGGACAGCAGCCCCAAGGTCAAGCTGGGGGTGGCGGCTTCGGCGCCAATACTTCTAATGCCACTCCTAACAAGCCATCCTTCAGTACATTCCGTTGAAGACACTGCAATGATAGTAATAACCCAACAATAAAACAACCGTCATTGAACTCATGTTTCGTACTTCTGTGTTTGCGCGTTGGGTCTGGTTTACAACTCAATGGACGCGTGGAACAACTGGTCTTTTTAAACTATCCTGCAGCAGGCGCCTATGACATTATTCGATAGGAGCCTGGCGATTCAGGGCAAAGGTCCATTGTTTATTGATATTGTATGAAGCTACTCAACATGCGGCACAGATAGTCCATGATGTTTGCGCACAAAGCACACGATCCTCCTCACAGCGTCCATGGGATGTCCAATGCCACCCCCGATGTACGCGTCGTTGAGCGCGAAGTGAGGAGGAAGGTAGATTCCCCTGTCGCACAGAAGGGATCTAACGATCCGGGTCCTATCGTTTTCGTACAGTGGGTTGTAATGTTTACACTGCTGCAGCCTGCGGATGCCACAATCGCCTCCCCATTTGCTCCTGGCCACGAGGAGGACTTGAGCTTCGCTCACGACTTGGACCGTGCCATCTATACCGCTGGCATTATCGAGGGCAATATTGGGTTCCAGTTCCTGAACATCCAACTCATCTAGACTGTATTGCCTTTTTGCATCCTCCTCTGAGATCCATGAGAGAATCAGCACACCGTACCGCTCCATCGGCCGCATATACCCTGGCAAGGGCTCAGGGCTAGTCTTATGAAGATCTCTGCGGCACTGCAGACAACGTAGCCCTAGGGTGTTACCAAACGGCAGAAGTTCGTCCGCACCCGTTCCTGAGAGGTTAGGGCGCGTTTCACAAGGTACTTCCTGGCGGTTGACGCTGCCTTCATCGACGAGAAGGGTGCTCCAATAGACATTCTAAGCGGTAGAAGCAGAAGCAAAAGGTGCTTGGTACTGTGGCGTATATGCCTTTTCCAATCAAATTCAAAAGGCGTAAACACGAAAGACATCGTGGTAGCTGCTCTCACTTACCGACATGATGTTTTATATCACTTGTCTGAGGGCTGATGTGAGTAAGAGATGTCGCGGCGTAATAAAATAGAGGGGCTGTATGGAGGGAGAGAGCTAGGAGGGGGAGATGGGGTAGGAAAACGAGACGAGTCAACGAAGAAAAGAGATAGACAAAATATACTCGAGAAAAAAGTGCCATGGCGATGGATGGTCTTGAGTACTTTGCAAATATAGATTCAGCCTTGGGAATACAAAAAGCACAGCTTTCAGACGCGTCAAGGTTTCTAGCTTGTTATCAGTAAAATTTTAGTGGTACTGCCTGTTCCTGAATCGACGCGTTATTTCTTCATCTCTATTGTAGAAGCACATCATCACACCGCATCATTCCTTGCATCTCCTCACCTACTTCACCTCCTTTCATTCTCATGACTATGTTGCCTATCCCTACCAACTTGTTCTCTTCCTTCCTTCGATGCTCTGGAGTGATCGCATTATTGTCATTCCCTCTCCACTAAAGGTTTTAATGCAAGAGCAGCGTCAGAAACTTCAATTACTTGAGTATTAGTAGCATATTCCTTGAGAGCGACACAGGCATTGGACCCGACATGCTCGATCAATTGGCTAGTCGAACGTATAGGGCTGTTTTCATGACATCTGATATCATCTTTGAGAACAATTGCCTTACACAGCTTTAGAGCAAGTATTAATGGAAACAGCGACTGGAAGCAATAGTCGTGAACGAGGCTCATTGTGTCAGCACCTGGGAATTCAAACATTCGATGGGAAAGGGTAGTTTACACAAAATCAACAAGCGTAGTCGCAAGTCAAATGAGCAAACCCTCTCTTAATCAAAGCAGACACTGAAGATTCTTGTGCCTCAGTTTCCTCTTACTCAAGGCTTTCGGTCATAGTGTGGTGGTTGTCGCCATCCGTTGTAATTTGAATAAACGTCTCAAAACGTCGTGCTACTAGCTTCTGGAAGCCTTCCTTGGTCAGTCCTCTTCATAAGCGACACGTTGAGGTCGTCCGGACGAGGATGTTGCCTCGAGAATATAGTGATCTCTGAGCAACCTCATTTTTACTTTCTAATATTTCCTTCTGCTGATACTGCAGAGTGATAGACCAGTCTTTGTTAACAATCGGTCTGTTTTGTATATGTAAACGAGCGCACTATCTGTGACTAAAAAGAAACACATGAATATACATGGTGTATCAAATGGTATCGACAGCTAGCGCTTGGTCCTGTATCTCCTGAATCCCGTTGACAACCGTCTACCAGCCTCGTACCTCATGGGCCTCGTGGGCTTTACTCTCTTGCCCGAGAAATTCCAAGTCCTCAAGGGCATGTTGCTTTTAAGAATTCCTGAATGCACTCAGTTTGTTCCATACGACCCTTTCCTGCGTCTATCGATTGTATAACATCAGATGTTGTTCTATAGGTGGAAGCTTCTATTAGTAAAATGAAAGCGTCGATAAGTATCTGTCGAAGCATATTTGAATGGTAGACAGGATGATGAAGACCAGCGGATAAAACTTTCCGACAGGCGAAAGGCAGAGAATATAGACACACAATTTTCATCGTCTACCCATAAACCCACAGGATCACATTTTTTTTTTCTACGGCTGTTGTTCATGGATCGGCCTCATTGATACCACGATCTATTGGGGTCTACGATACTAGTCGAGTTCTACAGCTTTGAACCCCCGGTAGCAGTGAGCTTGTCAGTGCAGGAAAATACCTTCGACGGGGTATCGGAAAACAATCTGAAACAGGGCCCTTGCACGGGTTGCTGCTGTGCTACATCAGACTGAGACAACCTCCGTTCAGTGCTATTTGCACATATCTGGTGGTACGATGTCTCGATCTGTGTAAATCGCTCTGTGAGCACCAGCGTCATCCGTGGGTGAGCCGTTTTAGAATACTATTCGTAAACAGTGCAGGATGGGAACGTTTTGTAAGGGGAAGGTGCTTTTTTTTGACTACTTACATAATAAGATCCATTCAATTATCGGTTATGCGAACAAGAAAATAGGGTGCCTAATTTTAAGCAATAAATCGGGAATAAGTTCGTGAAGACGATACTCCTCGATGCGAAAGTTTTTTTTCGTTACCTCTGGTATCCTAGAACGTACAGCAACTGCTATACGAGACAGACAAGGACCGCCAGTCGAGTGTCAAACAGTTTGGTTCCTTGCGATCGATGTAGTCGGTGAGAGTGGCATGGTTGTGTAAAAATGTGTAACTGACACAAAAAAAGGGGTCGCCTCGGTTTGTGATATCCTGTTAATTGGGGTTACTTGAGGCTACCCCTGGTTTTCAACCTTAAAACGCTAAACCGAAACAGTTTGCACCGCAACTATGGAATGCATCGTCGGGCCAGGTCCACTTTCTTCTTCTACATATAACACCCGCCATTTTTCTTGCCCTCTTCTGCTTTCTTTCTTCTTCTCTTCAGCAACACTTCTAATTCCTCTGTCATTCTTCAACATTTGCCTTCGTCTGTTTACCTTTGTCTTCATTCTGTGCAGCTAGTCTCCATCTCCACCTCGCTTCACACCTACACGGCCACACTCACCCACGCACTCTTGATAAAATGACTCACCGGATAACAATGCGTCCCTTCGTGGCCGCCATCATCTTGGCCGTCCTAGCCATCACAGTTACATTCGCCCTTGTCCCCAATCCTTCTCAGCAACAGGATCGCCTCATTGATGGCTACGTCATCCGTTCTGAAGCACATGCTTTGGGAAAGTTCAAAGACTCGGGTTACAACTCTCTCAGCAACCTGGCCGTGGGTCGGTATCCATCGGTCTTGCCTGCCATCAAGGCCCTCCCTCCTATGGTGGCTAGCAACTCTAGCTCTCTCCAGAAGCGCGCCTGTAACTGTCCTGCGGGCTATGGATGCTGCCCGTAAGAACCCAATTGAAAACGAGACCCTCTACGATCGGGAATAGACTGATTCGCCAGCAAAGTCTTCGCACTCTAACATCCTCATTTACATGTCGTTGGGAACGTAGGGACAACAAGTGCTGCCCCGGCGACCAGCTGTGCTCCACCGCAGGATGCTGCGACCGTGAATATCTCTACACCTGCGGTGGCAAGTACTGCTGTCCTGTATGTAATCTGTTTGTGTATTTTAAAACTCGGTCCTTTTCCTCCATTTTCGTATCACCATCAACCATTTCTAACAGGAGATACGCTGTGTTCCATATTTCAATAATAACCCCCTCCCCGCCACCTGTACTAGTACTCAAACTGCAGCTTGAGCGGACATTGCGGCTGCGAGTCCCAGAATCAGCAGCGTTGCGGAGATAATTGCTGCTTTTTCGGCTGCACCGCCGATGGTATGTAATCAGGTTCCTTTTTTTGTTTGGGAGAGCGCTAGGGGAATTATTTTATAGTAGCAATATTAACCAATCGAGATGGTTGCAATCAAACCAGGTCAACAATGTGCTTGTCCTAAGACCTACCCCACCTCGTGTGAAGACGGCAAGACCTGCTGTCCTCCAAACGCCGTCTGTGCTGGTAACGGCAAGTGCAGTCCTATCGGCAGCAACACCACCTCGACCTCGACCTCTATCGCCACCGCTGCTCCCCAGCCTTCATCTGGACTTTCTGAATCAGGGTCAGCAGGGGGCAATCCTAATGCTGGTGGTGCTGCTGTTGTGCCTGCAGGCGCAAACAGCCTACAGTACACCTCCGTCATGATGGCCGCCCTCTTGGCTATTGCCGCCATCTTGGCTGCTGGCTGCTAATTGTAAATGACAGAGGAGCATATCCACACAGCACCCCTTGTACCATAGACTATCAGAAACATAATAAATCCGCATTTCCTTTTTATGGAACGTATACATGAATCTGGTGCTATATTTTACAAGGGCAATCGATATGAAGAGAAAAAATTTCTTTCTCTTTAATCATTCCTCCTCCTCTTCAACCACTTATCGCTCCTCTTCACTCCTCCGACAGGCACAAAGACCTCCTCAACAACAACAGCAGCAACAACAACAGCAGCAGCGTATCTAGGAATAAGGCTACCGCAGCGACAAAAAGAAAGAAAGAGGCACCTGTGCACCACAACCACCGTTCGCAACTTAGATAATGCAGCCCACCCTCTTCTCCAACGTCAGAACAAACCTCTCACACTTGCCTCGGTCCATTTCTCCGCACTTGGCCTCACCCGCCTCGCCTTCATCTTCATCGTCCTCGATCCGCTCCCTCTCCCCAAGCCGCCACTCTCCACACTTACGCTCCAGATCCTCCTCTCCTTCCCCAAGGAGGTTCGCTAGCGTACTCGCCTATCACGCGACCCCTCCTCCTGACGGCTATGGCAAGCGCAAGACGACCCCAACGGACGAACAACAACAACAACAACAACAACAACAGCAGCCAACACAGCAGCAGCAACACGGACAGCTAGACGGGGAGGACTTTGAGCCCAGTTTAAGAGAGCCATTGCGTCGAAGCGCCAGCAGCAGAAGCAACAGAGACAGAGACGAGAGTCCAGGTCGAATTGCCTTCAGAAACCTGGAAGAGTCTTGGAAGAGGTTCGAACTAGAGTCCTCAACTTCTGCGGCGTCGTCGCCTTCGCTTGGATCGTCGCCTTTGCTTGGGTCGTCCAACTCAGCAAACGGATCGCCCAGTTCCAGACCAGCTTCGCCCTCGCCTCTATCTCGACCGCTGTACAGGGAATTGATTGAGTGTGCATCGCTCAGAAACAGTGCAGCAGTCAAGGACGATGAGACCGTCAAGGATGTAGCAGTGCCTAATGAACGCACATCGAGTAGCACCGGCATATCTACGCCTATCACAAAGAGCACCCACAGCGGAGGAGAGAAACCATCATCAGGTCCAAAAACCTTGTCACGGCCATCATCCTCATCTTCGTCGTCGTCGTCATCTTTGACGGGAGTGGCGACCCCTGGGGAAATTGCCAGGACAGCAGACGAATATTTTCAACAAGCAGGACCCCCACAGGGATACAAGAGTACGTTCTTGGCCTCAGATGAAGCTCGACACATTCTGGATCTGCCCTCTCTCCTGGGCAAGGACCCCAACATGATTCCAGCAGTCCTAGCAGTACCTATTCCACTTCAGCCCACACGACCTAGCAAGGGTCGTTCCTCATCTGTGCCCTCCTCAACAGCTGCGGGCTCTACAGCAGGGCCATCTAGTGATCAGGAGGCGGACACACAGGCCTCGAAAGCGGTCAGTGATCTGGATGCCAAAGCCAGGTCGACGGCCAAGGCCATGACCAAGCGATATGCGGCCAAGAACCTCAACATGACTGAGACAGAGGCTCACCGCATGGTCCAACTGATGGCAGCTGAGATTGTGGCGCTTCATGAGGAGAGACAGGCGATGGTGCGGAAGATGGAGCAGGCCAAGCAGGAGATGCTGGAGGCTGCCAGGTTGCTGAGGATGAAGGCTGCGGGCGGTCCCCAGACTGGTACGATGGGCGAGAAGCCCCAGGATATGTCGGACGAGGAAGAAGGGAGGCAAGGACTTGACGCCGGCTTGTATGACAAGGACGAGTGGAGGAGATGAATGAATACCGGCATCGAATCTTGAACTAGCATCGGTGCCAATAAAGTCTTTCGTAGTACAGGTACAATCGAGCCGTTGAGTTATGGCCCATCCATCACATATCGACCTCATGAAACAAGGTCCAGTTCGACGCAGGGGTATCCAGCGCAACACAGGGCTGATTTTTGTTGTCCCAATTCTATTGGTCATTATAGGTGCGTATCTTTATTTCATGGTCGTTGCAATATGCGGTTGATGTGTGTTATGTGCGTTCGTTTTCGTGAGGTTAGACTACAGGGAATATGATATAATCGATTCGTTTTTTTTTCTCCTTCGTTTCGAGGCATTGCAGTTGAAAAGAGATGGATGTGTTTTTCTCCGGCCTTATGACAGTACCGACAGGGTCACTGCCGACGAAATCAGCACCGCAAAAACCTTGACCATGAGCCATCGATTCGAAGAGACATAGCTATAGTACTTCAGTAGCTCCGTCTGTGCCCCTGTCACATTCGACTCGATATCGTCCGTATTGGCATCGATTCTATGAAAAGAGAGAAAGAGAGAGAGAAGGAAAGAGTCCAGATAGTTAGAACAACTATTCTGTTTCACGAATATGATTGTCTTGTAGTTTTTTTTTTTGTCTCGTACCTTTGAACCATGTCCCTTTGCTCCGAAACCATCTGTGCCAGCTGCTGAAAGATGCCTCCCAGTTCCTGCAGCGTGGATTCGATGGACTCTATTGCTGTTGATCGACTCTCAAGATATTGATTGCTGGAGTCCACCAGTTGCACTTGTTGCTGCTGAAGATTATGTGAGGGCGTTGATAGGTCCAGTGAGAGAACATCCTTGGGCGGATTGGTGCTTGAGGCCGGACGTCGATCAAGGTTGTACAGTGGAGAGTCGCCTAAACACAAATAATCAAAGCCAAGGAGGAAAAAAAAAAAGGTCAGCATTCTGCAACGATACCAGGCAATAACACAGAAAAACGAAATGCAGGTGCATTCTCCATACTGGCAAAGGTGCTGCCCTGCTGCTGTGCCGTAAACATGAATTGTTCCCGCCGATCTTTAGTCGCCTTCATGTTTTCAGTCCGGAGTTCGAGCACATCCTTAAAGGCCGATGTCTGTGCCGCCAACCTGGACTGGAGCATGACGACCACATTGGCATTGTGTTCCACTGCCTGCTTGCCGGAACTTGTCGACTTTGCACTCTGCTCCTTGAGATAGCTTTGCAGATGTGCAATCTGTTTGTTCAACTTTGCAATGTCCTGCTTGATGATATAGATGAGTTCCTATAGAACAAATCGGTATTATGTAACAACTGTCAGTTCACAAGTCTAACAACCATGCTAAGAATGAGCCGAGGGGTTGAGGACTCAAGGAGAAGTGTACATACACTAATTTCGACCGGCCTGTCATCAAAGAGGGTCTTGCGCTTGGCGACTATTGTTGAGCAAAAGATGCGAAAGAAATTGGGCGTTAAGAAACCATAGGAGGGGAGGGCAAGGAGGAGGGGGGGAGGGTGAAAGTGAACAGAACCGACTGCAGCGGGTGAAGCGAGGGTATGCTTACGGCGAGCAAGTTTCTGCAGCTTGCCAGCAGCTGCGTGGATGTCCTTGTTGATGAGCGATGCCATGAGTGTAAACTCAGACTTTGGCCTTGCGGAGGCATTCACACCCGCAGTGAGACCGGCCGCCTGTTGCTGTTCGATGGGTGAGAGGAGCCGTCGCTTGTCGGAGGCGATGTGAGGTTGTGCGCGGGAGCGCAGGGATTCGACAGTGGAGAAGAACTCTGCAGAGCGGTCCATGATGTGATGAGAAAACCAAGTGAATGTGTGTGTGTGTGTGTGTGCGTTGATGTTGGATGGATTGTATATAGAGGACGATGTGATGCAGTTGATGGGGAGGACGAGATGTGAGGGATCGGCAACGGAATGGATGGGTTTGTGCTCTTTAGGGGAGAGAGACACGTACATACAGCCGTGTACGTGAGTTTCATCCCCTCAGCAATTATTGGCCAAACTTATTTCGGTACATAGCCATTCCCGATCAAATGTAAGGTTTGGTGTGATCCATGCACCCTGGGATAGGATGGCCGGATATCCACCCATACCCTATGTGCCCCGCTTTCTTTTTGTTGATCTTTGTCATCTGTAACCATCTGTCGTCAGCCAGACTAGACTCGCTGCAGGTTGTCGCTATGGTCTAAGCACGTAGTCCACCCTCTGCGTCATCTCAAAGGTTTACCCCCTATTTAACAGACAGGTCACAGGAGGGCCATGCCAAATTGGGTCCGTCATTCCAGCTGGATATTACATCAAAGCAGAGCAAGAATGCGGGTGCCATGGACTCAAAACCTTATTGGTGTGAGAAAGGGAGAGATTCCTCACCTTCTGACATCTTTGTCATTCTTAATTCATTCATCTCATTCACCCATTCCTCCTCCCCCACCCTCCTACCGGCTCTTGCCCAACCTCCTTTTCTCCTCCACTGCACAGCGCCGCACCGCAAAATGGCCCTGCGTCGCGTGCCCACTTATGAAAACACGCTGGCCAACGACCGCCCTGACGATTCAACACAACTCGAGTCCTTCCCGCCATTATACATCACCCGATCCAATGTCCTTGATACACCCCCGCTCACCCTAGAGTCCTTGCCCTCAGATCATCTTGAGAAGCTCAAAGAAGACCAGACAACGAAGCGGTGGTGGATCCTCTTGTTCGCCTGTCTACTCCTCTTTGGCAATTGCTTCGGTACTACAAAGCGTTCTTTGGTTGACGAACCTGCATTGGGCCATTATCAAGGGCATGCATCAGAGTTCTACCCGGCTCACAAAGAAATTCCTATCTAATCTCTGTCCCCTAGCATACGACAATCCGGCCGCGCTCAACACGCAGTTACAGAAATATCTGGGTATGCCATACAACGACTACCAGTACCTCCTCTCGACCCTCTACAGTGTCTATTCGTTGCCCAACACAGTTCTGCCTTTCTTATTTGGTTCGCTGGTCGACAGGTTCGGGCCCCAAAGGGTCCTCGTAGCACTCAGTGCCTGTGTCTGCATTGGCCAGGCCATATTTTCGATCGGCGTGCAGACTCGTCAGATCTGGATGATGCTGGTCGGACGTGCCATCTTTGGGATCGGAGGCGAGAGTTGCGGTGTCGCGCAAGCGAGCATCACAACCACACAATTCAGGTAGCGCGGCCATAGCAGCCATCCTTCTTTGGCTTCAGTCTATCCGACTACGCTGAAATGCTATCTTATGCTGACCTTCCTGTGGCTCCTCCCGCATGCCTTTTTTTCTTTTTTTCCCTTCTGCACAATCTTATGCAGAGGACAGGAATTGGCCTTTGCACTAGGACTGAACCTTTGCATGGCTAGATTCGGTATGAGAACCAAGAGCGACATTCTTTTCCTTACGCGATACACTATATCCTGATCCAAATCTAACTTACAGTTCGTATTGTTGCCACTAGGCTCCGTTGTGAATGCGATCGTTACTCCGTGGGTGGAACAGGAGTGGGGTGTCCCCACAGCAGTCTGGATCGGGACCCTGAGCTGTGTGGCCTCGTTTCTTTCGGCAATCACTCTCGTCTCGATAATCAGCGAGTCCGGGACACCTGCGTCGTACTCAAAAGAGGACCTAGAGGATACACGTTTACTTTCAAGCGCCTCTAGGACAATCGGCGCTAATGATGCGAGCAATGGACCCTATTTTAATGCCTCGTCCTCCCACGATAATGACTTGGCATTCTCGTCTTCCCACTTGCGCTCTCCAACCCAGTCCTCCATACTTCAGCACCTGTCAGGAGTCTTGCGCCAGGATTCCAACTTCTCAGAATCCATTCACAGTATCCGATTCACACCTGGGCTCAGGAAATCCGGCAAACGACCGTCGCTTTATATCATAACGGATCAGACGAAAAAGAAGGAGTCATGGTGGGAACAATGGTTGAGTGATCTCAAATTCTTTCCATCAACCTTCTGGCTGATCTGCGTGCTCACAGTGCTGCTCTACGGAACCGTAGTCCCATTCAACAATATTGCAAGCGACTTTTTGCAGTCCAAATGGTATCACGGTAAACCACGGAAGGCGGCTGCGGTCATGGGCATTCCTGACACCATTGGTGCTATCTTGGTGCCAGGATTTGGATTGATCGTGGATCGCTATGGCAGGCGTGCGAGCATCTTGATTGCCTCGGCGTTCGTCATGGTGATTGTGCATACCACATTGGGGTTCACGATGTTGAACCCGATTATCGGGTTCTCGTGCTTGGGTGTTGCCTACACAATGTATGGCGTGGCTCTTTGGCCTTCCATCGCCTGGTACGTCTGATGGTCTGATGGCGGTTAAGCCTGAATGTGACTGATTGCATTGAACAGGTATTGACTTTTTTTTTTTTTGCATTTTATTTTAGTGTGGTGACGAGCGAGCTTCATTTGGGAAAAGGATACGGGATCAGCACCAGTTTCCTCAATATTTCATTGACAGTCATTCCGCCGATTGTGGCCATGATTCGCGTGGTGGGCAATAGCTTTGTACCGGTCGAGATGCTCTTTATCTCCATGGGCCTTTGCGGCATCGTTGTGGCATTCGTGCTCAAGAGTATCGATCATCGGGATGGTGGTGCGTTGGAGCAGCCAGAGATCGAGGTGGATGTGCCGGTCATTGTTCCACAGTCAACAGTCTCTACTCCGGCCGCAACACTGGAATCCCCAGCAACTTCTCACAGGCGATCCCCGTACATGAAAAAGAAGAGGCGGCCTGCCTTGAATGTTCTTCAGATGCCGGCATCTGCATCAGAATCGGACTGGTCACCAAGACGGAGGCGAGGAGAAGAAACCCATGGCGTAAACGTTGCAGCGGGAGAAGGATCACCATTGTTGCAGAAGAAAACGGGGGAAGAAGACGAGCACATAAACAACGGTAGACAAGGGAATTCGTCTACTCTTGACGCATCCCCTGCGCAGCATAATCTTCCCACATCAACAGTCATGTCGCCAACCACGGCGCGGAATAATCGACCTCAGAAGCGGTTTAGCCGACCATTGTTGCATAAGGCGTTGACAAGGCTTGGAGGTCCGCTATCACATCAATATCCCTCTAGCCCTCTTTATGGATCTGTTTCCTCATCGCCGTTGGCCTTCGGTGCAGCGGACAGGCGATGGGACATTGAAGGAGGAGGCAGCAGGACCGTGTCAGGCATGGAGGGCTACGGTATGAGCCAGCATCCAATTCTTTATATCCCTCTGCGTGGAAGCTCAAGTAGCTTCCGAATCCGTCGAAATCCTCGGCCGGTCGCCTTTGGAGAAGGGGAAGAGGGTCGCATCTACTGGAATGGCCAGGTGGTGGAATCAGACCACGGCGATGATGATGAACCTGATACGGGCTTGGAGCGAGAGACCGAGCCATCCACGGCTGGGGGAGATAAGGGCGCAGCTCCCTTGAGCCTGAATAATGCAGGGCGCAATAACCATTAGATAAATATCTGTATGATAAAATAATAAAAAAAAAATTGAGAAAAGGCGTATTGGCAGTATTACCGGGCGCAGCCAGGATAGTTTTTATTTTTTTTTTTGAAAATAATAATGACATTGGCCGATCCGCCAGAAACGAACACTCTGAAGATGTATCTATGCGGAGGACATGATCAAGTCATATGCGATCTTCCCTGTCAAGACCAGGAGTCCAATCTCTCCAATATGCCCAAAGGCACCGAGTTGACGCTTCTTAGGATCGCCGGTGGTGTAGCCGATGGAGTAAAGGATGCGTCCGATGCACCAGATAGACCCCAGGGCGGCAGACGCAACAGGGTATTGAATCCCGGCGAACATGAGCATGATCAGATAGCTGGCAAACCCCTCGAGGGTGTTTTGATGAACGCGCTGATAGCAGTTAAAGATATATTTCTGGTGGTCGTCTTTGCAATCTGCTGCATCCGCGTAGAGGAACGGATAGGGGACATTGGCGATCTTGCGATAGCTGCCGACCCGTACACCTAGATATGTGACGAGGATAGTGGAGGCGATAGCGGCGGCAACGGTCTATATAGGACGGGGAATACGTGATGCGTTAGACGATGAATTCAGATGAATTCAGATGATTGAGATTCAGACGCTGGCAATGTAAGAAATACGTACATAACCATATTCTGGAGCAATGATAATGGTAGCCATTTTGAGGAGGAACTTGATATGATGGAATGGAAAGTAAAATGTGTGTGGGAGAGTCAGGGCAAGCGAAAGCAGCATATTTATATACGAATGCAGGGCGACTTGGCGGAGAGAAAAAAAAGGACCAACTTTAAACAAAGGACACGCGTCCTGTTCGCGTCTCGTTCAGATGATGGCTGTGTTCTGGTTTTCGATCGTCAATCGAGCGGTCTGTTGGCTGACGAATACCTCGTCAGAAAAATAAAAATAAAAATAAAATACACTACGCGGCCTGTCTCGATGCTATAAAGTCTTGCTGCGATCGACTTTCATATTTGTAGTGGCCTTGGCAGTGTTTGTTATCCTCTTCGTACAAGCCCATATACCACGTTTGCACTGTTACACGATGGAGGAAACGATCGATTGCGTACAACGTACTCATGTACAGGCACAAGTCTCTTCTGAATGTGGAGGAAGAGGAGGGGGAAGGCCTTTTTCTTCCCTGGGGTCGGATGTGTGGTAGACTTTTTTTTCTTCCTTGTCATCCTGACGAGATTCTGCTATATATCCTTTCGCCCCGTCAGGATGTTCCCTGCTGGACGTAATTTTCGGAAACGGTCATTCCATGTCGTACGAATCACATACCACCTTCCTAGGACAGCCATGGACAAGTCGTACAAAGATGGGTTGGAAGCTACGGCATTTGGCACAACGCTCATACCCTACTTTGTATCAGCAACAGAGACGGATGCCATCTCTTCCTCTGCTTACAGATGTGCTTGATAACTGGGCTAGATGCTCAGCGGCTCAAGAGTTAAGATAGAGCATCCCCGCCCGTCCCTTTCGGGAGAAAAAAAAAACGCATCCATGCAGTACAGTATACACTTATGCGCCAATGCTTGTTGGACTCATTTTGTTGTCAGTCCCCTGATTGCTTACAATGCTAATTATTTTAGGGCTCCTCTCCATCTCTCTTTCGTTCTAAAGGACGGGACAGAGACAGGATGAGACCAGTAATAGAGTGCATGCATCGTCTACATGTTATAGCTGTACGTGTACAAGAGTGAATCACGAATGGCGAGTAGTACAATGCTTATAGCAGCATCCAGTATGCCACATGGATGGATGGATGAGCAACGAATTCACCCTAAACAAAGATCCTTCCGTGAAGTGAGCTGCTCTCAGCGGCCGTTGCGAATCTCGTCTCACCTTTTTCTGGTTTACAAAGATGCTCTTGGTCATGGGGGGATGGCGATGCTCGGAAGGGATAGACATTTGCGGATAAAGCTCAACAACTAGGCATGTCCTTCATCCTCACTTTATTCATCCTTGTCTGATCTGTCCATGTTCATGTACATGGGAAGGGAGCATGGCCGAAAGGGGGTGAAAGCCTACAGCAAAACAACTGCAGCCGGGCAGTCGGCGTTCCTTTCAGCAGGGCACAGAACATGAGTTTTTTTAGAAAAAAGGACGCTGTACGTACATGTAATAGATGGAGTGCACCTACTCTCCCTGTTCTTTCTATTCCGTCGTTTTGTTTGTCCCCCTTTGAGCGCGGTGCCGGCCCGTTGGTTCGAGCACTGCATTTTTTTTTCCCCCTGCGTTTCTAGACTGCTGGTCACCGAACAATTCAAGAGCTCAATTGCGCTCCTCATTGATGCTTTGTGCGCCCGTATCCTCGGTGGTCCCCCCTCGTCTTTTCCCGCTGCATGCTTCTATTTCTTATTTCTTCCCCTTTGTCCCTCCCCCTCCGCATCCCGCATCTCAGCAGAGCAGAACACCGTCGATTCAATCTCTTAGTCGGTCCTTCCCGCCCTTTTTACGAACGTGTTGCGGAAGGGCCTTTTTTTTTTTTTTTTTTTTTTTGTATTTGTTTTTCCTTGTGCTCCTCTCTCCCTCCCTCCTTCTCTCACTCTTCATCGCACCTCTTTCTCTCGGTTGTTTGCTCGGTCAATTTACGTGCTCCTCTCCCCCTTCAGCCCTTACACTCTTCCCCTGAATCCCCCTCCGAATAAAAGAAAACAAAGGAGCGAGAGGTGGGAGAAACGAACAACCTCATCTCGCCTCACCTGCTTTCCTCATTCGTCGCAACTGACCTCCAGGGACACGATGGATTCCTCTCAGTCATCTCACCAACCAACCGATTCGCTAGACCATGCAGCCAATCCCAGTCCAGTGCAAAGCCCTCCCCTAGGACCAGCAGCCCACCGCCCCAAACATGACCCCACCACAGGAACAGGGGCAAGTGGTCGGCCGCGGTCCTCGTCGAGCACAAAGGGGCTGTTGACCATGGCGCTCCTCGAGGCTCAGTCGGCAGTGCAGATGGACAACGAGGGCAACATTTCGGGAGCAATTGAGTCGTATAGCAAAGCCGTGGCGCTGTTGTCCAAGGTCGTAAATGCAACCACGGTCCCTGAAGAGCGAGAGCGATTAAAGATCATTGTAGGTGTTTCTGCCGTTTTTTGTGTTTTCTTTCTAAGGGGCGAATCGCGTTCCAATAGCAGGCCTGTATGCGGTCGAAGTACCGTACTACACTGCAACTATGTCTTCGATAACGTTTACTCTTCACAAATTCCTGACCTTTGCTGCTCTCGATGTCTGGTTTTCTTTCTTGTTTTCAAGCATGATTCGTATCGGATCAGGATGCACGCCATTGCAACTCCGCCAAACCCACCCTCGTCGCAACAAGAAGCCGAGGGCGCCGGACCTGGGACAGACGCATCGAAAAAGCAATCATCAGAGGATGTTCTGCTCGTACAGTCGGATGATACTCGGCCTTCGCTGTCACCTACGGTCCAATCCCCTGCTCCAGAGCCACCTCGGCTCAGCCCTAGTCCGAGTCCTCCACAGCAGCGACAGTCGACCCGCACACAATCGCCTCGACCTCCACCGCCTCCACGCGGACTAATCTCTCCTCGGCTGAGTCCACAAATGCCGCGTTCACCTCCGCTGACAGCTACGAAGAGCGCGTACAATAACCCCAGCATCTCAGGGGTAATCCAGCAGCAGCAACAACAGCCACAGCAAACACAGCAGCAACAGCCGCCGCAGGTGTCAATACCTCCACGAAGAGACGCATCTCCGCGACGGACCACCAAACAGTCCGCTGTTGTTTCACACGGGCCTCTCTCCCCCGTTTCACCTACTGAACTTAAACCGTTTCGGCAGAGGTCAGAGTCCACTTCTGCTGTGAATGAGCCTGGATACGGACAAGGACAGGCGCAGGTACCGGGACATGGACATGGACATGGACACGGACACGGACAGGAGGGCGCCGGCGGGAGTGGGGCCGGACGTGGGCGGTACCGCACAAAGACACACACAGGAGTAAGTACGTTGCGCGTCGCAGAGAGTGGTCTTCTCTCTCCTGAGGAAGAGTCCTCTGGCCACCTTCAGTACCAGCCGCGACGGACAGGACATGCCAGGGGCAGAGAGCGGGAAGCATTGCCCAAGGTCGTCATTTTGCAGAGCGCCCCAACCACGCCTCTGCCATTGCCACCGCCACCAAGGCCAAACGGCCTCACCTCAGAACCCATGCCGTTGACTGGCGTATCCATGCTCGACTCTATCGCAGAATTCGTTCCAGCACCGACATCGTCATTCACGACGGATTTCTCAACCATGCCTCCAATACCAGAATCAGTCATGGCTCCAGTCCAGCCACTAAAGCCCAACAGACTCAGGGCTGCTTCTCCACCATCACGTCCTCCACGTCCAAACTCACCCACATTATCAGCCAGCCATATGATCATGCAATCCCTGATGAGCAGCGAACGGCCTCTGTCTCCGCCCCCGAGCGCGCCCCTGCCGTATTTGCCCTCAAAGCCCGCATCACCGCCATTGCCACCATCGGGTCCTACTCGTCGGATGAAAGGAGTGGTCCAGGCAGGAGGCCAAGTCAAGCAGATGGACATTCATGACCTGATTCCGAGTCGGGACCAGTCTCTACAGCCTCAGCGGGAAAAAGGTCCGCAAGAGGAGAATGAAGACGAGGAAGAGGTGAAAGACGAGCAAGGTCAACAGCAAAGTGCTGGACAAACAGAGGAAGATAAAGATGAGCATGACCAGGGATCAAATGAAGAGACGAAGGAGGCAGAGGCAGAGGCAGAGGCAGAGGAGGAGCAGTCACTGACAGGCGAGCTATCTCATATCCAGGAACTATCCTTCTCTTCTGAGGCTTTTCTTGAAGAGGAAACATTCCCAGAGCTGACTGCTGAGGAGGCGGAAGAGTTGGCTGATGGAGGCCCAGATGAATTGGTGCAAGAATGGCTGCCGAATCTTCTGAACAAGAGCTTTGCGACCTCAAAGATCTTTTTAGAGCACCTGGAACGCACTCAGGAGGCCGCTCCTCGTGAACGCGTTTTCATCAAAGGTAAAGCCAGAATACTCTTGTTTGTGCTATGCGATATCTCCATCATTGCTGAGCAAGACTCCCCCTCTCCTGTACTCGATCGTTTCTGACAATCTCTTTGAATATATTGACAACTAGGATGGTATAATCCCTCTCAACCAGAGCAGGAAGAAGAGTCCATACCACCCATGCTCCCTATTCGAACCTCCCTATCCTCGTTTTTCACAAACGATGACGACCGACAAACCATTCATATCATGCTAGACTCTTCGGTGATTGAGCTCCAGCAACAGCAGCAGCAGCAGGAAGAGCAAGAGCAAGAGCGGGAGCTAGAGCGGGAGCAGCTAATGCAACAACAACAGCAGCAACAGCAGCAGCGGCAGTATGAGCAGTTGATGCAACAGCAGTACCAAGAGCCGGAGCGAAAGCTAGCACAGTCGGTATCACCCCACTCACACTATCAGGCCGCAGCATCATCGATATCTTTGACATCATCGTCTTCCGGATCGTCTTCGTCGGGAAGGTCAAGGGTCTCGATTTCTATGCCACTTTTTGGAACGGACTCTAAAAAACGAAACTCTGGATCGTTGCCCAGACGGAGTGGAGAATCTCCGTCATTATCGCCAGTTTCTCCGACGGAGCATCGGGCAAACATGGCATTGATGAGCAATGCGATAGCGGGGGCGGATGGTTCTTGGAAAGAGCTGTCAGACAAGAAGCAGCCCAAGCATAACAACAATTCGTCAACCAATACCCGGGAATGGACACTGCAGGACGTGATCGCTCATGATCCATTTGCGGGCATGAAACCTGTAAGTGTCCCTTATCCTTTTTTTTTTTTTTTTTTTTTTTTTTTTTGTCAGCAATTAACTCATACGGTTTATTTTTCTCACATCAAAAAATAACCCCTCGATCTAGCCTCTCCCTCATCCGGAGATTAGCCCGGCGCCCACTAGCCCATTCCTCCGTTGCTTCTGGTTCATACATCTGCTGGAACAGACTATGACCACGGGTGGGTTCCTCAGCCCGAAGCTTTATGTCCCCAGACACATCTGGTATCAAAAGGCTATGATCCGTCTCCCAGCGATCGAAGCCAAGATCAACACATGTAACGCCCTATCGCAGTTCCTAGATCGGATGGCGACTCAGTCGAAGAACGGGGAACTGAACTTGTTCGTCGGCATGGACAGACGGTTGGAGAAGGCCGAGAACGAGAGGAATCTGGTGCTGAAGGAATTAGAGGCGTTTGAGGCCATAACGCTTGACCATTGGAACAAGTTGGGTAAGAAATTATCCTTTATTCAGCGACCTGGCAAGGTCTCTGACCAGGCTGGCGCTTCACACAGCAGGAACAGCAGCACGTCCTTCAGCGGACCGGGCTATGGAGGCCAGGGACATGCGCCTTCGCCTTATCATCAACATCGACCTCCGCATCACTACCAGCAAAAGCATGGGGAGCACGACGACAACGGATCGAATCCGTATGACTGGCTCCAGAGTGACGACCCCATTTCCGCGACACTCGTATCTGGATCGATGTCATCGGTTGCCTTGTCGACCGGGACGCTGTCCTCGGGCACGTTCTCGACAGGATTGATGACCTCGTCCAACCTGACGTCTTCATCCATGTCGGACAAGGGTGGACCCACGACTGGGAATACCAGGAGATCGACTGCAGATCTCAAGAACCAGTGGAAGAACTTTTCAAAGACGGTGCAGAAAACCATCGTCAATGAAAAAATGTAAGTTGTAAAGAAGACTTTTTTTTTTTTTTTTTTTTTTTTTTGAAGTGGTTATCTGATCCCCATTCTTTTCCTATATGATGAAAAAAAAAATATATATAGCGAGGACACGACACACTATACCGAGATACTGATCCAACTATTCAAGTCGAGTTATCTCCTGGAGGCGATGTTCAAGCACTTTGAATCCCTGCCCCCTCATCAGACGCATCTGAAGATCCTTAATCGGCTGCAGAAGATTTGCGACTTTTATAACATGGTTGTCTGTGTCTTTGTGATCCGCGACATGGGTGAGCTGATGCTCAAGTATGTCAAGCGGATGGGCACCATCGTTGCTGAGTAAAACCCGAAAGCAAAGAAAAAGAATAAAAAAAAAAAGATGAGTTAAATACGGCGATTACAAAGATGAGCAATGATGCTATATACAACCGGACGATTGAAGCGAAACAAGCGGGTTGTGATGTTTACACAAACATACACACACATATATACATTCTTTTGGCGTCAATGAATTGTCGTCTAAGAATAAAAAAAAAAATGGCCTATGTTACATACAATTACAGACCGTCTATGCAACTCCAAATTGACAGACAAAATGCACGTTTTCAAGGAAAGTAAAAAAAAAAAAAAAAAAATTGTGTGTGTGCGTGTGGAGGGGTGGGGAGCTAACTTTGATGTACAGTACATACTGTACGCCCGCGCAAACATTATTCACTTTACAGGAATGTAGTCCATGCTAGCGTTCCTCCATGTACTCTGATCCATGTCATGCTCCGAAGATCGGAAAAAAACAACAAAGTAGAACAAATACGCCGAACGTTAAAAAAAACAAGGTAGAACAAATACGCCGAAGGCAAAAAAAAAAAAAAAAAAGAAAAAAAAAGCGACAGTCAGGACGATAGAACGCTTTTATTATCTGTGTACTGTCAGTTGACGCGTTCTCGGTCAAGGTTTGCACGCGTCAGAGTCCTCATCTTCCGCTTATCTCATTTCCCCAACGCGACACTTCCCTTTTCGCCTGCCCTTGGGACGAGAAAAAAAACAGATAAATAGATAAATAAATACGCGTCTACTTTAACGTGATGTCCCCCTAGGGAGATACTTGAATTGCGTCTGTGGAGGAGGAGAAGGAGGAGGCGCTCGTTGTATTCATGCTCATGCGTCCCCTTGATCGTTTTCGTTTTAATATATCTGTCCCCATATTTTTTTTGATCGTCGAAATGGGCTCAGATAAATTCTATGCAGGAAGGGCGTTCTAATTGCACAGAATGTGTACGCCGCAATCAGCAGATGAATGAATGGAAAACACAGGAGGGTATTTACTTTATTTTTTTCAAAGTGCATCAAACACGAATCTTCGGTCGCGCTCTATTTTTTTATTTTTATTATTATTATCATTTTTTTGCTTCCAAGTAGTGACATTTAAACAGAATGGGTGCCAGTCAGAACGAGCTCTCATTTCATTTCTTTTCTTTTTTTTTCTTTTTTCTGGAAAGAAGAGCGAGTTTTTTTTTTATTAATTATGGGGTTCAAGGACGGCTAATAGATATTAGCTACCTACACAACAAAGCCTTGAACGCTTTGTTAAAGAAGAACCACAAAAAAAAAAAGAGGAGGCAGACGCTGAAGCGGACCAAAGGGGGTGAAGCCTCTCTCGCCCGAGAAGCATTTAGCAGTTCTTGGCGATGACACCGTTGGCTAAAGTGGAGAAAGTGAACGATAAAGACGGGATGAAGTTAGGATAACTCGACTTGCTTTTGAAATATTTTCCCTTCCCTCCTCTTTTTTAATAGGCCACAAACAGTTGTGTACTTACCAGCCTGGCAGAAGAGCACGTTGCCGTTTCCGTTCGTGACAAGAACAGTGAGAGCGACGGGGACCTAGTGTTGCATATAAAAAATAAAAAAAAACGCGTCAGAATCACAACCCTTATTACATGTGTGCCGTGCCAACATAAAGAAACTCAAAGACGAAAGCAACTGCTTCCTCCTTTTTTCCCCCTTACGTTCGCAGGGGCAGTGGGCTTGACGAGCACACAAACCGTGATCGAGGTCATGGTGATCGGGATCGGGCAGCTGAATCCCTGGGAAGCCAAGAGCGTGCACACGTCCTGGTTATCGGTGTAGACCACACGTCCACCGTATCTGCCCGTGATCGCCAACTTGGCACCTTGGATCAATGGGACGCTCAGCTGGCCGGTACCGGTGGCGCAGACGTTCTGGTTGATGCACAGAGGGTAAGGCGCCAGGGTGAAGGTGTCGATCGTCAGGTCCGTGGGTCCTGTCGCGCAGTTCGTGATCGGGGGCAGCGTTTGCGAGCGTGCGACGGCCAAGCAGGCAAGGGCGGCGATGGTAGCAAAGATCTTCATGGTCGAGTTGGGTGTAGTAGGTGGAAAGAGAGGAGGTTGGTTGGGGAGATATGAGAAGTGGGATGGTATTAACCTGAGGAATTAGAAAAAAAAGGCCGCTCTTTTATAGCCAAAACGACGTGTTGGGCTTTAGGATAGGGATGTTGCTAGAAAAGTCGATTCTCATCGGGGAAGAAGAGTCGGGGGTACGGATCCGCTCGGCTCGCGACTTTACAAGTGCATAGGAATGCATGGGAATGCATGATGGGTGCATAGTTGGTCACTGTAAACGGGTGTCAAACAAGTCCGCCAAACGACTTTTTCCTCCTTCGTTTCGGTTGAAAACGACGCGGCTGCATGCTTTCTGAGCGATCCTGCATGTAAGCTGTCCCCCTTCGGGACAACAATGTTGTGGGGTAAGAAGAACATTTGGGTACCAAAGTCTTTGTATGACGCAGAAGTTGTGGGGGGAGAGGAAGCATATGCATATTACGAAGGTCATAAGGAGATCAGGGCGACCATGCGAATGGAGAGGGGCATGACAAAAAAACAAAAAAAAAAAAAAAACGCAGGGGACCAAGAATAATAAACACATAACAAAAAAAACACGACACCCATATCGTTTGTGCTCTGTGTTCTGTGCGTGCTTATGCAGGTGCGGATTGCGTGCGCCGCCGAAAGCAAGCGAAGAACATAAGGCGAATGAGGTATTACCCATTTGTAATCTTTCATCCTGCGCGCGCACCAACCCTTTAGCTCCTTGTTTTCATAACTGAGAAGGTGCCCTGGATTGAAGAAACGCGTGCACGCGACGCGTCCTGCTAGGCTGCATGGTGCAGGGTCAACGCGTGATGGTAGGCACTACCGTCCTATTTATTTATTTTTACCCCTATTCTCAACCTCCAGCTTTGCCCACTGACTCATCGCTCACTCGTTCCCCTCACATGATTCCAACCATGGCGATCTCCTTCAAAGTGGGGAGCCTCGAGGTATGAAACGCAGCCTGGGCTAAGTACTCGACTTCATGGGTTCATAGGCACAAGTACTTCATGGGTTCATAGGCACAAGTACCTCATGTTAAGGCGTAACTAACTAAAACTATGGATATTATGCGGTCTCTGCCAAGGGAGTGGATAAAGGCAGATAAAAAAAATTCATTCGACTCGCTCTTAGGACTGAATCTGACTCAACACTATAGAAAGCTTTCAATCAAGGGAGAGCAGGTAAGGCTAGCAACGATATGTGGTGCCATATCGTGCCATAACTTTAGTTGTAAGCTGACGAAAATTAACCCTCGGATGGCACAGAACTCTAAATATCAGCACAGCAAAAAAAAAAAAAAAAAAATGTAGGAAGTCATGGAGAAATCAAAGGCTAATAAAAAGCATGTGCTCTCTTCTCCAGATATAGAGAACGATAAAACCAATCACGGATATCCAACCAGAAAATGATCGCGGACAGGAACCTGAATGAAGACAAAGTCAGTGGCAGTGGCGATGACAATAACGACAACAACAAACAGCGACTTCCAGATCAAAGGCACCGGTGACGATAATGTTATCGAGGACGATTTGTGAGGGCATTAACAGTAGTAAAATGGTCAACACACAGTTTTGAGGGACCGCGCATCAAACTGAAGGAGCTTCTGACCAGAATGCGAAGAAACTGTCGTGCAGCGGACGTAACAATGGCTACAGGCAGCTCAATATCAATCTAGGACGTAAGGTTGAAACGGAGGAGAAAAGGAAAAAGAGGGGGATAAGAACAAATACTATGGAAACCGGCCCAAGGAGAAGTACATCATAGACGGATCAGAAGGACTTGTAGTCAAGGGTAATACTGGATCACCCAGAACAGTGAGTGGTTGGGTATCCGCTTCTTCCATTAACAGCTGTAGAGTGGCTCGGTTGAATTCGACGGACTGCAGAAGACAAAGGGGGAGGCCTGCAGACGCGCAGGGTCAGCTCAAGACGATAGTATGACGCGCACTTGCTCTTATTCGATTTTGTATTGAGATTCTGATGATGTGCCATTTCCGAGTATCGAAGCATTGTTGGTTAGAAACACACGAGGACAAGCTGGCTGTCCTGCGGGCTTCAGACTCTGAGAAGATGACTGCGTTAAAGGAGAAGGGCATGAGGGGTCGAAGGTATTGCAGTTGGCACATAGAGGAAAACAAGCCAAGAACGATAATAGGTTGCTTAAAAAAGAAAGAGAGCATTAAAAAGTGGGGCGAGCGCAGAGCTACTGTCGCAAAGAATATGGAGCAGAAGCAGTGGAAATGTGAGAACATTACAGGCCCGCATTAATGTTGTTAATTGCAATTGGGCAAGGAAGACGACAGACAGAACAAGGGCTCTAAGAAAAGAGTAAGGCCCAAGGCAAAAAATGCACGAAGGTCTGGTTTTTACTGACATTGCGAGCCCATGATTCTGGCGAAGTCTTCGTGTGTGCTTTATTGTGTGCAAACTAGCGAGCAGGATTCGAAGGTAAGAGCAGCAAGAAGATATCCCTTTAGGTCATACTCCACGAGCAATAGGACTAGGTCATACACGAGGAAATATTGCACGCTGCACTGGATGGATGCTCACCCAGCGAATTGGTATAAAAGGGGGGCTGCTGCGCCCAAATAATCTCGTGGGTTGTAGAGATCTTCAGGTAGCGACGTCTGTTCTTTGTTCCTGTTTGATCCTGTCGAATAAAAACAAGCTCCGAGCGAAGGCTGAACAGATCTAGACCCCGTTTACTCCATTGGGCCCTTGCCAGGGATCGCTACCATTTATGTGTGCTACCGTTGCTCTGGGACCAAAGAGGGCGCGCTCCCATACATGGATCAACAACGATCCTCACCAAATTTGGGCTGGGTGGCCTATTTATTGGGACCTGGCTCCTCTTCACATGCACGCCGACGCATATCCGTGTCGGCTGCCACGATGAGACTTCTTTTGCACACACAACCTTGGTCGCACAAACAACGAAACGCTGTGGTGACACAGATTTTATCCGGCAATATCCAATTTCATGGAACGACGACCATTGCTGTGGCAAAGTATTGTGCACCCAGAAAGCCCAAATGGATCTTCTTGGCAAGAGCAAGAGTTCATCTCATTTCATGAGGAACAAACTCTGCTTATGTATCATCCTGGTTCCACTGCTATATTCCGATCATGCGCATTAGCGTATTGGAGACAGCGCACTCATTCGCATACTGCTAATCAAACATTTAGGCTCGTGCGCCCACAGGGTTTGCTCTTCGCCCCATACGTTGTGCTCTTCGTCTCGGCGTACGAGAAAAAAGCACAAAAATAAGGTCATCTCGATCACAGGAATGAGGAATAAAAAAAAAACGATCCACTCATTCATCCTTCTTGACAACCGCTCTTCTCATCCTTAAACCATCTCTTTCAGTCCGCCTCCTCCCTGTCTCACTCGAAAAAATGTTGGGCGGGGCCGTTTCTGTCCCCTCCGTCACCGCGGTCCTAATCCCTCTTCTCGTCCTTGTCTGCACAGTCTTTGGTCCTGGACTCCTCAATGTACCTCCCGCCCCCTACCTCGCCATTGCCATGTCACTTGGCTACCTTGATAGGCTAGGTCCTTGGTCCTGGGCTGCCATCTTCCCAAACCTATATCTGTTCGCCTGCATCACCGTTGGAACAGGCATCGCCTACGCTGGCATGCTGCAGTCGGATGTCTGGGATAACTCTCTGATGGCTGCTCCCTTCCTCATCGGGATGGGTGTTGCCCTGGCCGGGATGATTCCTTTTTGGATCCAATTGGCCTGGCAACGTCGATTTCTCCCCCAGGACAGATTCCAGAACGGGGCCTGGGCACTGCTCGCAACACTCGTCGCGCCCTCAGTCTGGGTGGCCCTATTCACGATTGTGTACGCGGTCAGTCCTATTGGATCCTACGGGTCCATCGCTTATACTCAGTTCCAGCTGGAGCCCATCGTGCAGTGGTCCTCCGTCACAGGCATCGGAGGCATTGAGTTCTTGGTGGTGAGTCTTATGCTATAGACGTGTTCGACTGATCGCAGTGTTATAGAGCTCTTAGACTAACTTGAACGGCACGTCTTTTTATTTATTTATTTCGTAAAACGCAAGGTATGGACCGCGGTCATCATCTATCGCTCTTGGATCCGGTATGTCCGCTTCGAGGCTGGCAGAGAGCAGGAGCTTAAGGCATGGAACCAACTCGGGACCCAGACGCGTCGTCGCATGGTTCTTGTACGTCGCTTGGCCTTTGCTCCAACGCCGACCTACTTGATTGTTATAATGTTTGTGTTCTTCTATGGGTCAATGCGGTTCTGGAACGCAACGGGCACGTTTTACATGAAACCGTTGGTGGACACGATACAACCGACGGTGAAGGCAGGATGTGTGATCGGTTCCTCGGATTACAACAACATGTCTAGCTACTTGGCCCAGACACATGAGCTGGCCAAGGATGGATCCAAGATTGTGATCTGGAGCGAGGGTGCAGTGACGATGAATAACCAGGCAATGGTGGACGAATTTTGGGCGACGGCCAAGAACATCTCGACGACGTATGGAATATACCTGGGAATCACCTACGGTCAGTATCTGGACTCGTATATGATCGACAGCAAGAACATGTTCACGGTGTTCGATCCTAAGGGACAGGTCGCGTTTGAATACCAGAAGGCGCATCCAGTGGCCATGGTCGAGACCACCGTTGTTCCGGGACCCAACAAGTTGCCGGTTGTGGACACGGAGAACTTTGGACGGCTCGGGGGAGCCATTTGTTTCGACATGGATTTCCAGAATTTTATCGCACAGGCCGGGAAGCAGAAGGTCAATATCCTGCTCCAACCAAGCTGGACATGGGGTAAGTCTTGAATGTGTTTCTGCTAGTAAGCACGCGTAAAAAAGCTAAAAAAAAAAACGGCCCTTCTGATATGCTATTTGTTGTTGGTTTTTTTTACAAATCCTAAACTTTCCAAGGATCAATCGGTCGTCTGGAAGCAAGCATTCAGTCGTACAGAGCTGTTGAGCAAGGTCTAACCATTTTCCGATGCGGGTCCTGGGCCCCGTCGACGGTCTGGGACCCCTACCATCAGATCTTTGGATACAAGTACAATCTGGGCTCAGGGACGTTTAGTGCCGATATTCCACTTCGAGACCATGTCTCGACGATCTACACAGCTGTTGGAAACCTGTGGTCGTATATCTGCTGTGCGTTCGCAATCGTGGCGTTGGTGTTGGTGGTTGTGCCTAAGAGATTTGTGGACAAGGGGTTTGAGACCGTGGAAGGACGTTTGATGAGACATCGTGGCTCAAGTCGCAGGCCCGGCGCAGAGTCCGATTCGAGCTTGCCAGTGCAATCTGCCCATGAGGACGGTAAAACAGGGGCACGGGAGAGCAGTGTGTAAGGAAAGACAATAAATATAGTCTAAAGGCACACTCAGTCCGAGTCGTTTGCGGGGCATGTGCGGGAATTACGATTCTAGGGATGTTGAGTCGAAACCTTTGAGGGCATTTGTGCAGTCGCGTGCACTATTGCACGTGCACAGCGAGTCAAGTGCAGGGGATCGGAGTGATCCTGCTGGGAACGGCCCTGTTCAATTGATACCGCCAGGCAGGGGGGGGAGTCCTTTTTTGCGTGTGTCTGTGTGTGTGCCTGAGATGATTTACTCCTATTGCGATCTCTGCTGTCTGCCGTCTTTTGAACGGGACAGAATAAAGATGACATCTTGGAAAGTGTATATGTGTTTTTTTTTTTTTTTTTTTTTTTTCATTTGTTTATATAGTCTATGACGATGAGATGCGGAAGAGCTGGAACGAGAAGATGCGCGATGCCACTTTGAGCGTAGGTCTGGGACGTACATGTACAGTAGAAGTCTATGTATGAAGAATATCACGCATGCATCGCGGGGGACGGGACATGTGCGCTGGACCGTACAAAAGAAAAAAAAGAAAGCGAGAGAAAGAAAGAAAATGCCTCACGAATGCTCCTTCAGGACAAACAAAGGGGGGAAGACGGTGGTTGCTCTTTGTTTGTTTTATTATTGCGTTCTGATTGTCATCAAGAGGAACGAGGGGGGAAGGAGTGAGACAGGCCCGGGCTACACACATACACATAGTCTACACACATACACACATACACACATAGTCTACACACATGCGGCCCGTCCGGCGCAGAAATGTGCAAGCAGCGGTGATATGATCGAGCCATTTGTCATTGGCTGTGTGTGCTCTGGGCCGCATTGTCCATTTGCGTGATGACATATCAACGCTATCTATCGATCGCTATTTAAACATTTCGTCGTCTCATCTTCTCCGCATTAAACATCCACCTTTCTTTCCTTCTTCCTTTCTTCCCTTCTTATCTCTCCGCCCCGCTACACCTTCCTTCCCTACAACACTCCCCAGCCATAGTATGCTGGATCTTCCCTCATAACCATACGCCCCTCCTTCTCCCCCTACCCGCCCACCCACCCTTGCTATATAAACACCGCCTAGACACCGCCCGCCCTTTCCTCACCCTTCTTAGACAACCTTCCTTGTATCATCACCCTCGTTTTTTTCCTTCTCTTGTAACAACACACGATCTTCCTTTCGATCATCTGCCTCTGTACATATCCTCTCCTTCACCCTGTATCATAGTCCTCTTCCCTCGATCAAAATACACATATACATACACACATAGCCATGGTTACCTTTTCAACCGACTACTGGGCCCCCGCCATGGAGGTCAACGTCCGAAGACGTGCTGAGAAATCATCCCTCGCCTCAGGCGCTCAATCGCCGTTTCTCCACAACGACGATCACTGGAATACTCTCCGACAGGTCCCCACAATCGAATCCTCATCCAGTTCCTCCAACAGCGACCACTACGGAAGCGCAGACTCCCACCCGGTCCTCAGAAAGGCCCTCAATGGAACCATCAAATCCAACAAGTCCTCGGAATCCGCACCCTTGGCTGTCCCGCAGCAGAAGAAGGCTCATTCGCTGATCCACAAGATCTTTCACCACGAACACAAATCCAGTTCTAGCAGTCCACCTACTTCGCCCGGAGATCGTGGCAGTAACCCGATCGAGGAAGAGGTCGACCCTTATCTGCTGTCGAATACCAGTCCGTTGGAAAAGAGAAACATCTTTAGCTTTGTCCATGGTCTCGGCAAGGGAACATCACCCTTTGGAAGCGACCGTGGTCTAGCTCAAGGTGGGAGCAATCATGCCAACGGCGCTGGTGAAGCAAAAAAGGTCGAGTGCACTCTCCTGAAGAAATACGGCCTATGTGATAAGGGCAACATTGGTCAGGGTGCGACGGCCGTGGTGCGACTGGCCCACAAGTTATCCCATGACGAGGAGTCCGAGAAACTGTTTGCGGTCAAGGAATTCCGAAAGCGCAGAAAGAACGAGACCGAGAAGGAGTACGTCAAGAAACTGACGAGCGAATTCTGTATCTCCTCAACATTACATCATGAGAACATTGTCGAGACCGTCGATCTGGTTCAGGACGAACAGCATCACTGGTGTGAAGTCATGGTAAGTTTTATTTACGGATAACATTCCACGTGGGGGTGAGGGCGAGGGGAGTAAAGGAGGGGGATGAAGGAAGAGGGTCTGTATGTGTGAAGACAAAAATAAGAACTCGTGGCGATTTTGCATTATCTACTATCCTTGCCATATCCTCCAAAGAGATGCATTATTGGCTCATTGGATCATTGGGGATAAAAAATTAGCCAAACAAGATGCTTATTATTTTTGGTGCAGCATGTTCCTGGGTGTTGTTGTATTACCATCGGTTGTGCAAAGCCTTTTTTTTTTTTTTTTTTTTGCCATCTCAGAAGTGTGGGGTTTGGAGATGTCAGGTGCATAATCTGCAGCATTGTTATACATGCCATTGCGGGATGGATCTATTACCCCCAAACAAACATGCAAAAGAGGTCTTGTGCATGTCTTGAACCTAGACTAACAACCCGCTTTGCCATAATGGCGTTTTTTTTTTCTCCATGTGTGTGTTTTTAGGAATACTGCCGTGGTGGTGATTTGTACAACGCTATCAAACAAGGATACATGTCAAGAGTCGAAATCGATTGCTGTTTCAAACAGCTCCTGAACGGAGTTGCCTATCTTCACTCTATGGGTGTCGCCCACCGGGATATCAAGCCCGAGAACCTGCTTCTGGACGGCAAGGGCCGACTCAAGATCACGGACTTTGGCGTCTCGGACGTGTTCCGCATGTGCTGGGAAAAGACACCGCATCTCTCGAAGGGTCTCTGTGGATCGGAACCCTACATCGCACCGGAGGAATTCAAGACCAAGGAGTACGATGCTCGGCGGGTCGACATCTGGGCCTGTGGCATCGTCTACTACTGCATGGTTTACCAAGGAATCCCATTCCGTGCGGCTACCTCTCAAGATCCAAATTATCAACACTTTTTGGAGATGCGTGCGGTCAATAACTATGAGCCGTTTGAGAAATTACCACCGGGCTGTCGTAAGCTGATGAAGAGAATCCTGGACCCCAATCCCGAGACGAGGATCACGATAGAAGAGATCATGGAGGACGAGTGGTTCAAGAGTATCGAGTCTTGCGCCCATGGCGAGAACCAGAACCCCCATCGCCACTTTGGATCCAGCATATAAAGGCGCTTTTCTCTCTCTCTCTCTCTCTCTCTCTCTCACAAAATATAAATAAAATGCATCTTTGCAACCCGTACGCTCCTCTTCATGTTCTGCCGCAAATAAAAAAAGGCTTTATTTCTGGGAATCATACGTATATATATACAAATGGGCTGCCATGTAGCGTCTACAACAAGAAGGCGGCGGCAAAGGCAGGGACAGGGTTGCCAGTGACCTCAGGCAAGCTGAAGCCCACTCCTGAGAGCTCCTCTGCGTTACCAGCGACATCAACGTGAGTGTAGGCAATCTGATCCTGCTTCTTCTTATCCAGACCAAAGTCGCTCACGCCCGAGGCGATGGCCATAAAGGCCATGGGGTACTGATGTCCACGAGCACTTGCGCTCGAGGCCTTATCGTTAGCCTGAACAACATCTTCGGCTACGGATCCAGGGGCGATCACTGCATAGTCCTCACGGCGCAGGGTCGACATCTCGAAGGGATCTCCCATGATGTGGCCGGCAGCATCGATGCGCGGGCTGATACCAGCCTTGCGCGCTGGGCCGTTGTCGAGGCAGATGCCATAGGGGCCATATGCGCGAATGGCATGGCCTATATATCATATTATTTTTTTTTCGTGGAGAAAATGAGATGATAAGGATCAGATGCTGCCTTTGACCTTATTAAAAAAAAAAAAAAAAAAAAAAAACTTTGCATCACGATATCCTCGTTATTGTTCGCGTACCAGTTAAAGTGGCGACGGTGAAGAGTCGCGAGGGGATGTGGGTGCCGGCCTTGCGATCGGCCAGGATGCGCTCCTTGCATTCGCAAAGGGGATCAGTCATAACCATACGGCCCTCGGCGTCGGTGTTGCCGACGAGGACACGCTTGCCCGCACGCGAGTAGAGGACCTCGTCGCTGACATAGGCGTTCGATCCGATCGAGTTGCGGACCAAACCGAGCATGGCCGTAACGTTGACATGCTTCGGCTTCAACTCTGCCAAGGTCGCCATGAATCCTGCAACGGTTGCAGCGCCGCATTTGTCACGCGACATACCCCTCATCGCACCTCCGCACTTGACATCGGCTCCACCAGTGTCGTAGGTCACGCCCTTTCCAACAAAGTACAGGCTAAGATAGGATAGGATAGGAATTAATAGTACGGGGAGGTGCATGTGTGAGTACAGACAATCTTGAGCAACGTGATTTGCGCTGAAGGAAAGAAGAAAGTTGATCTATCCAAGCAATAAAAAGAGACATACTTTTCCTTGACCTTGGAAGGCTCATCAGATTTGTACTCCAGCTTGACGACGCGAGGGAAGTGTCTAGGGACTAAACGTATATATGAAAGTGTTGGGGTTAGCAAAAAAAAAAAAAAAAAATCCGGTATAGCAGTATGCCGGCAGTGAAAAGAGCATGTACAGAGGGTTCCATACCAGATAAAGAGCAGCGGGCGACAGCGTGGAGCAAAGGATATTCCTTCTCGATGACATCAATGTCCTTGACAACCGTCAACTTGATCTCAGACTTGGAATTGAAGTAGTTCTCCACGTATTCTGCGAACCGGATAGGAGCCATGCGCTCACAGTTGGGGCTTCCCAAATCTAGTTCAGTTCCGCAGCAAGGGGGGCGATAACAGGCACCGTTAATATCTCACCGAGACGTACAGAAACAAACCGAGGGCTTCCTCTAAATAGTTCATAGACAGGAAGGGGAAGGGTGGAAAACTGCAGGCTGCATTTTTTCTATTTACCTTTAGCGACGCGACGTCCAATCTCGACAGCGTTGACAAAGGCGATACGCTCAGGGGTAAGCTCAGCACCCTTGGTGACAACACCGATCCTCTGCACCATATATCGGTCCTTGCCAATCTTCTCATAATGCTCACGGACATCAATTGGATCAAAGCATGCAGCCAAAGCTCCAAGGATCGAGACCTCAATGTAACGTGCATAGTCTTCGTTATCAGTCTCGATCTCGCTGGGGAAGTAAAAGACTGGAGCAACCGCGCCAGCGGCCTGGGCACGCTTCATGGCCGCCTTGGTCGCCTCCTGAAACTTGCGGACATCGTCCGAGTCGCCGTTGATCGACCCCGTAGGAGCGAGGATTAGACGGCCACCGGCGACGTTCTGATCGGGGACGACGGCCAAAGTTGTGCCAAAGTCCTTGTCGACGGCCGTGTGAGCATTGAGGGAGCTGAAGGCCGAGAGGAGGTCCTGGGAAACCGTGGGATAGACGGCGATGACGGCGTCGAACTGCTGGGAAGTCGAGGCGAGGTCCGCGGTCGTGGCAGAGATGATGGTCGGGAGAGCGAGGGTCATGGCGGATGAGAGGAGATGGGGATGGAGAAGAAGAAGAAGAAGAAAGAAGGGAATGGGAAAGGGCCCCCTGTTTTATGTTTTTTTTGTTTACTTTTTTCGGTAGTCTTTATTGCAGAGACATATTGAAACTGAGCTTTCAGTTCAGCGTCATGCACTTCATCCCCGCACAAGCGATGGTGGGAAAATACCCTCCAAAGACCGAAAAAGGGCACCAACGCTGGACGGAGTTCAGGAGGACACGGCGGCCTTTGGACCAATTGGAGTCACACCAACTCTCCAGAAAATTTGTTCCCAGGAACACCCATCGGCTCTGGATATATACTATCAGCCACATGCAAGACTCCATTGCACACGGCGCCAGCACCCATCAACATTCACAACACAACAAAGCAACAAAAAAAGAGTAGAGCACTCGCCTTTCTGCAAGGGGATGGGCGGGGGCAAGGGGAGAGGGAAGGATTCTTTGAGTCTATTTTTGGTGGCAAAGAACTGAGTATTCCACGTGACACCCGATCCGGTTGAAATGAAATACATACAGACTATTGCCACTCTTCTTCTCACAACCACCACTTTTTTTTTGTATCAAACACCCATCCCGGCTTTTCATCAATTGGGACTCCGGACACCATGGGGATACCGCGTTACGCCGTCGGGATCCTGGCGCTACTCTCTGTCGTCTGCATCTGGGTCTCGTCCAGCTTCTTGATGAATGTAAGTTCGGAGTCGGAGATCACATCACTCAAAAAAAAAAAAAAGCGAGGGAACGATATTCTCGGTCGATCTTGAAGCAACAGCGAAGAACAACTCGTTTCCTCCACCTTCACTCTGTTCTTCTGTGAAGGGTGGATTGGCAGAGATCGATAAGCTATAAGTGTTTCTGCTTGACCCTCCCCCCCCTTCCTCTCCTCCTTCTTCAGCGCGTATCACCATTGGCTAACTTTATATTACGCCATCGGTCGCACGGACGGCTCTTTCTCAGAACATTTTCGCGGGCCAGAACTACAACAAGCCGTTCTTTATCACCTATATCAACACTGCATCCTTCTCGCTCTATCTCGTCGGGCCTCTCCTTCGACATTGGTATGCAGCTTATAGCAGGAAAAGAAGGTCAGGGACCAAGAAGTCGTCATCAGATCTTATTTCGCAGGACATTCCCACTTTCAGGTAACACTTTGGCCGATGGAGGTCGGTTGCTGATGCTCGTGTTGGCATGCACTCCTTTTTTTTTATGCCCTAAACGCTGACCTTAGGCCGCTTGCTTTTTAAAAAAAAAAAAAAAGATCATATGGGAGTATGACTCAGGGAGAGTCGAGCGGTGTGTCCCACGATTCACCATTAGATACCTCACCAACCTCCAGCAGAAGCGTATCCGTAGAAAGTGCATTGGAGCATGGATCAGATCTACACACCCCAGAGGAGACTACAGCAGCATCACCACCACTGACACCCCTGACGCACAGGGAGATCGCCGAGGTCAGTTTTGCGTTCTGCATCCTTTGGTTCGCAGCCAACTGGGCGACGAACGCCTCATTGGCCTATACCACCGTAGCGAGCTCAACGATCCTCGCCTCCATGTCTGGATTCTTCACCCTCGCGATCGGAGCCATGCTCAAGACCGAGACCTTCAGCACCCTCAAATTAATCGCCGTCTGTGCCAGTGTCGTGGGTGTGGCACTCGTGAGTGAATCCGACCGAGGAGAGAACTTGACGGACGACCGCAGCACCGATATTGGAAACATGGTCATCATCGACCCCACGCAACCCAGCGCTCCATTGTTTGGCGATCTCCTCGCGTTGATGTCCGCGATCCTCTATGGCTGCTACACCGTTCTGTTAAAGATCCGGATCCAGAACGAGAGTCGCGTCAACATGTCGCTGTTCTTTGGATTCGTGGGACTGTTCAACCTGTTCCTGCTTTGGCCCATGTTCGGGGTCCTTCACTGGACGGGCATCGAACCGTTTGAGTTGCCCAAGGACAGCAAGATCGTCTGGATGATTGGTGTGAATGCCCTGGTTGGCACATTTGTGTAAGAAGAAGAAGAAAAAGAAGAAGAGCCAATCCTCCGTTTTTCCACCCCTCCTCTCATATATATTCTGTCTGTTCTCACAAAATCTTAATCCCACGTTTGCATACACGCGTTTTTTTTCATTTTTTTTTTTTTTTTTTTTAGTTCCGACTATCTCTGGCTCCTCAGCATGTTGATGACATCTCCTCTTGTCGTTACTCTTGGTCTCTCTCTGACGATCCCCTTAGCGTTGATCGGGGATGTACTAGGTTATGGACGCGTCCTCGGACCCGCCTACTGGATCGGAGCCGCCCTTGTCCTGGCCGGGTTCTTTGGCGTCAACGGCGTCACACTGAGTGAGCATCGAAACGAAACAGAGCGTCAGGAAGATGTCGCGATCCGTCCTGCGACCTCGGCACTTGTCTCGCAAGAAGGCGAGGATCGATCATTGGCGGGAACGGTGTCTGAAGAGACGAACGATGAGATGCAACGGCTCCTGCCACATGCATAGCCCGCTAATATATAGAAATTCTGTTCAATGTGGCACCGACCAGCTCTTTTTTTTTTTTTTTTTTCTTTTTTTTTTTGTATCCATATTCTACCCCTGTATCATATCGTACAATGAAAAGTCGAGATCATCTTGACAATGCTGCTGTTTATTTCTATATTCTATATTACAATCTAGGATGACTTTTTGTGAGTGAGTTGGATAACTGGCTCTTGAGCGAGCTTTGTAGGCGAGGCCGCGCGGTTAGAGGGTATCATCATGCTCGATTCTCTGGCCTTGGGAAATGCATTGTCGAGAATACCGAGCAAATGTTGCGAGAGTGCTGCTGGTTTGATCAGGACCTCCTCGCAAAGGCGGTTCGAGGCAGGCTTCATTTCTACACAACTCTGTTCCTCCAAATGACGCCAGAGTTGGAAGACCGCTCCTGCAATGTAAAGCTAATATGACAGAAAATAGAGAAATACAAATGTGAATAATGTCTTCGGCTACTGGCATAGCAATAGCAAACAAGGCAGATCAGCCAGTGCTCCTGCTCACCTTTGGGTGCTGAATAGCCGAGGCCTTGATCTGCTGCCTCACTTCCGACACTGCCTGCAGGGTCGGTTTCCAGTCCTCCTCTGTACCTGTCAAAAAGACCTTGGTCAAGCCCATATGAGCTGCAGCTTCGACTGCTCCCAGCATCATAGTCTTGACATCCATCATGCTTCCATAGCTCAATCGACTGACAATATCGTCCTCGTAGACATAGCATCGGATGTGGTCCCGATACCGGTCAGCCAGATCCTTGGAGACACTGCATGCTGGTGCAAAGGCATGGCATTGGATCCGGAACTGCCCCTTCATCATGGACTGGAACTCGTGCTGGTGATCCAACAACATCATGGTCAAAATCGACGCCGTACCTCCACCCAAGCTATGGCCTACAATGTTAAGGGCTGACACCTTGTGTTTGGAGATATAGGCGACGAGCTGCGGGACAAGATTCTTCATAAACCAGTCGGCTGATGTCTTCATACCGCCATGGACAAGACCGCCCTTCCACTGCTGATATTCGCACACCAAATCGGTCAGGGTATCAAAAGCACTCTATGAGAGATTGACAAAGAACGAAAATGTTATTAGGAGATGGTTCAAGATATTGAGCAGGTCCTGACGAACGTCCCAGTGCGTACCATCGTGCCGCGAATTGCCAAAACAATCGAATTCGTCGCCCGATCAAGGGCGACATAGTAGCTTGGATGGAACACCTTGGATGCGTGGAATTCGTATGCAAGCAGATCCTCCTTTGGAATACGGAGGAAATCAATTGCGCACGCATGATCAGACCGCCAGCGGATAAAGTCTTTGATGATCCCGTTTCCTTTGCCTACAAAGTTAATGCCAGCCCATCCCTGTAAGACCGAGGATTGAGAATGAGGGACAAACAAGTTACAGAAAAATCCCATGTTAGACAGCTGGACAAAATCACAAGGTTTGTAGCATGCATGGTTGACTGAAGATTTTGTAACATACGTAGCAAGCCATAGAAAAACGCCAAAAGTATCCCGCATGCTCGACCTGCTCCAGTGTGGCTAGTCCAGTGTCCATCCTTTCACTCGTTACGTCGCGATAATATCGCTCCAGTACTACGACGCCTGCCAAGATCTGTGTATTTGTCAACTCGAATCCCTGTCCGAAAGCAGTCACCAAGCGAATGACTGCCTTGACGACCTTTTGTGTTTCCGGAGCAATAGTCCACGATCCGACCATATCCAGGATTGGGTATTGGACCACAGTATCGTCCTCCTCCACCGTGGCAAACTTGAGCTCTGTCTGTTGAGCATTGCTCTCCTTGTTGTCCGGGTCCTCATACTTCTGGAACCTCGTGTCAGAGGCATCATCCATCATTGCTTCTGAAAGTTGTGCCAAAAAATTCGAGTCGTCCTCCAGCTCGCTTGAAAGCTTGGGCGCTGGGACAATAGAGAGAGTGGGTCCAGCATTATCTTCCAGCTGTGGTGGTTTCTGGTACCGATAATGGATACGGAGCTGAATGGCCCCGATATTGGATGACAGCGTCTTTTTCCCTGCAAGATTGGACATTGTGCTGACGGATTTTGTACGATCCCAGATCTCATAGAAGCTGTGTGCGGCGTGCATGTAAAGAAAATACTGTAAGTATTGGGTCCAATCGAGGTCTTTTTTTTTTTTTTTCCTGGAGCTGGTGACCAGTTCTCCTTGATTCTTTTGCTATACCTTGTGAATGATTCTGGCAAGCCTTCTAGATGCGATAGTTTGATCTCTGCCCGCCCTACATGTCTGTCGCGCAGAAGAATACTCCTGTCATACAAATCCAGCTACGACATATCCACGTATATCAGAGACAGAAATGTTGTGTTAGTACTGTGAAACATCAACATGGATACACACAGAAATTGTATGGGCTTTTTGGAACCACAGTCAAAGATCCACTTGGTTTACCTGGAGACTATCAAAGAGCTGTGCATGGTATGTGACCCGAAACTCAAATCCTTCGTTCCAGTCGCCGTGTTGGTGTTCGGAGGTAGAAGTTTGGAATGCTTGATCTAACGCAGCCAACAGCAACAACCGTGTGTGTGTGTGTGTAAGCGACACAATATGATGCCTGTTTTTTAAAGAGATCAAAGTAAACTGTGTTTCTGCACCACCTCCTCAAAGCAAACAATGGCCATACCTCCAAGAGTTAAAATGACGTATGGGCGTTGCAGGATCTCGTTGAGCTCAATTCGCTTCACATTAATCTAAGCCGAGCATGAAAGTGAGACGGATTACAGAAACGTTGGTGCTTCGTTCGAGTAAGCAGTACATTGAAAAAATGCCCAACATCCTCCTGCCTGCTGACTGACCTGCAGTCGCTTGTCGGGTAATGGCCTCCAGGGCCGCTGTTTGATCTCCTCGGACACTTTTGAGAGCAACTGGGTAGCCGCGCTGTTTATGGACGAATTGGATGCTGTGGATGATTCCGACGTGGCTGTTACGGGGGATGAGGTCGTGGGGGTAGTGAGAAGACTGGAAGAAGACCCTGATAGAACTGGGCTATTAAACCCCGAGTGTGTTATGGAGGTCTTGGTGACGGGAGAGGTCGTCATGCTTGCCCTCCTTGTGGGTTGTTGTGTAATTAGGTCTGGTGCAGAAGCCAAGCCCATGACAGCGTTCCCAGTAACGGCGTGAATGGACGAAGTGCTGATTCTGGTTGCTGCCTTTGGCCGGGCAAAAGGTGGGGGGACGCCATAGGACATGGTACTTGCGGGTCGAGATGCAAAAGTGGGGAAGGATGATGGATGAGAACAAGAATGAGCAGCAGCAGCGGAGTGGCCATCGCTTGCTCCCTCTAACTTTGCCCAATTTTCTAATGCACAATGCACGTGCAACTAAACTCCTCTCGTTTTGTTTTCTTTGGGGATGAGGGAGGGTCTTTGTGGGGGAAAGGAACATGCGTCCAGGGCGATCATTTGCACTTATTTATTGGGTTCTGAAAATGAGACTAAAAAGCGAAGTAAGCAAGGAAGCTCCTTGGAATGCCGAACGCCTTATGCTGATGCTTGTTCTACGTCCGCCATCACCTGGAGTCCCTGCAGCACGCTCCATACTCCGGGAACGAACCACCGTGCCTCGGAGCTCTTAGATCCCACTGTGCAGGTCACAACGCGGTGCTCGTCGCCAAGATTCAAGCCATTGCAATATACAAACATGTCTTCGTCCGAGCGGTCATCGCCGATGCACAGGACAAAGTCCATCGCATCCTCGCCGTACTGTTGGCGAAGAGTCTCCACAATCGTCTTGGTCGCGTGCGCCTTACTGACATCCCGAGGCATCACCTCCAAACATTTACGGCCAACAACAGCGTGGATAGGGTAGATGGATCCGATCGCCTCTTCGATGTGATTCTGGCACTCGCGTGCCTGCCACAGTCCGTAGCTCGGATTATCGGCCTGGCGGTAATGCTGGTTTTTTTGAGGGAAGAGATCATATCCTTGTTAGTGCTGAAACTTATACAACTCATAAACGCACCAAACAGTAACAGAAGGTCACATACCCAGACAATCGGTATGGCCTTCTCCTCGATCTCAGATCCCGGCGTTCTTTCCTTGTAGTATTCAAACATCTATAAACAGAAGAATGTTAGACACCGTCTCTGCCCATTGCATGATGCATACAAAAGGTCCTCATGCCGAGATTGGATGTTATTCTTACCTCCATGACTTTCTTACGCCACTGCATGTCAGTGCCCTCTTGAACTTGGTCCTCCCAAGCTGACTTGCCTACTGGCTTGAGGAAACATCCGCCTTCCGCACTAAATGCGCCAACAATAAGAACTATTCGTCAGTTTTTGATCAATCGTAGACTCTTATGCGGATCAGAAAGATAAGGATGTCGTATTACCAAAGGCCAATATTTTCAATGCCGCTAAAGACCTCGTCCAGACTCTCCCGTGTCCGACCGCTCATGATGTAGACAAGATTTCTCGGATCCTTAGCAAGCTGCGTAACGACCTTGATCATATCCCCATGAGACGTCTTTCCCTTTGTTCGGACAGTAGAAAGCCGCTCGTAAGGCAGTAGGGTGCCGTCATAGTCCAATAGCAAACTAGAAAGAGATTGTTCAAGACCGTGGGTTAGACTCTTAACACAAAAAAAAAAAAAAAAAATTATCGACTATAGGTACTGCAGCTCCTCACGATACTTACAGTCTTCGTTTGGTGGATTGGAACTGAGGCAATACAACTTGCATGTTTAGGAGGGGAATGTGGATCGAGTAACGACGTTGCACATCTCCGTGGACCTTAATCAGTTCGGAAACAAAATCTGTTGCCCAGAACTGAGCCGTGTTGGTGCAGACGTGCTTACGCAACTCGTTCCAGCGAAGTGCTTTCTCGTCATCCTTCATCATCAGACCTTCATGGATGGCCTCAGCAACTTCAGTATAGTTCCAAGGGTTAATCCTCAAGCAGGCACCAAAACTTCCATACGTTCCAGCAAACTAGATCGAGTGAAGAAATATGTGGAGATGTCAGTAGCCAAGCCCTATCGCTACTCTTTTAGCAGATTAGACACGACACCACAGCTGTGTACCTCACTAAGGATCAATGGATTTTTTGTCTCCTCTTGACAAATGATATACTCGTGCGATGTGAGGTTCATTCCATCGCGGAGCGAGGTGATCAAGCACAGATCAGCCGCTGTGAGAAGTCCGAGGTACTGACTAAAGGTGATATCCTGGCGCAAGAACACAATGGGTTGGTACGAGAGACTGCTGAACTTGGAGTTGATCCTGGTGACCACATCCGAAACTTGACCCTGGAACTCATTCTGCTCCGAAGTAGACAGAGCGACTTGGATCAATACGATCTATGTATGAATGTCAGAGCATGTTAACTACCATCCCTTCCATTTAAAACAGTACACTCTATCGGTATAACGGACGACATGTATACCTTTCCTTGCCATTCGGGATAAAGGTTCAAGAAGCGCTCAAAGGCAAGCATCTTCTGACGGACACCCTTGATATAATCCAACTTGTCGCGTGCTACAATCAACTTCATGCCGGCATATTTCTCCTTAAGCACCTTGACCCACTGTGCAACTTCAGGGTCCTGGCGTTTGACATTGAGGCTTTTGGTATCGATGCCAATAGGGAAGATGCCAACGTTGACTGCAGTATTTTCCAATTGGATTCCCTTTGGACTGGATTCGACCGCGAGGATACGTGAGCATGTCTGGAGGAAATGGCGAGCAAAGGAGTAGGTTTGGAAACCAACAAGATCAGCTCCCAGCAGGCCATGCAGGACCTCCTTACGCACTGCAAATGATGGCAAAAACGAAGGATAAAGTATGTTAGTGCATTCCTTCCTGTTGATCCATATCATGCTATCATGGATAATTGATGAAGCAATTGGTCGCACAATGACCTACCATGCAAGCATCTAAAGATCTCAGAGCTGGGGAAAGGGATATGCAAAAAGAACCCAATGGACGCATCGGGAAGGCGCTCGCGGATCATGTTGGGGACCAGCATCAGATGATAGTCGTTCACCCAAACTACGGACGGTAAATGTTTGGAACAGTTTTCATGATTAGAAAAAGAAACCAGTCCGTGCAGATAAGGCGGGTTGATAACGAACAACGTGCAGGCGTACTTGTGTCACCCTGACGATAATTTTCGACGATCGTATCCGCAAACGCTCGGTTCACGGCGACGTAATGCTTCCAAGATCCGTCCTCATAGGTCTTGCTCCTGAGGTTGTCGGGCAGGATATAGTGGAAGATGGGCCAGAGGATCTAATCCATAAAGAACAAAAGATAGCAAATTAATTGGATTAATGTCCAGGAACCAAAAGGAGCGAACAAGCGTGGGAAGAGAATCGAAGGAGTGACGAGGGAGTGTCATCATGGGAGGAGTACGAGACAGAGACACGGAATAAAAAAATTAAAATAAAAAAAGTCAGCCTGACCAGACAGAGGGAGTGAGCAAGCAAAGGACCATCTGAAAGGGGTAAGGTCTCTGGTATTTTCGCTTGGATTCCCCTTACTCCCTTCACAGTGCTAGATCGCACCATGACCAGGAATGTATGCACAACCTACCTGTTTGCAGAACTGGTGATAGTGTCCTTCAAAATCCAAGTCATTGACAAAGACAGGGATGGAACTGTGATCGAGCGCCAACTCTGCCTTGATATCGCCTCGTGTTCGATCGTTCAAAGTGTCGGTAGCCATGCCCAGCGTGCCAATCCAGATCCTCTTGGATAGCTGACCTTGAATCGAATTCACTGCGTTGTGGAGACCAATGTTGCCACTGGTGGCCTTCTCGACAGTCCATGGAGCCTCTGCAAACACCTTGGCGGAATCAATTGAAGGGCGTCGGTGTGGCTGCGTCTTGTGGATGTTAATGGTAGGGTGATCTCCGATCCTGCTGCGGGGCTGATTCAAAGGCGGACGTGGTGCTGCTTCGGGGAAGACGTTCCCTAAGCCTACTTTACTGTCAGAGGGAGGGGCAAGAATAGATGGCGGCGGAGTTGCCAGATGGCCATGGTACGATGCCCTTTGGTGCAGTGCGGGACGATCCTGATCCTTGAGTCGATCAGCTTTTTTGGTGATGGGCTTAGGTACTGTGGTGACAGCCTCGCCGACGGAGGACGTACTTCGGAAGAACCTAGGCGCTGTTGGTAGCGGAGGCAAGAGAATGCTGGTAGGCTGCAGGGCCATTTTAGTGGGTGCGACACGTTGCGGGGGAATTGATCGCTGGATGTGATCCGACATGGCTCCGTTCGAGGTGTCAACAGCGGCCAGAGAGTGGATTGAGGCGGCAGGTCGAGGCTGGGCCGAAGAGGAGGACAGGGTAGTGTTTCCAGCAGTATTGGGTAAGGACGAGCCCTTACTGCCGGACTTGAAGCGGCCATCCTTGTCGCGGGCGGGGACTTGGAAGGAGATAGTGTCTGGTAGAAGTAATGTTGCGACAAGCAACCTGCCAGGTGTTAGGACCGAGCCTTCAGCAATCATGATGGGTTATCGGCGGATGTGTTTGCGAAAGAAGAAAAACAAAATGAAAAAACGAAAAAAAAAAGAATAAGGAACACGTAAAAGGATAGGGTTGCGTGCGAATTGGAAAAAAGAAAGAGAGAGAAAGGAGAGGAAGGGAGTGATGGTGGTGGAGCGGGAGAAGGCGCTTGGACCAGTGCACCAATGCCCCTGATCCAAGTACTCAAACGCAACAATGAGGTCATCTTGTGACTGCAGTCCTCCAGGGCAGACGCGCTCCAATGGCAGCATGCACAAGCGTGCGGACAGGAAACGGTGCCAATCAAGTCGACATATTGCTGCTATGCTTTACTGTCCATGCATGTTTGTACCTCACATAATCTGCGAGAAGAGCGAGAGCAGCCTTCTGCGTTTGCATTCATTGGCAATTGCTGTTCTATCTTCTCAAACATCTTACGCGTTCAATGGCGCGTGTTAGATGTCATTCTTCTAATCAAATTGACAGTTGACAGTATTAATGGATCAAGGTTGCATGTTCGATGGCCAATTGGCTCTATATTTTTGATACTCGACAACAACATAACAGAGTAGTGCGAATGGGTTTTGTCTACATCTTGACGAATATGCGTTTCTCGTGCTTGAATCGAATAAAGAGCAGCAGCGCTGCGCCCAAAATCGGCGCAGTCCCTGCAAACACAATTGTCCAGGTATACCTCCCCCCGGAAGCGGTAACAATCGCAGATGCCAACGGTGTTCCAAGCAGGTTACCTGTCGCAATGCGAAAGGAAGAGGAAAAAACCGACGCACTGAGTCAGCTACAGAAGAAAGTGAATGCACCATGCCCTCAGTGTCTCGACCTACCGAAAAAGTTGCCAGAGTAAAGGAGGCCGACTGCAGCTGCAAGTTTCTCCACCCCAATGACATCTGCAGCGACCACAGGGAACAGACTATTGAAGCCGCCCGCATTAATTCCATAGATCACCACAAACACAACTGCCATCGGAAGACCTGTCGTGGTCATCCAGAAGATGTAGCAGGCTAGACCGCTAAATGCCGTACTTAAGATCAACATATTCAAGGGACCATACCAGTCCGCGACAAACCCGAGCAGGATTCTCGAGACTGCATTCACGCCTGAAAAGACGCTGACCAGCGACGCTCCTACCTCGGGGCTCATGCCCAAATCCACCATAAACTTGGGAAGTAGGAAGATCGGGGTCAAGTAGCCGAACGTCACCAACATACCCTAAGAAGCACAAAGACATAGTCAGGTTCCTGTCGGTTGCTGTGCAACCAAATCAACGCCTCTCAAAATCATCCATACCATGAGATACATTAGTGTGAATCCACTGTTTTTAAACATTGCAACATCAAACAACGGCCCTCCTCGCTTCCTTGGTGGGATTCGTGTACGGATGCAGACTAGCACTGCGCATACAATCGTGATAGTGGAGATTCCCATGATCCGTAATGCCCACTGATAGCCGATTTTACTGATTAGAATCCGGTTTAATGGTGCTAATACTGCACCTCCGATCCCCGATCCGGCCACAGTGATACCGGATGCAAGTCCTCGCTTCTTGTCGAACCACTGAACAGAAATCGCGACCGACGTGAATAACGCCATACCGGCGCCAAAACCATACATAAAGCCCTAGGAATATAACAACCGGTTGTTTAATATGAATTGGCCAAAAAAAAAAAAAAAAAAAAAGCATTGGTCGCTTACATGCGTGAGATAAAGCTGCCAGACCGTTTTGGCAAAGCTCGCTAGAATCATACCGGATCCAGAGATGACGATGCCTGTGACAATGACGGGTCTTAGTCCGAACCGACTGACCATCGACGCTTGGAAAGGACATGTCAAGAAAACACTTGCGGTGCCAATGCCTCCCGACCATGACACCTCCGATAGCGTAGCGCCGGGAAAGATGTTATTCTCGATGTAGAACTGTTGAAAAACGCCCCAAGAAAAGTTGAATCCCCAGCAACTGCTCACATCATCGCCGCGGATCAATGGAAAAGTAGACGTAACACAAACAGACGAATCGCAGGACGATTAGATAGGTTAAGTTCACATAAACGGCGAAAGACAAAGAAAGGGGTGCCTCTCTTTGTGTCAAAAACTTTTGAGGTCTCCTTACCAGAACTGAATCATGAAAGCTCCAAATACGACCGCCCATCCGAAACCACCGTCGGGGAACGTCATGGGCGCGGATGCCTCAATGGATACAACATTGCCGAGTTCACTAGATCCATCAGGCTCAGTCAAGCTTTCCAGGTGTTCTTTCTCGTTAGCATCGCTCGTCGTTGTATCGCCGGGTTTGTCATCTTTATGCGGGAGACCGACAAGGGTCTTCTCAGACGCTACAAGATCAATCGCTGAAACAGTAGTGGTGGAATCTTTCGTGCCGAAGACGGGCACAGGAGTAGATATAGGCATGCCGTCAGGACCAGGGATAAACACAGCGGGTTGTGCGATCGAGGCGGTCCCTGAATGCGACATATCTTTGAGAGATGGTGGTGGGTTCATTTGGCGTGGTTAGAAGGACGTTTTCGATTTGCGGCGCGCTTGTTGCTGTCTAGCAAGTAAGCTGGGTTCCTGTGGGAACAAGTGCTTCTTTTATCCTTGGGCTAGTAGAGAGAGGAGGTGGAGTACTGCGCTGAGGAGAAACAAGCTCAACGAACGTTAAAGTTAAAGGATGATTAAACCCTGAACGAAAAAGAGTCATATCGAATACATGCTAAGTCCGCATCCCAAGGCGGTATCAATGCATGGGTACAATCGTACCACTTCGTCCAACGTGGATAAGACTTGGCTGATTTGTGCTTCCCCCTTGGCGATAAGACCGCTGCACGGGGTTGGTCCTCCTCGTCGAGTCGATGAGGGATTATGTATCTGCTGTCCTCTCTATGCTGCTCTATGCCGCACGTTGAACGCTCATCAATAACACCGATGCCAATTCAGTTTTGCCCCTGCTTCCCAACCCACTTCCGTTCATATTGTTATGGTTGACTGATGTATTTAGCCGGCTCTGTAAGATACTAAGAAACAGGTAACGATCAGTACAAGAACTTAGGGTTCTCGCTTCAAAGCATCCTCGACCATGACCTTGATACGCTTCACAGTTTCGTCGCCCATTTGGTAGTAGTCGAAGTTCTTGCCCGGATTGAACATCTCCATATGAGCCTCAATTTCATCCTGTCCCGAGCACTCGCGCGCAGAAAAGTGCTCCCGTATGCCATTAGGGATCGATGAGAGCTCAACAAACGTTCTGGATGATGGCCTCCAATTGTTGCTGGAGCTTGCCGGGATCTGGATCTGGGTGTAGAAACAATGGAATCCGATGGGCAGTTCCAGGACGTTTGCAACCCTAGACATCCAAAAGACAGATGGATGATTTGCATGTTAATTACAGCTAAAGGACAGTTAAAGCGACCTTCAGCAACATTTGCTAGCGCTTTGGTATTGACCTTTGTTTAAGCTGGGCATTACTCCACAGGATACCAACAAACTGGATGTGGGACGTGATGTACTCCATTCCTTTGTTCATATGGTTGTTGACAACATATGCGGCCCCCGTCGCTGCCACTGCGGCTCCAACTCCGAGCGCAATCGAACCCCAGCCCCACTTTGAGCTCGAAGTTGATGTTGTCGTTACCGTCTTTTCGTTAGAAGACGTTGCGGACCATAACGACGTGGGGTTGAAGCCACTCGGGGCTGTCGATGATGATTGACCCCCTTCCCTTTTCTGCTCTTCGCGTTCCTTATTGTCACTCGAGGTCTTCGTAGTGGTCGTGGACACTGTGCCCCATGCAGCAGCTGCAGGAAGATAAGCGGACACGAGCGAGTATGCACCCGAGGCCTTTTGTGCCAATCCTGTCGCTCGTTCGTACGCTGCCTGTGTGAAAATGGTGTGGTTCAACCCAAAATAAGGCGTATCGAACGCCAAAATGCCAATGACGGGCGACCTTTCAGGTAGTGAATGCAGTAGTAGCGCAGCATCCGCGGCTAAATTGGTGTTAACACAAGGATGTGGAAAAAGAAGTATATAGCGTAAGTAAAGTCGTTATGACGGCGTCATCGACATCTGCATTCACTGCCGAGAGATATTAAAGCATTACCAACTAATCCGCCCATGGAATGACCGATAACACACACGAAGACTGGGGGTATCTTGTCCTCGGTCTCCTTCGCAACAGTCTTCTCGTCAATGTCTGCTTGGTCGGCTTTCATCTCACTCGGCTTCATTTCCTTTGCCTCGTTCTGCCTCGGACTGTACACTCGATTATTAAATTCTTGTCGACTCTTGACCTGCTGCTGAGTCCACTCCGCGAACGTCTTCACTGCAGCCTATCAGATAGCAACAAAAGAGAGAGAGGGAATTAGAACTGGTTAGGCACACCAAGGTGGGCATGTTCCTCCTTTTCCTTGACTAGGGTGCACAATATGTTCCGTCCACATTTTCAATCGACTCACGCTAAAGTCGCCTCGGGTATCATATTGTGGGTAGACGATGGACTCGACATCCAGGTTAAGTTTTGCATTTGTAAAGATGGTCATGATCCTCGTTGGAAAGTCCAAAAAAGTGTGATGGTCATGGCCCTTGAAGCCGTGGACAAACAGGAGAAGAAGCGTCGCTTTTGGAGGAGGCAACATGATGCTGGCGTTATTGCTGTTTGCTGTTCTCTGTGCTGGGATGTCGAGTTTGCTCTGCGGTCTGATTTGATGAAAGCACTTTACTGCTTGTGAAGTGAATCTGCCCAAGACTGTTTCATGTGCTTTTGTCACGTTCGGATTCTGACAGGCCGACAAGGTACATGTACATCTTTTGACAATTTTCTTTTATTCAGGGGAGTGCAAAGGGCGTAGATGAAGAGACAAGGACAAAGGGCAGCTACTCAAAGAGCACGCAAGCAAGCGTGGACACTTAGTCCGAGGCAACCTTGGCGGCCTTGCCAGTCTTCTGGATGGTCTGGAGGATATCAGCCTACAAAGAGTATCCACACACACAACTTGATTAGTAAACACCCTCAGCGCCTCAAAAGAAGGTTGGACTTTAGAAGCAATTTACACGCATCTGTCGTCGGCGACTAACCTCGCTAAGCTTTTCGGACTCGACAGTGACCTTCTGGGTCTCGAGCGAGACATCGAACTGCTCAACAGAACCTATAGTCGCGTCATGATATGATCCAAGTCGTTTCAATTGTGAGTCAACATTATTTCCAGGGACAAAGCGCAGGCACTATTATCTTCTATGTTAATTGGACCCTCAAACCAAGCACACGACACTGCGTTCGTCTTACCTGCGTCCTTCAGCTTGTTCAAGACGCGGGTGACAGCACCACTGCATCCAGAGCAGGTCATGGTAACGTCGTACTTGTAAACCTGGAGAAACCAGTGCAAGATAATACGTACGCAGTCAGTCACTGGAGAATCAAGGAAGCAAACAGAAAGTATAGGTTGACGAACTAAATACACCTCATGCGGTTCACATACTGGCATGGCTGTTGTTGTAGTGAGTGAAGATGAGAAGTGATGAACGACGAAAAGATAGATGACAGATGACAGCTGTCCCTTTTATTGTCGAGGACCCTTAATATCTAAGATCAATTCAAACAAAGTTCTCCTTTGGCTCCGAATCAACCTCATTCCATTTCAATGAGTAGCGGGAGGCAGGGGGCTGGTAAACTTCCAACTTATCGAGGACCTCCTTGGCAGTCGATCCAGCAATAATGACCTTGGAACTCCAGTCGACAATAAATTTCTCTATAATGAAAGATGAATTAGAACTGCGAAGATGCGCCATATTTCAGGCGGAACGGATAAAACGCGTACCTTCAACCGAGTGTTCGATGAACTTGAGCAGGTGCTCAAAGTATCCCTTCATGTTGAAAAGCATCACTGGTTTGTCGTGAATGCTCAGCTGCGACCAGGTGGTAATCTCAAGTAATTCCTCCATGGTACCGTAGCCGCCAGGCATCGTAATAAAGCCGCTTGACTAAGAAAAATAGTTAACAATGAATCACAAAAAGATGTCAGAGTACGAGTCGTCGATACAACCCGCACGACCTCATCGAGGTATAGGCGCACTCCAGATCTCTACACCAGGGTAGTACATAGTCCTGATACGCACCAGCTTATTCATCAACGCTTTCCTGGTATGCATATCCTTGACGACGATCTCCTCTCCAAAAACCCGGTCGTTGTCAACGTCGGGGATTTCTATTGGCCAGCAGAAAAATACATGCAGGTTATTAGTTACTGGAAAACGCTTGGATGTACTCCAGGAGACTCCATCAAGGCGCAGTCAGTGCCATAAAAAAAGAGATTAGGGATCCCTGACATGGCGCATGATGAGGATAGGTACAGTTGTACTTACCTGGGCGCTCGATCTTCTTGAGGGCTTCAGGGATGACTCCAATGACTTTTCCGCCTCCTTCATGGATAGTTTTTGCAATGGCTCCCATCAATCCATAAGAACCACCGCCTTAACAAAGATAACAAAGAACATTAAGGATAAGTGAATACAAGAGCACTTTCGTCCAAGCATTGTAGAGTATGATGATCTGTGAAACTTAGAGAAGGAAGGAAGGAAACATACCGTAGACAAGGCCGTAGTTCCTCTTGAGCATTTCGCGACCAAGCTCTATTCAATGCGGCGGATATGGATGTTTAGAACCCTGCAGAGAGACCTATAATGCCTTCTTGAGTCATTAATAGCTCATACCTTTGGCCATTTCAACGTAATCGGGATCTCGACCACTACAGACCGACAGGAGCAGAATGTTTGTACAGAATCAGATTTCCACAATCACTCCTTTCCAGTAGCAAGGTCGAAAAAGCAATGGAGCTTACGGTGATGATCCACAGAAGACGGTGATGAACCGCGTTGGGGTGGCGGCCTCATTGGTGGTTGTGCTGGTCTCAGGCATGGGGAACAGTTGAAGGATGTATGAACGTATACGCGAGTAGGGTGGAAAGGAGAAAAGCGTAGACTTGGTTAGCAGGAAAACGATCCATTTCCCCGCGTGGCTGTTGTTTCCCAGCGTTTTTGAAGTGAAGCCTACCATATCCAAAGAACTGATCAATTCCTTCATTTTTCATCCTGCTTACTCATATCCGCGTCCACAAGCATCCCTATTCTTACTCGACAACCTTTACTTCACAGCTCATGCTGTGGTCTACAGCCCCACAATGTCTCAAAAAACACCAACCGGAAAGCTAGACATACGTTGCGAAGCACTCGTTCTTGATAGCCTCCTTCTCTGCACCTGCTTTACTGAACCCGTATCCAAGATCCAGTACTTCATGAGGTATAATGAGGTAGACCATCGCGCTGTTTACGGTCTCAACGGCGATGAAGCCAAGCTCAAGTATATTAGAGAGCATGCCGGCTGGATTCGTGTACTTGGCGAATACGTCAAGGAGGTCAAGCGACTTGGCCCCTTTTTATGTTGTCAGCAAGTCTTCTGCAAAAAAACAGAGATGCTACTGTCGTTCCAGTTCAGATGAATGAATTCCTGCAAAAATTGTTGGACGGGTTTGATCTGGTCACCAGCGTATTTTGTCTTGATGTGGCCAACGCATCGTATCATTAAGCGAGGGTTCGACCAAGTCGATAAAAATGATGATCATGTCATCTCATCGAGCTGAGCACGCCAAGCGACTCCGCGTCTGTTTGTTCTTACATTCGACATGATATATAGTTCTCGATGTCTTGATTCTCAAATAACGCTGTCTTCTGTCCGGCCTGGATAGCGGAGATATGTGTCCATGACAAAAAAAAGAGCCTAGCGTCTGGTTGTGAAGCGCAAGACGCAGAAAAAACAACGGCATATAGTTTATTTTCTGAACAGTTCATTTTCGAAATGCGGTGTGCGTCTGTGGCACTGAGCCTTATTGTACATTGTTGCTGAGGGTGTCCTAGTTTACATCTTGCAAAGCCGTCTCTTTTTGTTTCTGTTGTGCTGATCCCAGTAGCTGTACTTTAGCAACTAAAAGTGATCCGGCTCCATGCAAAATCATCTTGTCACTTGCTTGTGGATGCCAAGGATGCCTTGGCATTATTGACCGCAGTTACTTTTTGCGTATGAGATGATGGTACTGTCGACTTTCGTACGGATCGAATCTCCTCTGACGCAAATCCTGGGATCCTGATGTTCCAATTTCTCTCTACATATGGTGCACATAGAATGAAATAACATTGAGTTATGCTGAAGCTCGCGAAAAGACCACATAGTATTGCAGCATTCCATCCCGCTATCCTTACCGAGATGAAGTTGAACATCCTTGACTTCCAGTGTCGACGACTTTCGGTGTGTGGCTAGTCTGCAGGCAAATTGCGTTACGGACTCGATGAACTCGTCCGCCAACTCTAATAGAATCTACCGCATGTTACAATAGGTCAGACACAGCAGCTGTTACGTGGAATTGTCGGTAAATTGAATAATATATCCTCCATGCACTTGTAGAAGACACCCCGATGAATGACTCTTACATCCTCGACCTCAGGTTCCAGTCTTTCGCTTGGGTCGATCTGTGCTACCATTTCCTGGATCTTGCGCTTGGTGATCAAGCTGGACGAGTTCTCAGACATGTCGAGCCCACTTCCTGGTGAAGTCATGATCAAGTATTCCTGCTGTTTCTGCTCTTGAGTAGTTGAAGGTGGGTGAGTGGGTGAGTTTGCTATTGTTATTAATCTTTGGCTGCTTGAACGTGAATGACAGACAAAGAGTTGATGACCATCGCGTCTTCAGAGAGTGTGGTATCGAGAGGCCCTTAACAGGGCCGGGTTTAAAAAAAATGGAGGGTACCATCGGAAAAGAACCTTGTCCCCTTGATCGATACAGTGCTTGCGTATGCGACTTGAGTTGTTGGTTCGCTGATAGTTCATACCCTAACCGTTCCATATGACTCTTGGACTCCACGGTTCCCTATGCATATGCCAATAGAGCACACAAAGATAGAGACTACACAAAGAGCAAGAATAATTTCATATCTCACTGAATTCATTCAACTTTCGTCATAAAGACTGGGCTGAAGAATATGCCATGACCTTCTAGGTTTGGAGAGATAATGGAAACAGTACTCATCAAAAGACGCATCTGTTACTAATTCGACAGTACCAATCGGGGAGGTCGATTCAGTGGGCGAGCTTGCCCTCTCATCGACAAAAACACAGAAAAGGCACGCCATACAATAGGAACAAGTACGCTGATAGACTGACAGATGAATGGGTGTTACTAGCTATGCTCTAAGCAGTGGTAGACGCGCCATTATGGCTATCTGACGCGTATCGAGTCGAATTAACGGCGCTACATTTTCCTTTTCCTTTTCCTTTTTTTTTTTTTTTTTTTTTTTTTTTTGGCTCTATTGTATTTTCTACGGCATCTATATTTATAGTGAGGAAGTTAGGCTTCCACGAATACCTTTTCTGCTATAACGGTTCCAGTGGGAGCTACAAGAATTTCATCCTTGACAGTGACAGTGGTAACGTTGAGGTCTTCCTTCGTCTTGGATGTGGCCTTGTAAACATTTGAAAATATAGCGCTCTGCGCCGGCATAGTCTCGTTCGTCATTTTGAGCAAGATTTGGTCACCACTTCTAACAGCAATAGATGACTGCTGGCCATCCGCCCCGAACTTCTCCTTGTACTCACTAAGCAAGTCGAAATGGATGTTGGATCCTCCACAGACAATAACGACCACGTTTGAATCCTGATTCAGGTTAGGGAAGATGTTGGATAGCAATCCAGGCGTGTACGCAATGCCTAGGGACGCACCACAGGCAGGCTCCACCGCGAAGCGGTGATCATCTAGTGCGGACAAAATTAAAACGTTATGGACATGTCTAATAGAGCTCGCGCGCTTAGATGCACGACCATGGACATGACCTAGCACCTACCGAGAAGTTGCCAGCATGCGCGAGCTGCCATCGCGTCACTCACTGAAAAAGGCACAACAGGATGCACAAGGCTCAGCTCGAGGGATTTTGCAGAGGATTTCTTGGCCCCAAGTGACGTGGCTATGGATGTGATCTTGGGCAGAGTGACCAGCTCGCCAGCCAAGACGGATTGTTGGAACGAGTTGGCACCATGGGTCTCGACCGCAAGCACAGGGACTGGCAATGATAAAACAATATAAATATTGATTGTTAATTGAGTAAAAGCTCCAATAGAATTTCTTGTTATGACCAGGCACCTCGGTATGGGATTACATCATACCTTTGCTCCAGCCGGCAGCCTGGCATCCAAGGATAACGCCATTCATCAGACCTCCTCCTCCGACTGAGCAGACAATCGCATCGGGGACAATTCCGCCTAGTTGCGCTTTAAGCTCGGAAATCATGGTCGAATTGCCCTCCCAGATATCGGGGTGATCAAATGGCGGGATGTACACTCTATTTGTAAGAAAATGAAAGATCAAAGAGAATAGCGTTAGTTTCTGATATGATGTAGATATGAATCCCAGGGCTGCTATTTTCCACTCTTGATGCATTGAATAAAACGACGGTACTCACGCGTGTGGGTCGTTAGCAACAATGGTACGCGCTCGCAGATCAGCTTCATCCCAGGCCTGCAATTGTCAAAGCACGTTGGGAATGTTAGTCGTACATGTGGACCCGTGGGAAGAAACTTACTTTACTGCGCAACACCGCAGAACGAAGCACATACCTCTCCTTCTACCTCCACAGCGGCCCCCTCAGCCTGAATCTTTTTCATCATGAACTGACTGCACGACTGAGGGACAACGACAGTGACCTTGGCATCGAGCTGCCGTCCTGCATATGCAACGGCCAGGCCAGCATTACCGCCAGAGGAGCAGACTAGATGAGTCTTGGAGCCGTGCTTCAGAGCCGCCTTTTGACACATGTGCCCAAGACCTCTGTAAAAAAGAAAAAAAAGTAATCAGAACTGGAAAATCTGGACCAACTATGCGGACGAAATTACTGTGCATCTCAATGGCATAACCTGCTTTCTTCGTACCTTATTTTGAAAGATCCACTCGGCTGCAGGTTCTCAAGCTTGAGCCAGATATTACTAGGGGCCCACAGTTAAGATACATTTTAGTGCTCAGATATCTAGGATCCAGGATCCAGCAGTCATCAAAAAAAAGAGGCGAGGCGGAGTAAATCAGCATAGTTACATCTGAGTCTTGCGGGTGAGCTCTGAAGAGTGCAGCAGAGGCGTAGGGTTGTGAAGGGGCTGAACAGGGACGGCCATGGTTGTTACGGATAGAATTCTTTTTTAGTAGCGGAAGAGTGTGAGATGAGGAAACCCCTGGAGCTGCTGGTACCGGTTGAATGAGATGTAAAGGAAGCTGATTCTTTTATTGGTTCGTTGAAGGTTCCTGTTTAGCTTCAATTTGCCGGCCACAGCAACAACCACTGGCGTCCTACATCACGCCAACGGGACCTGAGTCAGAACCATCGACTTGAACCTTCCATCGCATTCCATTTTCCCACACCTCTCATCAGATCAATCCCTCCGATCCACGCAAACACAGCCGGAGGCAAAGGGGCTAAAAGAAGGAAAATACAGGCCATGGCAACATCAATGCAGGAACTCTATCGCGTGGAGCAGTGGAGGTATCGAGCCGAGGGAAACGCCAACCTAGTCCTGCAGTACATTGGACCTGACCCTCGATTTGTAATGCAGTGACCGATTCTGAGACATCTTTGACTGTGCATCCAGTCTAGCGAGTATATCTAACCGCGAATGACTTGCCCTAGAAAACCACCTTGCTTCGCCTTCGGAAGACTGACCGCCAAATAACCGAGAAGACGCCAGATTCTGACACCGCAACAGCAGAAGCACCCATTGACGGACATGCCACCGAAACGAATGATGTATCCAGCGAATCGCTTTTTGCCTCCAAGGTCATGGGTCTTCTTCTAGGGCAAGAGTTCATCGAGCAATTGGTGAGTGCAGTCGACTGTTTTGGTCGTCATTGCTTCTGTGGAGAGTCACTTGCTTACAATCCGGAACACGATCATTTTCACTCGTGATATTAGATCCCAATCTCGCTTCCCAAGGAGTTCCTTAGAGAGCTGGCAGAAACCATTGAACCCTCGCGTCCAGAGGGTCGGCTGCATAAGGCAATTGACCATTCACAGATTACAGGATTCCTGGTGCTGGATCATACACGATTCATCAAGCCTTCTGCTGGCCAACCCTCGGTCGCCGTTGAGATTAAGGTAATGTTTACTTGGTGAAAAACTGCACGACTCTCTCGCATTGGTTTTCATTCATATCTCTCACTGAACATACCATCAATTAGCCTAAATGGGGATTCCTGACACAGTCAGGATTTATCTGCAAGGACAATGACATTAAGCGGCGTAAATGCCGATTCTGCATGTATCAACATCGCAAAATCAAATTGGGACAGGAAGACAGTTTGAGTGAATTCTGCCCTATCGACTTGTTCTCAGGCGAACCGCCTTTGGTACGGAACGCCCTGGATTCTCTTGTGCGAACGCCCCAGAACAACCTACGTCTCTTTGTCGACGGAGAGATATGGCCTATCTCCAATGAGGCAATGCTGCAGTGCCTTTCAGGGCCTGGATCCGCTCCTAAGAAGCCGCAAAGAGCAGATTCGCAGACTGACGTTCAGGAGAGGCCTCTAGAGACATCACTTACAGAGGTTTTGGTACGGATTCTAGTCCAGTCGCCATTACTTAGGCGACTCGGTCGACTTCAACAGGCACTGGACTCGCTGGATGTGGAGACCATTCATCGTTTCTATGCTCAGTTGGTTGATCCGGCTATGGGCATCCTTCCGGAACCAACTCTTGAGGAATTCCTGGATACAGCAAACTCCTTTTTGTATCGCACGGATATGAATGAAATGATGGACATGGAACATGAAATATTTGCGACCAGCATTGCTACCAGCCTGGGGTTTGGACCGGAGGACGATCTTGATAACCCGAATACGGTGCCGGCCAGCCTCAAACTGCACTACATCCGCGAATTCCTTTTGTCGGCGACGTTGAAAGATTGTTCTATTCTGATCACAGTTCGGCGTGAGGATCAGGCGGATCAAATTATAGAGGACGTGGGGACGTCTTCGATTACGCGAAACGGATCAAGGTAACGATAAACCTTTCGGATTATTTACGACTATTGTTTTTTATGTCTTTCAACGAGAATACTGAAGACCTACCTTCTAATGAACGTGATTGCACTCAACCTTGTTAGTCTCGGAGTGGGCATACTTGAGTTCAGCGAGAACTACCGGAAAATCAGGGTCAACAACGAGGACTTTATATACAAAATCACTTGCATAGACCTTGACCCAAAGAAGATAGTCTCTGTCCCTATGTATCTGAAAAAAGACAGGGACATCGTCGGCTATTATCTGTCCATCGTTGGAGACCGCCAGCAGCGGTGCGGTTCAAGATAGGGCGAAAAAATAAAGGGTGGGCGTTCAGTGTCACGAGTCTATTTTGCGCCTTACCTGGACGGGCGATTCCAAGGTGCCAAGCATTCTTAAACCTCTCTTGCATTCACCGGAAGCACTGTGAGCAAGCATCCCAATACCAAACAACCCTTTGAGCATACACAACAAGACCGAAGAACAGCTTGAAAGAAGGTGATAACTATGTATGTTGTTCTCCGACCCGGCAGGTCCTATGGACCTGTCCAGAATGCAATTGCAGTCCTGAATCTCCTCTCATTGGTAAGTCGGAATGAGCCTCGTCAGTGTTAGGTTGCCAGCAAGTATGAGTGGGTCGGATGCAGGCGAGTCCTGGAAGAGCAAACGCCTAATGTTTTTTGCTCGTAATCTGACAATAGCTTGTGGGGATGATTCTGCTGTTTGTTGGTAAGTATACCCAGTTTGTTTGCCTCGCCAACATGCACTGGTGTCTCCCTTGGCCCATTGTAGGTCTCTAACCGGCAGTTCTTGTTGTCGTATTGCAGGCACATTTGTGTATTTTGCACCTGGTGCAGTTTTCGTTACCTCTACGCTCCTACCCCACCTGGTTCTTGTCCTGGGCGCCACCATCTCGTTGGTCTCCTTCCTGGGATACTATGGCGTCATGAACGAGAAACGCTGGGTCCTATGGCTTCATGGTCTTATCCTGTTGATCGCCATTGCTCTGCAAATTACGGTTGGAGCCATTGCATTCGTTTACAGAAACCAAGGAACCGAAGTCTTAGACAATGCCTGGAACCGAGTCTACAAGTCCGACCCCCGTGTCATCCAGGATTTGGAGACTTTTGTAAGTCCGCAATAGGAGTCGTTGCAAGCATCCTTCAATTATCTTGATGACACTCATGCTGGCCCTTTATGCTATCTGTCACCAATGTAGTTCCAATGCTGTGGATTCGAACATGTGCTGGACAGGCCTGTGCCGGTGACCTGTGCTCTAGACCACCACTATATGACAGGATGTCGCGAGAACATCCAGACAGCCTTTCAGGACAGCCTGCAAGCAATTGGGGTGATTGGGGCCATCCTGGGTAGCATTGAGGTAAGGCATGGTTTTCGTTTTCATTGCCAACTTAGGGTTCATACCGATCTTTTATGGTGACACGACTTTATTTTAAAATTATTCTGATAATCACATTAATAGCTGGTCAGTCTGTTGGGCGCCGCAGTTTTGTTCCACCGCTTTGATAAGTATCGGTACCAGCGTGAGCAGGAAGAAGGCGAGGAATCGTTGGTTAGGGCTTTATTGGAAGCCCAGCATGTGGACCAACAGATTGAGCAAGCACGTCGTGAGCGCGAACGAGAGTACCGAGCGTTGGCTGCACAGCTGAGGGCGCAGACAATGGCACGAGCGCACGAGGAGGGGCTGCTGGATCCCCACTCCCCAAAAGATGAACTCTATGGCAATCAAGGAAGAGGGTCGGGTGATCCTCCGCCCTACGGAACCTTCGATTCGCCGTCCGGACGTCACAAGTCGAGCAACCGTCGTCGTTAAGGTTGCAGCTTAGCTATGACATTTTAGCAGAAAATGGCGGACCCGGGATCCTGTCCCCGGAAATGATATGCATTATGGGCGCTTATTTTCTTTTTAGCGCTGCAGTAATTCCAACTGCACATGTACATATTTGATGAAACGGAATTGCAATTGAACACAACAACATGGCCGCGTCTGAACAAATAAACTATTGATGTCAATCAGAGCCAAATATAAAGGTGACGGGACCTGATGGGCCCTTGATTTATAGTGATTAGCAATAATGCCATCGTGTGTACGCAAGGGCTCTGTTTTCGATTTGCGCTTCTACATGCAGTTTCCCAGGACACCAAACTTTTTATCGCATTAGCAACCGACGTAGCATGATGGATTATGCAAATAAATAATCGGCCATTAAGCATAGACTATTGCTTTATTTTCATTAGATATAGCATCTAGCCGTTAATTATTGTTGTCATGGATGTGAACATTAGACAAATCAGCACAGCTCTGGTTTGGGATGAATTACCTCGAAGGCTTGGCGCACAAAGGACTCAGGGCGGCACGTCAGTAGGAGGAGCAACAGGGTGACCAGTAAGTCCACATTGCCCTGGCTTGTAGTAGATGAAGATAGGAGGTAAAGGATACGATGTGTGCTGAAGCAGTTGGCGATCGGTCAGACCACAGATTTGATGTATATATCTCAACGTGTCTGATTGACAGCTTCAGCCCATGGGTCGCTTGTCCTCTGCACGTTTGTCTCCCCTTTCTTTTGTTCACACGCCTTGTTCCAAAGGATGAAAAGAAGCTGCCAAGGAACGAGAATAAAAAAACCACTATATATAGATGTAGATTAGCACGTAAGAGATGCAGTTTCAATAAGTAGCACGTTCCTTTGCCGTTTGTCCGTGGGGCATGATGGCAACGAAGAAACAGCTGCACGGAATGTTGTGTGGCGTACAATCGCAACATGGATTCGGCGTCTGGTAAAAAAAAAAAGAAAATCTCCTGCAGAGACTAAAAAAATGAGTCTGAGACGACAGCGTGGAACATAGCCCAGGCAAGACATTAAACAGGAGAAACGAAGGTATCGTCCATCCGGCCACGACGACGGACCAGAACCACGTAGCAATTGTCCGAGGACCCACCATCGTCTCCTGTTTCTGTTTGGTAGTCTCCTAATCAGCGCCTACTCGATGGCCTTGTTGCTCAATGCGCTTGTTGCTGCTTGATGCCCTAATGGCTCTGGTGTGCGGAACCCGATGGTGCAAGTAGCCCAACGCGCCACTCAGTATGCCATATTGTATAGAAAGTATGCAAACAGCAGCCCGAGCAAGCATCCAAGGCCAATGACGGCCACCATAAAAATGTCCACAGCAGACTCAACATGCCCTCCTTTCACTCCTTCCTCTTCCTCCTGTCTTTCTTTCTATCCTATTCTTTTTTTTTTCTCGCCAATTGCTCCTCTTCTCATAGCACAATCATCCCGCTATCTGATCCTATCTGCCTCCACTTCTTTGCCCCCTGTCGAATAATTGCCATTTTGCCACCGATTATTATTTCGCCATCTTAAAAAAAAGAAAAGAAAAAAGGCCTAGTCTACGTTGAAAAATACATGTAAAATGAATCCGAATCCAATACTCCAAAGAACAAATTGGATAACTGAGCTCGCTCACTTGCAGTGCCGTACCCATCACTATCTCACACGCTCCGACCTGTCTACTCTGCTGCTACTGAGTTCAGTCCGTTCGTATCTGCAGCCGGAGAGAGCACGCACCCTCCTGTTTTGTCTGATAACCGTCCATCTCCCTAATATTCGTTCATCGCCATCGCTCTTATTCAGCCCTAAGCTAAATCATCAAAAAGTGAGTCGGTCTTTGTTGGATGCGATGAGTGTATCACTTTGTTCGCTGTCCCTGATCCTATTCCGGAATTCCCCCCTGTTTGTCCCTCTCCTTATCTTTTTGCTGTTGCTAATGACACTCTGCCAGGACCGTTCGCTGGATTGTGTGCGGATACACAGCTCTGGTGGTTGCGAGGCATTATTTCTGTCGGCTTAGCTGTGGTGAGGTGGGCAAATGTAAAATGTACATGTGCGGGGTGCACATTGCACTGCCGGCGAAAAGTGTTTGTGCGTTGTGTAGTAGATGATGATAAACAAAGGTGGTGGTGTCCCTAGTATTTTTAGCGACCGGGTTCGTTGCACAACACTGAATAGAAAGTCCCTATTTTTACTCTACTCCCATAACTTTCCTCCCACTCTTTCTCACTTTCTTCTTTCTTCTCTTTCTTCTCTTTCTTCTCTTCTCTTTTTCCCTCCTTCCTTTCTTTCCTTCTCCCTCCCTCACCGCCGCCGCCTTCAGCCATATCCTCATTCCGTTGATCCCTGGAGCTAACCATTCTTCCTCCTTCTGACTTTCCCTCCGTCGCTCTCTTCCCCCTCCTTTCTTCTGCCCCCATTCGCATCCGGCACTCCTTTCCACACATTACAGACACATACCTCACACCTCCTCAGCCCATTTTATCCCCCGCCCATTGGACCTTATCTCCCACCTCTCTGCCACACGGCTGTCGTTGTCGCACTTGTTCACATTTCCATCCTTCCTCCGCGCTTGACGGCCTCTGCACCCTATCGCTCTATTCATGTCATAAATGACCTCATCCAATAGAGCTTTCTATCGCTCATCTGCAGCGTCCTCCAGATCGACCTCGCCCTCCCCTCCTCCGCTCTTCCCTGGCATGATCCACCCCCAGGACCCACCACCGTATTCGAGGAAGAGCAACCACCCCACCAACGGAAACATGCACCCATACTCTACCTCCGCCCCCAATGGCCACTCCCTCAGCAGCAGTAACTTTTATTCCTCCTCCAACTCCAATGCCTCCGTCCGCCCCTCGACCTTCGCTTCCGTCGCCGCCACTGCCGCAGCCCTTGTCAGTGGCGTACGAGGAAGCAAGAGCAGTAATAACAACGCCAGTCTCGGCAGTGAGATCAACCCCTCTAGTCCGCACTTTCCGTCCTCGAGACACCTCCGTTCGCTCAGTAACAGCAGCACCCAGAGCGACCTACCCTCGGCACTTGTTGACAAACAGTTCGTTTACTATCCAGCTTCATCTTCGGCCTCGTCAAGGCTTCGGTCTATACAAAAAAGACTTTTTTCTAGGCAGGCCCTCGTCTACATGCTGATTCTGGGCCTGATCGCCTTCTTCTCCATTGTCTATCTGCAACCGTCCGTCTCTTTCTGGAAAAGTCGCCATCCCACCGATGCTCCACACCATGTCAACAACCACGATAGGTACAGATACGATTTTGATTATCCATTGGACAAAAGCAGGCAGCAGACCCAGGAGTTGGAGCGGCAAAAAGCTCTGGAGCGAGAGGCCCAGCTTAGGAAGGATCATGAGGGTGCGAATGCCTATCCAGAATGGCAGTCGGGCAAAGGAACACCCAGTCAATCGGATAAAAATGAGGGCGAGGATTTTGGTAGTTCCCATGGATATGGGTCCAACTCCGACAGCAGGGAAGAGGTCCCATTCAGGACAGGGGATGCAATTGATCCCGAGTCCATTGTGCTTTACCGCATCCTCGGCAATGACCTTCCTCCCCGTCACCGCCCTGGCCAAACCCTCTCGAATGTGCGATTTATTCTCGAACATGAGCCCGAATTCAACAAGACACGGAAGCTGTGGGTCTTGAACAGGATCGTAGACCCTCACGCAGAGGCCGCTATCATTCAGCTGCTCGATCACCATCGTCAGGAATACATTCAAATCCCGTTCGAGGAAAAGGAGTATTTGAAGCAGGATTTTCGGCTCGAGGACTTTCCAGAACCCGACTTTTTCTCTTCGGACGATTACTCGACTTTTTCTAAAGTGGCCAAGCTGAGGGTACTGGACTATACCTACCATGACAAGAACCGATATGCTATGAACAATGTAAGTCCCTCGTTCTGTCGATACTAAAGTTGTATCTATCCTGTAAGGGACACCATGCCAATTGTTCACGTGCGCAATGGGATGCAAGGATCTGGCAGAGAAAGAGTCGAGAGGTGTGACCCAGACATGTGCCAGCCTCTTCAGGAGGGGAGCAATAGGAGACGAAAGAGAACCAACAAGAGGAAGAGTCGTCGATAGGTCGCTCATCTGAATTAAGGATGAAGGGCATCTTCAACGGACCTCTGAAAATTGGGCTGGATACCTGCACCGACTTTACACTCAGGAAGGACCCTGGGCTGAAAATAGAATTTTTTTTTCTGTGATACTGATACAACGCTTGTATAAATTGTATAGAATGGTGGTCGAAATGTGGCTATTTTGCACGGCAAGACTAAGGTGGATGCCCGATGGATTTTCGCCTTTGACGGAAACTCCTTTCTAACCAAGAACGCCATGGCGGAAATCAAACTGGCGATTCAAATGCATGGCGACGCTATCAAGTACTTTGTGGTGCCCATGGCTAGACTGGTCGACAACTCACAGCTGCTGAAGGGCGTCGACACTCGACCTAACTCCAAGGAAGAGCCTCAGATCATTTTCAGGAACGATGCGGAGGATGTATACAATCCTAACATGCGATACGGTCGTCGATCTAAGGTATGTTGTGCTGTGCTGTGCTGTGCTCTGTTCTGCTATATGCTATTTGATTGTTTCAGCATTTCTTGTATTACTTACATTCACCACTTCCTCCCCGGTGTCTGCCCCTGGCTGTTTCAGCTCGAATTGTTATGGCGATTGGGGGCTCTGGAGCGTAGCAAGATTAGCAAGCCGTCGGTATCGTGGGAACCTAAAGAGCGTGAGCCCATCCCCGATAAGGCCGACTACAGGACTGTCGGATGGGTCTTCCGTCTCTTCTCTGGAAAGCGATCACAAGAAGAAAACACTCGCCAGTCAGCCGCCATCCGTGCCTACAATCGACTGCTTGCCATTCAGGATCTTATCGATGGCATTGACGAGAGGATCGCCCGTAAGACCTTCCGATCGAACGACCTCCTTGTCTACAAGGACAGTGTGCTCAGGGCCAACCGACAAAAGTACTGGGTCGGCGAACCCGGTGTGGCCACGATGGTCCAAGAGTTGCAGTCTAAGGCGTGCCATGTCCTGTCCCGGCGTGCCAACCTCTTGAAGAAGGCTTCTGCGGAGGATTTGATCATTTTCCCTGCCGATGCTCAAGGAAAACCTATTATCCCTCCCTCCTCTCCCCTTACCGTCAGTGAGGATGGCTCGTCCAAGGTCATTACATTGCAGGGCTTGTATAACGAGGTCACCACACTGACGCTGGCCCATTATTTTACTGGCAATGAAACATTTGCCCGTGCCGCTGCTAACATTGTTCGGACGACATTGCTTCAGGAGAATGATCAACATGTCGCGGTACACCCTACGGCTGAGGATACTGGATATTTGCTAGACCACGGTTATTCATTCCCGGCTCTGAACCGCCTGCCAAGGGTCATTCCCAAGAAGGAAGGTGTGCTTAACGCGCGCCCGCTGCTCACGATCCCCAAGGACTTGTTGACTGCGGATACGATGCCCTCGTTCCTGGATGCGGTCCGAATGCTTCATAGGATTCATGTGCTGACTCAGAACGAGTACATTCAACTGACACTCGTCTTTTCGACCTGGCTGGAACATCTTGTAAACTCACCCGAAGGAATTTTGTACGCAAAGCAAGGCGATCACCGCTCCTCCTTCATGGATCTGCACGTGGCGGCCTTGGCAGCTGTCACGGATGATGTTCGTCTATTCTTGCGAGTGGTCAATCGTTGCCGCATGAGGGTTGGTCGTCAGTTCATGGTGGTCCAGGACGGAAAGATCAAAATGCCGTTTGAGAGCGCCTACGCGACTAGACAGTCAATGGCTGGCCTCTTGCAGCCTGGAGGTGCAGCAGCCGATGTCTCTGGACAGGAACTCGCCGGCATGTATATCGACGAGGAGAATGATGATCTAGATCTGAGCCTCGACCAATCCATCAGCCGTCCGCGAGACCTCGGCGCGATGATGAAGGATTCTGTGATGTCGAATAAAGGCGTTAATCCCGGCTACGAGAGTCAGGCGGAGCCTTCGGAAGAAGAGGATGAATTCCAGCGAAAGAAACCAGGCATGGATTCTTCAGTTCTTGATCTCAACGATGACGAAGATGACGGTGCCTCCTTTATGACTCCGCAGCAGCAACAGCAACAACAACAGCGACAACAGCAACTGCAGGAAAATCTTGTTGCATCGTCGACACCACCTTTGGTCCCCGATGGAGCCGCAGAACCCATGTACACCGTCTCGGAGCTGACAGAGAGATATTCGGCACTTAACCTGCAGTACTGGACGCTTTTGACGCGGATGGTCGACAATGCTGGTATGGCTTCGGCTCCGGACCTGTGGAGACATCGCTCAAAGCGGGGCTACCGTCTAGGAGACATTGTTCGCAACTATGTTCGCCAGGACCATTATCGATCCTCAGGATTACGCAAGGCGACTATGGACGCTCTCCTGTATACTGCCCGCACCAACTTTGACCATGTTCCGCCCAGGGTCCTGCTTACACACGAAGGTTCTGGACCGTCATCGACCAATGGCCGCGAAGAGGGCTACTTGGCCAAGCCGCACAATCCTGCCAATGAGGATGTGCTCGAGTGGGGCGAGCTCGGATTGGAGGCCAACATTTTTGAGGCCCTTGCTAGAGACGAAGACGACCTCAAGGACTCTCTCGGAGGCTCATTGCCTGGTACTGGTGTTCCACCTTTCTGGATGTTAGGCGTCGTGGAATAACTTTTAACTTGACATCCGTTAGTATTCACAAACGCACTCGAACTCTCCCTCATATACCTGTACATATACCTCATACATCTATCTCTATACTCTCCGCCTCTCTTAATGTTTTTTTTTTTTTTTTTTTTTTTTCATGTTACAATACTTTTTTTTTTTTCTTTTTTTTTTCTGTCTGTAGGATTATCATCGCTTTTGTCATCTGAACTTATCACAGCACTCCCGCGTCATCGCACACAATTCGAAAAACAGCGCCCTGAAATAAAGTTATCCTCAGAATTCCAAAAACTCTGAAAACTTTAGATCCTAGATTTAAGGACACTCTTGTCATTTTGTCATTGGGACATGGGGTGTAATCTTGGTCTGAAGGTGGAACGAACTATTTGTAGAAAACCTAGGGAGGAAAAAAAACAAAAAAAAAAAAGTGGGGAAAGAGGAAAGAGCATGGCGCATCATGACTCTGCTGAATAACTTTGTTCTTTAACAGCAAGCGCATGGACCTCCTTTTTCACGCTTTGACGCGTCTGAAAGCTGTGCTTTTTTTTTTTTTTTTTTTTTGAAAGTCGTTGCACGGCTGTACAAAGCTTGCATTCACATGCCACCTCTTTCTTTTTTTTTCCTCTTTATACCCGCCTTTACAGCTCTCTCCATACAGCTCCTTCTTTCTAATCCGGAAAAAATCGATACCTTGCACTCCTCTCGTTTCTCTTCTCGTTTTATAGACATAACGTCATATCATTTTATTATATGCACTAGAGGTGCTTAGGGCTGGACGGACGGGATGCACCCTAAGCCTCTCAACACTCATTGTATCTGGCTAACTTCTCATCGTCTTTTTCATCTGCTGGGGGCATAGAGATGCAAGCTGAGGGCGGCAGCATCTGCTCGTCGTGATACTGGACTCCCGCAACGGTAGCGGCAGCGGGAACGGAAGCGGAGGCGGCAAAAGACCGATCCAAATTCTCAGGCATCCACTCACGCACGACCACGACGAGCACTGCACTGATGCAGGCAGACAGCATTGGCGGCGTAGTCAAGTCCGCATTGCACCCCCAGTGCAGTTGGCTCAGGATGACCAAGATGGGCAAGAAGCGGGTCCATCTGTATCCAAGTCGGCGCACCATTTTCTTGTTCTCGGAATCATCCCCGTCTTCGCCGAGGTCCTTCTGCAGCTCCGACACCAGCTCACGGACGTTGTGGCGGGCCAAATAGAAGCCTGCCATTGCGCTGCCCGAACAAAGTGCTATCAACAGTACAATCGCCTCAGTCCAGCCAGGGACATATTCGAACGTGTAAATGGCTGTGTAATTACTGGCATACAGGTCGTAGTCGTTGTAAGGTCGGTCGCGAACAGTACAGGGCAATGGTGGCGGCATCTCTGACGACGATGAAGAAATATCGCTGCCAACGAATCCTGAGGAAACTCCACCGTCCTTGTCAACGGCCTGCTCGGCCGTGTCCCAGAAATCCGACAGCGCCGACAGTTTCTCCTTCTCCGCAGACTCGTTGCTGTCGCCGATGGTTTCACCTGAGTCTTTTACCCCCGCATGGTCTTGCTGTGACTGAGTTGGATAACTAGCTGGCACTTCTCCCCACTCGGTATCCATGACCTCATCATCGTCAGCGGCCCGGACCATAGCCTCCAATTTCTCTGGTGACACGTCGTCCCAAGTCATGGTCGAGTATTTATCGCTGCTGTCAATGTCACTGCCAGCATAGCCTTCCTCCATATTAATGAACTGAGACCCTTCCATGATCTCTGGCACCAGTTGCTGCCGCTGGGATGTCCAAAGAACTGACTGAAGATCCACGTCGCTCATGTTCCCCTCAGCGAGCGGGAACGCCACCTTGCGACTCAGGCCGGTATTCGATGCCAAGAACATGGACAACGTATAGACCATCAAGCTCACTAAAACCAAGATTTTTGGTCTCGTAACCAGGAGGGACCTGCATCGGCTCAGGCGAGAACGACAGTATCCTGGGGGCTGCACCCGTCCTGTGTTACCGCCCTTTCGGCATTTCCAAAGCCTTGCAGCGATGCGCCTCTTCATGCGTTCATATGGACACTGCGTCTCTCCGCTAATCTCAGCAAGAGATCCCTTGCACGCCCGGGTTCGCTCGATCCTGGCAAGGACTTTGACGGTGACGATCGGGAGAATGATTCCAAAGGCCGCCAGCCAAAAAGGGACCGTTGTCATGACGCCGTCGGGGTTGGACATGGTATAGTGGTCGTCAAAGTCTTGCCAGGATTTCCATGCATAGTTGTCCTCGCCATTGCTGCCACGGACACTTGAGGTCGTCGTCGAAGGGTCGTCCAGACGCGGCTGAACAGCCACCATAGCCGAGATATTGTAAACGAGTGCAGTCTGGGCCAAGAAGAGGGATCCAGCTATGAGGATATCCAGACGCTTGTTCAGGGTGTGAATCCATTGGATTTGCTGTCGCTGCTGCTGTTGACGAAGACTAGACTTTTCTGCGACGCCTACGGCTGTGTGATTGGCCGTGTCGATGCTATTCTTGGGTTTGCATGGAGACTGCGGATATGAAGGGCTGGGCAGTGGTTGTGAAGATGGCAGTGGTGAGAGTGAGCCAGGAGAGCCCGTTTGAAAAGGGATCATATTTTTTGCGGAGGTATAATAAAAAAAGATCCGGTGGGGAGGGCGAGACCGAGAAGGAAAAAAAAGGCAGTGTTGAACGAACGAAGGAGAAAACAACCAGACAGAAAAAAAAGGGCGTATATAGGCTAGTTGTATATCGTCAACGGATGCTTTGATAGTAGCACGCTATCCTGCTGTAGTTGCTGTAGCTATTGATGGCAGCGAGTGTGTGTTCAAGTGTGCACTTTTGAGCGAACAGAAATGTGGCGATTACCGGGAAATCGAGGATTAAAAGTGTTCAAAAAAAAATAAAAAAAATCGCAGCAAGGATGGTTGGTGTATGATAGGGAGTACAGAAAGATGCTACCAAAGAGGCCACAATGCGGAAAGAGTGGAGCTGAGGAGGGGGTGGCGACGAGGGGAGGAAGTGGAAGAGGAAGAGGAAGAGCAAAGGGAGGTGAAAGGTTCTTCAACACATAAAAAATGAAAGCAGCGAGAGGGCTCTGTTCCCTTTTTGGGTCCCCACCAATTGCAGTCGACTGCAGTCTTCCTGTGTAGAAAAGGAGCAACCGCATGCGCACAAGAGACCTCCTGTCTTGCCCTGCAGCACAACCTCGCTCACCCAGCCCGCAATGATGTTATTCAAGGATCGTCATCACACGTTTCTCAATGGTGCTACAGCGACTAGGCTAGTACTAAGGCCGCACCTTGTCCATAAAGTAGCCCGTTTATCTGAGTACACTCAATGTCTCTCTTGACTTCTAAACCATTGCGCAGAAAATAATACAGCGTATCGTCGAAAGAAGCATTGGAGAGAGAGAGATTTATCCATTTTGTAATACACAATCTTCGAGTAACTGAAATTGGTCCATGCATCCATAGCCCAATCGTGTCGTAGGGAGAAATCTAAACCGCATAATCATCCATGTTGAAAGCGCAAGCATGTTTCGTCCTTCCATCTCCCCCCAAAGGGAAAAAAAACTGGCCTCGGTCTCTTTCCATCGTTTCCACTTCCGCAACGTGCTCAGATGAGAAACAATTGCAATGGAGTGAATGTTTTTGTCATATACACCGCCTTTTTATACTTTGCACTGCCCCTTCTGTCTTCCCTATCCTAGGGCAATCGCGGTCTTTTAAACCTCATGGAAGGAGGGAGGTGCGTGCACGCCATTAAAAATAGGCGTCAGAAACTATGTGCGCGCAACGCATGCGGCCTTTAATAACTCTAATGACGGGTCTGCCACTGCTGCTGGGCACCATTCACATTAAAAAAAAAAAAAAAAAAAATGCGGAATCCTGCACTATACACGAAAAAACAGATCTCAGATTCTAAGGCGGACTAAGGAAATCTCCTGACAAGTACTGTACACAAATAGCACAGGACACAAGGGATTACGCATGACACAGCGAAAGTTTTTTGTTTGTTAGGAATATACATATTTAGGCTATCTACACGCGAAAAGATGGGCGGAAAACGTTTCTCGCCCTCCAAGCTAAGCCGAGGAGAAAAATTACCGAGGAATCTTACCGAGGAATCAACTTCGCCCCAAGGCGCATCATCGTCACCCCAGAAACAATTCCTATGGCTGCTAGCGGTGATGATATGCCTCCGGCCGCTGCCCCTTCGTCCTTGCCCTGTGAGATAATCCACCGAAAGAACTGCACCTGTGTTATAAGCAGCACCAGCAGCAACAGCATCAATGCCATCTGCTGCCTCAGCGTGTACCATCTCGCCACCGCTCCTCGGCCATGGCTTCGCTGTGATCTTGACATGCCCTGTCCCCCCTTCGTAGAATCCTCCTCCGCCTTCTCTGTAGAGCACCGACTGTCCTCCCACTGCACCAGCTCCTGATACTCGCTCTCCAATTGCTCTTCAAGGATCGAGCTACTCGTCGTCAATAACCCCGTCGCAATTCCTAAGACTGCCACGGCTAAGTACCATAGCACACACACCGCTTGCATACTTTTGCTTACGCTTGTTTCTGAGATCAAGAGAGCCCGCTCCTGCGCCATGCCGTCATATTGCATCGTCCTGTCCTGCGCTCCATAACTCTCCGTCTCCTGTTGCTCCCATGCTTTCGAAACCAGCTTCTCCTCGACCTCCTGCACAGCCGCGAGGATCACCCAGAAGACCACAAACGCTGCTTGGCTTGTCAAGATTGCCGTCCGTGCGGAAAGCACACTGGGCACTACTTTCCGGGACCGAATGAAGATCGAGGTCGTCATGAGGGCGAGCCACCATATTAAGAATGGGAGCCAGGTCGATAGTACAAAGGTATAGAGCTGTTGGAGCAGCGTTGTTGTTGTTACGGGTGATGGACTTGATGGTGAAGATGCTATCGGGCCTGCGGTGCTATTGAGGATCGAGAGCTGTCGCCTTTGGTAGACAACCAGTCCAATGGACGACCCCATGAGCGCAGCGCCTGTGACCGAGTACGCCGTCAAGTGAAAGAGTTGCTTCGACCGTGTGGCAAGATCACGATGGTTATATAGATAGCCTTGAGGCCCAAGGGATTCTGCTTCTTCGCACGTTTTAGAAGCAATACGTGTGTAGGTGGTATCTTTGGACATGGTGTTCTAGGACGAATGCCTATTGTGTGATAAACTGGGAAGGGACTGTTGTGGTTGAGGAAACGAGAGGGATGTGGGGAGTGAGAAAGTAGAAAGAGGGGTGAGTAAATGATGAAGTAAGGGAGGAAACAAGCTGTTCCTGACAAAAAAAGAAAGTGGAGGGAAAAACAAAGGTGGTGTTCGTGTCTTCCTCCTCAGGGGTATTTATGGAAGAAAATGCTCTGCGAAAAAAATTAGCAAATAGACGAACTCCTTTTGACCATGATTTCCGAGGGAGACCCACAATGCAATGGTCTCCAGTTATGTTTTGCCTGATAGCTATTATAGTACAATATCTTGCACAGATTGCATATAGTCTGAATATACTTGCCAAAACATCCTTATCTTTGATTTTAATGAGACTGAAAAAAAATTCAGTCGTCTATGTACAATGTTGATACACCAAGATGGCACCGTTTCCTGCACCACTACTGGCGAATCATCACCCCATGGCGTCCGTTGCCTACAAGCACATCACCGTCCTCGACTTTAGCCAGCTCGCTCAAAAAGTCCCCCATCATCTCGCGTGTCCGCTGCTGGGGATCCTCCGTCATCACAAACGACCCTGCCGCCGGTATATCATGTCCCAGACGCGGCGTATACGGACGCGACGAATGCGAATGAGAGTACAACGATGCAGACGACGATGACGGCAAGTCGCCATTCGACACCGTCAACCGGCTGTTGTTGGTGCCAAGACTACCCTTGACGCGCTGTCCTCCAGTCGTAGCACCACCAGCTCCGTGGTTGTTCCCATTGTTTTCAACAACAGCACTACCCGCTGGGGTCTGGTTCCAGAGCAAGATCACCTTCTCGGGCTGGAAGCCGCTCACCGGTCTGGCGCCTCTCAAGCTCGTTGCACTCCCGCGTCGGCCATCCGGGATTGGTTGCTGTTGCTGTAGATCGAGACAGAACTCATCACGGAAACGCTGCTCGAAATCCAGAGCAGTACCATGACTGAAGTGCTCCATGATAGCGCCGTTATTGCCGCCGTTGCCCATGCTATGATTGGTCTTGTGATAGGCCTTGGGTCCGCCACTGCTGATGGTACTTATGCCAGTGCTGGCTGTGCTATCCATGCTATGGCTGTTATCCTCTCCATGGTGACTGATATACTTGCCGCTGTCCACCTTCTGATGCGCTCCCGTGGTCTCTCTTGGCGTCACAGACGATTCCGTCTCCAGTCCTTCATTAACGCAGCCGTTTGGCTGCAGTTCTGCGGTAGGGGTCGCCACCGTCACTGTCGGTGTTGCTATTTCATACTGATCTGTTTCCAGAACTGTCGAGGCCGGTTCCAGGTCATCCACGCTCGTCGTGGCGTGGGTAGCCGCTGCGGTCACTGTGGTTTTGCAAAACGCAGTAGATGGTGCTGAAGGTGAGAGCGACAGTCTTGGTAGAGACAATCGCAACGAGTTGTGCCTGCTGTTGCTTGACCTCTGAGAACGCACGCTGCCTGTTGTACTGCTGGAAGGAGCAATGGAGGAGGAGGATGAAGCGGGAGCAGTCTCTAGTGGATGAGCACCCTTGCTGTTCACAAAAGAAGGGCCTGACGTGGTAGGAGGGCTTGCCAGCTGTGCGTTCGCATTCAATGAATCCAGTAACGTACTCGCACTTGCGGAAGAGAAGGTGGAAGGGGTCGTAGGGGTCGAGATAGATGACATCGTGGAAGAGGATGATGTGCGAATACGACCTGGTGCGGTTCCTTCCGACCGGCTACACCCTGACTTGGTAGTCTGTGGCGTCTTAGACTGCTGCTGCTGTTGCTGCTGCTGTTGCTGCTGTTTCTGCTCCTGTTGCTGTAGTGAAAACAGCAGTTCAGGCAGCGCCAGCGACCCACCCATTTGTGTAGGTGAGGAAGGGATTGAAGGCGATTGCAAAACCTGATCGTTGGACAACCACGGCGACATCGGAGACATTGGGGACATAAGCTCGGCCTGGTCACTGGATTTGTCAGACATCCGTGACCCGTGCGACAACTCACTGGCCGTGAGGACCGTGCTCATAGAGTTGGCACGCAGCATCGGGAACGGGCCTGATAAAAGGCTGTTGGAACGTGAACCAGGTCTACTTCCCAAACCGGGGCCCAGTCGAGGGCTGGTGGCCGGACTAGAATGGTTGGAGGAGAAAGACTTGCGAGGCATGCTGGTACCGGGTCCGCCATATGAGCTTGAGTATGCCGAAGATGCAAGGGCTCCCACCATAACCATGGAAATTGGTCGCGCTCGTCCCGAAGTGTTTTGTCCGCTCATTGGAGGTGTCTTTGGTGGTGGCAACATGATCTGGGGCTTGACCACGAGCTGAGGTGTCATATTAGGAGATTGAAGAGGCAAGATTGTCGATCGACTCATGGTCTCGCGTCCTTGCTCAAATGAGATTCGGTGAAGATGACCATTCTGTTGAGCCTGAGTACATATGGGTAACTGACCACCCGAGAGCGAGTGTCGCTGAGATATTTGTTGCAGCTGATGTGTTGGTCGACGACTCAGCAAGCCAGGGCCAGTTTCTGAAGAACTTGGAAACACGCCGTAGCTGAGGGGGTTTGCTCCAAGGGGTGAGTTTGCTCCTGAAGTGAATCGGGGACTGAGCATTGGGCTTTTCGACCAGCTGCTGTTGTTGCTCGACAGACTCCCTGCATCTTCTCCCTGGACCATTCTGCGATAGCGGTCATCAAAATTCATGGAGATCGATCTTGCATGACGTTGCTGATACTGTAGCGAATAGTCGCTGCTTAGACGACCACTTAGAGGTGGGCGCATCGGCGATGACTCCGCAAGGGTTGCCATTGAAGTATTCTTTTCAGAGTTGGACGTCAGCAAATCGAACGACGGGATTTCAGACGAGGCCTTTGGAGGCGAGAATCCCCAACCCGTGTGAGAGGGTGTTCCCCAGGGAAGGACCTGGATCTCTTCCGCTGGACTTCTCTGCTCGGTCTCAAGACGGGACTGGGAACCCTGGAACGAATTTCGCGATACCGAATGCTGGCTGGCGGACGAAGGTTGCTCCGCACCTAGGAGACCTAGTGGGTCTGTCTTGAGGAACTCAATAGACGCTTCAAACGTCACCAGGGCAAAGCTAACCGAGAAGGAGCACATCGTTTGTTAGTTAGGAAGTTCTGGAAGGATAGGAGCATTGCATCAGCGCGTTGCTCAAGACCCTTACTTCAGATCCGACTTAGGGGTGTTGATGCGGAATCTCTGGATGTAAAATATGTTGCTGCCCAGACGCATCATCCTTGCCTGGATGATAACAAGTGCAAGCAGGGGTATAAAATCATCCGTAGTAACAGAAACCTCTAAAGAAACGACAGAAACATAAGACAGAAAAAGGGTGGTTAAAACTCAAGTCAAGTATTCTGAACGATAGCAGACCATGAATGTGCCTGATAAGCAGGCAACTACCTGAGCGCTTCCTCTGCACAAATCCGAACCCCTGTCCATTCATAAGATGGTCCTCTGCAACAGTAGCGATCATGTCCATGACCAGCTTGATGCAGTGTGCTTTCTCCAGGGGTGTATTCCATACGGCGTTCGCTGCAGAATCCTCCTCTTCGTCCTCAATCTCATTTTCATTCTCACGGGACCCAATCGCATGGTTGACTTGTCGCTGCTCGGCCCTGTACTTCTCATCCTGGACGAAAATGCGCAAAGATTCTCTCAGCTGCCGCCTCTTTCTCTCCTGCTCAGTTTCCTGGAGCAGGTTCGCCCCAAAACCTTGCTGTCTTGACGAAGAAAAAGGTCTGGACGCGTCAAATTGACAATCCTGGTCCCAGGCACGGAACAGACCAGCTGCTCCGTCCAATGCGTGATCAACACGCATGTTTCGCCACTTTTCCGAAAGTCCTAGCTTCTTCAGGGTCTCTTGTAGCATTGGTCCATCCGTTGCGGCCAAGCACGCCCCGCCGTCGATACCTCGATGAGCCCCAATAGAGAAGAGGTGACGATGGTATTTTGCAATGATGGCGTCAATTTCGACATCCCGTTGCGAGTAACAAGGCACAAGTGAGTGGATAAATAGCTTCTGATACAGCTTTCCCAGCACGATGCTATAAGGGGGAAGAAATGGGGAACAAAGGGTGGAATTAGCCCTGACATATATTCATGAAGACGAGGTGCCTTGAACAATTATCAGACGTCTTGAAAGATCGCCAGAAAAATAATCTGCTTACTTCTCCATCAACTCTGCAAAGCTGTCCTGCTCCGCTTGGGTGCCTCGGTTAAGCATTTTTTGCAGTTTGACAGAGTCCCCGACGCAGTCGCGGTGGGCTTTCCCGTAAATGAGTCGCAGCTTTTCAAGGGTGTAGGCTGCAAATCCGCGAATGTAGACATAGGTGTTCTCAAATTCCTGGCAGAGATTGTTGAAATCGCACAGTGCCCGACTAAGCTCTGGAAGGGACTCCAAGAATGCCAAATCACTAGATTAAAAAAAAAAAAAGGGCGAATTTTGTTAGCGTGAGCAATATAAGGAAGTCCCGGTTTCAAATTAAAAAATGCTTTCCTTTTCATACCTTGAAAATTGGCGCAAACTAGGCATCACAAGACCATCATAGGGCCTTGTAGGGACAATCCCGTCCCCTTCTAAAGGTCGCTCAAGAACCAATACGCGGAGGGGCTTCTTGGACGACCCATTGTACACCATCTCCTCTGCCAAAATCTGCACCGAACGAGGGTGAGCAAATCCTAATTAGACAAAAAATAAATAAACGATAGTATAGGGGGGGGGGGTAAAGGATCGGTGTACGTTAATGCGCTAGTTGATCAAATGAACCCCTCTCATTCCAAGAAAGCACCTATCAGCAACCCTACCTGATATTTCCCGGACATAATCCTTGTCGATTTCCACAACCTTATGGTCCAATGTAAGGTACTGTCCACGGTAATACGGCGAAGGCGTCAAAATGTGTGTTTCTAGTGTCGCAATAAATCAAAAAAAAATTGAATATTAATTGTTTGATGCCCATATATTTTTTTTGTAAAGGTGCGGATCAAATTAAAACGTCTCCAATCGCAAATCAAAAGTATTCCCAAAGCACGGAATAACCTACCGACAAAGGACTTGTGAAAGACCAAACCGCCCAGGCTTCGCTCCCTGGGCACGCAGATGATATTGCCAGGTTGGAGACAATTATAGGGCTGAACGGATTGGTGGCGGTGCGTAGAGCCCAACCCGGAAGCTCCCTGGCGGTTATGCTGAAAGCCCAGATGGAACGAAGGCGAGGAGCTGTAGTCACTATTGTTGGGGCTGCTGTTGTTGGAATGGATGCGGGACAAGAACGGCTGTGGCCCATTCAGGAGACCCGATTTTCGACCCCCAAATACACTCTTGTGTTCGGACTGTGGGGATCCCGATCCCGGTATCCTGTGTTTGGCCTGAAGAAGGGCGTGTTGGGTTCGGAGCCAACCTGGCTCTTGTTGCGCTTGGTATCGCTCCTGCATCTTTTGGAGATGAATGTAAAAAGAGTTCTCGTCGACTTCGACATCGCGTTCATCGATGTAGGATGCCGAATTTTGACTGGCCGTGTCTGTGCAGGAGATCCGCCGCGAAGATGACATGCCGCCATTGGTGATAGTCGATGAAATACTGTTGCCAGATATTCGCTTCGCGCGACGTCCTGGTGTCTTGGTCACGAAGGCTGATGATTTCATAGAAAGCGGAGGCGATAGATTCGTGTGAGTCGTGGATGGGGTGATGTCGAAGTAGGACGGGCCCGATGTAGGTGTGACGAACTGCGAAAGCAGGTCCGAGGACTCTTGCGAGCCATGAACGCCGATAAGACCCAGTCCAATGACCGACGGAGGCGAGGGTGAGGATGAAGATGAAGAAAGGCCCCTGCTTGGCCTGAAGGCAGCAGTCGATCGTGCAGACGGGCCGGGTATATTACTCTCCTTGTCTGCCACATGGGAAGGAGCAATAAAGAAAGTATACATAGCCCAGGACCATCGAAGAGTAGATGCCAAACAGAGTACAAAAAAAAAAAAAAAAAAAAAAAGTTAGAAGTCTATCTTTCAATATCTGTTCATCTGTCCAATCGTTAGCGTAAAACTGTGCGTCAGCGTGCGAGTGTTTCGTATGCTATTGTTTGTAGAACATGTTTGCGAATGGGATGTAAATGTGTTCTCGCCGTGTCATACGGATGGACGATCGGAGATATGTCACCCGTTACTTTTTTAGAGTAGGCTGGGATCTTAAAAATTACTGACGGCAAGAGTGGGGTTTAGGGTGCCCACACGCTGTTGCCAATGGCAATGGATTTAATGCGAGAAACAAGGAGTAGGAGGTGCTCTCAACCTTTTTTTTTTTCCTCCCCCCTTCCTCCTTTATGGACAGATATCCGGATGCGAGATTTATATGCGTGTGTTTTGTAAGGGCAGAGATGGTGAGAACAAGTGAATTGACATATAACAGGCTGCATGGATAACGTGTTTTGTGTACTTTGTGCGTGCATGCGTGTATGACAAAGACAGCCTGCATTGAAGAGAAACAAACAAAACGACAGAGGAGAAGAGGGGGAAGAGAAGGATTGCATGATAACAAACATGGTGCGGAGTGCATGGATGTTTGGCCCGTTTGTGTATAATTGTTTTTTTTGTGGTGCCTGAAAAGGGCTTGTTTTTTCGTACCTGAAGGAGGTGAGGGACATGACGCGGACGAGACAGAGCAGCACGATGCAGGAGATGAGGATCGATGTGCGCCCGTCGTTGCTGTCGAGTGCGCCGTAGAGTCAGCAGATTCGTTTCCACATCCGTCCTTGGGCGAAAACATCTTGTGCAGCCTGTCGGGCTGTGTTGTCGCCGTCTCTGTCCCAGGGGTGGTTGTTCCTTTGTGTTTGTAAACCTCTGGGACACTCAATTGACGCCCATGCCGAGGGCGCTGCCGGTCCTGCTGTTGCAATTGAGGATGGTAATGATGCTGATTTTCTTCTGCAAGAGGCGCCAAAGCGCTTTCGTGGAAGATCGCGTCCTTCATGTCGCCGACTCGGCTTAGAGGCGGCAAAGACATGGAATGGTGCATGGTGGAGGCTAGGGCACTGTTGATGTTGCCGTTGTGTATTGCGATCCTCTCGAGAGCAGATGGCTGTTTTTGCTGCTGCTGCTGCTGCTGTGGTTGTTGGCGTTGTAGATTGAGGGACGTCCTGGAGGGTTCGATCCTTGGCGATGTGGTCGAGCTCCCTGCAGGGCTGGATTGCACACTGGAAGTCGAGCGGCGTTGTTGGGGTAAAACTTTCCGGGTGATCCCCTTACCCAAGGCTCTGTCCTCGTCGTCATCGCTTTCTTCTTCCTTGATGGTTACAGGTTTAGCAGAGCGACTGGGGACGTTGGTCTGAGGATGTGTTTGTTGAGGATGATTTGAATGCTGTTGCTTTGAACCGCGCCAGAGGTAGGACCATGCGGCGGACAGGCTATTGGAGCGATTACGGGGCTCCTGGGGCTCGTTGCGAGTCATTGGATCGTATTGAGAAGATTGTAGGACGAGAGAAGTAACAACAATAAAAGAAAATCGACGAAGCAAGGGATCAATGTGGATAAGAAGCGATGGTATGTAAGCCAGAACAACCCTTTTTTTTTTGAAACAGGAAAAAAGAAAAAAATGGCGGCAAAAATAAATAAATAGGAGCGTGTCCTGGGGGAAATCAACAGGTACGGGACGATGGGAAGGAGACAAGCTAAGAACACTTCATGGTGTGGACATCCATGGGAGGTTCAATGGAGTGTGAAGAAGAAGAAGAAGAAGACGAGGAGGAGGAGTGGGATGGGTTGGGATTGGGCTGATGCGGGGTAGAGGGCGGGGTAGAGGGCGGAGGACAAACAGGGGTACGAAGAGTAGCACGACCCTATGGTTTTGTTACGACGCACAGAAATAAAAATGGAATAGAGGGAGGACAAGGACAAGGAGGAAAGGAAGGGAGGGGAGGAAGGAGACAGAAGGGCACAGCTACAGACGACTCAACCGGGCCTGCTTCATGGCGCACCCGCAGGCAAGTGTTCAACGAAAGGAAAAAATAAAAAATAAAAAAATAAAAAAAAAGAAGGGGAAAGGTCGCCGGGGATTGGTTGCGATCCTTGGTGCTGTGTGCTTTTCTTGGCTGGTATGGTACTGCAGTTGCCTTCCTTTCTTTTGTTAATGAGGAGAGGGGCAGGATGAGCGGCGAATCTTGCCCAACGGGTGAGTGAGTGCAATGGCGGAAGTGGATGGAAGGGTATGTACAAAAGGACGGAAAGAGGATCGGGCGGTGGCAAGTGGACAATGAGCGATGAGGTTCAGGAGGAAAAAAAAAGAAAAAAGGTGTGAAGGAACGAAGAGAAGGAGAAGGTTCGATATGTGGGGAATTGATCCTGTCTGGTTGGCTGGAATCGGCGAGTTTTTTTGTTTTTTCCCCACTCGTTTCGTTTCCATTCCAACAGCCTTCCAGTACAGGACTGTAGGCATGGCCTGGTAATCCTCTTCCACGGCTACAGCTACTGTCCCTCTCTTCTCGCTTCAAACCGCTGACTCTATTTCGCTTCTACCTCCCCTCTTTTTTTTTTTTTTTTTTTTTTTTTTTGACGCAGGCTCGATACTCACTGCTGCTTTATCTCATGTCATCATTGGAACGCACCAACAAGTACGACAGGGATGCACAAAGGTAACCCTGAAATACACACAAACTGACTTGTTGCCCTACGTAGAAAGGGGCACTCACTCGGGTAGCAAATTGGACATACAGAAGGGTTCCATGGATCGAAGCCGAACTACTCAACGCATTGACTGGGGTAGCCGGGCAGCGGGCTCTAGGAGGAATCAAAGGAGGGGAGGGAGGCTAACTCAATCCAAATCCCTTTCACGTCTGTTGCCTCTTCCTTTCCTGCGCGCGCTATGGTGGTCCAATGGGTCAACTGTCTTTGTGCGTCGTCTCCAGAGAGAAGTAGGCCACCATTACCTTTGCTGCTTTCAATGCGTTCTGCATGCAAAGCGCATCAACCGGTAGACATGAATAAAAAAGAAAAAAGAAAAAAGAAAAAATAATAAAAAGAAAAAATAATAATAATAAAAAAGAAAAATGAAGGTATCATTTTATTCTTTCCCCCCACATCCATCACCATGCGGAGAATAAAACACACCCATGGTGCAATTGATCTGTTACAAGCGTTTCGAACGCGCTTTATCGTACCATGCAGTTGACCTCCTTTTATCTCAAAACCACCGCAACCCGCAAACACAAAGGTGTTGCCACACATGAGAATGGAAAACGATACAATGATCGAAGAGAGAGAGAGAGGACAAGGGAAAGGGGTACGGAAAAATCTTTGATGGGGATGCCATAAGCTACGGCACGACAACAGGAGAATGAATAGCGGACAATCCTACAATGTGACCCGAATGTCCATGTACCTCGGTCGTTATCATGCGACATGAAACGACAACAAAACCGCGCCTGCCACTGCTTAGAATGCATTGCCCTTTTTTTAAGTGGATTGTTGCACCGCGAATCCAATGTTGCTTGTCACCTAGACTGTCAAACACGTCCTAACGATGTGTACATGCATTGCATGCATGCAAGTCGAATTGGAGCCATGGGCTAGAATAGACCGGGATAATGACGATCGTCTGCATGTCCTTGCCCCTGTTGATTGATTTATGTATCCGCTATTGTCTACGCCTGACATTGTATCATACAACACAAAATTGTTGCTGTGGCTCAAGAGCTCCGCGTCGTTTAAGAAGATCTGAGGGTCTGGGCTTCAGGAACCACTTTGGCATCCCTATCCACATCTGTGTCAATCTCCACAAACAGGGCCTGGGCTGACAACTGGACAACATCGGAGGCCTGTTCCTGCGCCTGCTATGGCGCCTGTAGCTGCGGAGAAGGAAAGGTATTCGACGGACTGGCCTGGCCTGGAGGAGCTGTAGTTGTCTTGGCTTCCTTTGGGTTTGTATACATTGGCATGGAGACTACCCTTGAGCTGCCTACAACGAGCTAACTGCCATGTTACAGACATCATAAGGGTCTTCATAAGGCGCTGTCGGTGTGAGTGCAGCTTGGGCCAAGGAGCACATGGGTCAAATATCTCACGGAACGTCTTTTTCATGCACTGCTCGCATGCCCTTCTGACTGTCCCACAGCCTGCGGGGTTGTCAAAGAACTATTGATACATCCTTGCATGATTCTAAAGGCCATTTGTGAAACATTTTTTATTAACTTAATGGAATGGTATGAGGTCCATTTAGCACTATGGGAAATAGAGTGAAGGATACAACCCGTGAAATGGAGAAGAAAAGAACCAAAAAGAAAGACAAAAAAGACGAGAGGTATGGATATACAACTACAGGGAAAAGAGAGGAAGATCAAGGAATGCAATGACGAAAAAAGAATGTTTAGATGCTCTTTCCGATGGTCTCGACGCGGAAACCAATGTCCCTCAGCTTGGGGGCATCTAAGATCAAACGACCATCAAAGATGAAGGCGGGCTTCTGCATAGAGTCGAAGATCTTCTGGTAGTCCAGGTGCTGCATCTTGAACTCGTCCCACTCAGTGCAGATAACGATCGCAGCAGCGTCCTTGCATGCCTCATAGGCGCTCTTGCAGACCTGGACGTGCTTCTCAACGTCGGCCTCGTTGGTGCCAACGCCGGGCTCCGTGAGATCCAGCTTGATCTGCTTGGCGCTGACCTTGGGATCGTAGATGGCAATGTTGGCGCGCTCCTGGATAAGATAGCTGGAGAGGGTGATGGCGGCGGATTCGCGCGTATCACCAGTGTCCTTCTTGAAGGCGAATCCAAGAAGAGCAATACGCTTGAAGGTGACGGTGTTGAAGAGAGTACGAACAATACGGTGGGTGAAGCGCATCTTCTGATATTCGTTCATGGTGACGACAGACTTCCAGTAGGCAGCAACCTCAGGTAGGTGGAGCTGCTCGCTGAGGTAGACCAAGTTGAGGATATCCTTCTGGAAACAAGAGCCACCGAAACCGACCGAGGCCTTCAAGAACTTGGGTCCAATGCGAGAGTCAGTACCGCATGCATAGGCGACCTCATCGACGTCAGCGCCAGTGGCCTCGCAGATAGCAGAGAGGGCATTGATGGAGGAGATACGCTGGGCAAGAAGGGCGTTGGCAGCCAGCTTGGACAACTCGGAGGACCACAAGTTCATGGTGATGACACGCTCCTTAGGGATCCAGCGAGTGTAGATGTCGACCAACTTTTGCTGGGCAGCAAAGCCCTCGGGGGTCTGGAGGCATCCGATGAGGACACGGTCGGGGGCAGTCAAGTCCTTGATAGCGGTACCCTCAGCCAAGAACTCAGGGTTGGAGAGGATATCGAAGCGGATGCCCTTGGTCGAGTTGGCCTCGAGGATGGTGCGCATGCTCTGGGCGGTGCGGCAGGGGACGGTCGACTTTTCGATGACAACCTTGGACGAGGTGGCGACCTGTGCGATGCGGCGGGTGGCAGTCTCGATGTATCTGTTTGGTTTAGAAGGGGCGTACGTCAAGGATATTAAAATTACAATCTACAATTTTTTCCAGGGTTCTTCGCCTTTCCCATTTTTGAATCCACGTTGAATTCTGATTCCTTCTGAAGACCTGAGGTCTGATCCAGGGGCCGAGTATTGCCGAACTCCTGTTGACGAAAGTCCCTTATTATTATCTTTCGGACCAGAACCAGATCTAATCCAGTCCTTCGAATGAAGAGATGCAATTCCAATTCCTCCTGGAAGCACGCTTTTTTTTTTTTTTTTTTTTTTTTTTTTTTTACATTCGCAAGGACAATCAAAAGTAGAACAACGAGACACTTACGCAAGATCGGCAGCATAGCCAGCACCCATACCAGACTTCTTGGTGGGGGTGTTGACAGAGACAAAGATCAGATCGGCGTCGATGATGGCCTGGTCAACCTCAGTGGTGAAGAACAAATTCTTGCCGCGGCGAGCAAAGACGATCTCGTCCAGACCGGGCTCATAGATGGGAAGTTCATCCGAGTTCCAGGCATCGATACGGGCCTGGTTCAAGTCGACGATTGTGACCTTGACATCATGGCACTGGTAGGCGATGACAGCGCAGGAGGGACCGCCTATGAAAGAAGCGCGTGGTAGGGTGTGGTGGTCAGTAAGGAACGAAACGACACGTCCACCTTAAATCTTCTCAGGGGCATGAAAAGAGTTCTGCGAACAAGAGGCGAGGAGGGCGTCCATGATTATCCATTCGTTTTCAGGACAGATACACGATTTGGGAAGGGGGAGTCTACAAGACGACGGTGCTCGGATCGATGGGTCTCTGTGGTCCTGCATGATAGAGCATGGCTCGCGCTTCTTCGCGTACGGTGGAGCATCGTCACGGACTGATCAATAGAGACTGGCACAGAAAATAGGGAAGAAGGTCTTACCGACGTAACCGGCACCGATGCAGCAAATGTTAACCATGGTAGTAGATGGGTCTTGTTGTGGGTGAGGGAAGGAGAGGTGGAATGAAGGAGAGTGATGGAGATGAGAAAGAGGGAAAAGAAGAAGAGATGATGGCGAGTAATAAATATAGTTTTTATATTATCAGAGAGACAGGGACGATTCCAATTCCGGGACTTGATTCGACAAGGATTTTGGATTTATCAGAAATGAATAAGTGGACCCGTTTATTTTTGGCACACAGCATTGAACAGCGGGCCTGTTTGTTGGCTCCGTTATCTGTTCGTGTCTTTTTACACTCCATCCCTACGTCCGAGCGAAACATCCACGCACCCCTGCCAGAGGCTACATAATGGTCTGTACCAGATCGTCGTATGCTGCTGTACAGCTCTCCCCTCCCTCAAAAGACGATTCCTCGGTCATACTTTATTGTTCGCGCCCCAGCTGAAATACTCGGCACCTCCTGAACATTCTACAACCGAGTATTTACCAGGTTTCCGGCCGAATCGCACCCTTGTCCCAATTGCTGACCTTCCAGTCGCTGCTGCTTTCCTCTCTCTCCCTCTCCCTCTCCCTCGCTCCAGATTCGACTCCCTATGCAGCATCCTTCCTTCTCTCCCTTTCTCTCTCTCTCTCCTAGTCTCATCTCTCGCTGCCGCTTCCTTTATCGGTCTGCTCTTGGGTTTTCTATCTAAAAGCTCATTCCTGAATTGAACGGCTAGTCTATCTATACAGCACTTCTGGTCTGCTACTCATACTTTTTTGCTCATACACTTGCACTTGCTCTTTTTTTTTTCTTTTTTTCTTTTTTTCTGCACGTTTCCTGTCGAGTGAGTTTTCTATCTCTCTTTCTCTCATATTTAGACCTGGACAACTAATAGATTAGCTACACTCACAGCACATTTATGACTAAAAAAGTATATATTTGTGTGTGTATGTGTGTGTGGAGTGAGGGGTGCGTGTTTATGTGCAGAAATAGGAAAGATGCACTGCGCGTTTAAACCAGCGCTCATCTCATACTCCTCCACTGTGGACTAAAGGGCAAGACTGATAGGACTTTGCCTCGTTGCAGCCGTGTACCCCCAGGCTATGGTTTTTGCCCCTCATGGTGTATTCCTGAACGCTCCTTCGTTGCACTTGCTGCAAATGCTTGTCAGAGTCCGAACCACATCTTTAAAGAAGAAGAAGAAAAAACCCCTCCTTCTTTCATGACGTCGCTCTGTCTTCTACATGTTGCGAACGCGATGATCGTTACACACACATGTCTCCCCAAACGACTCAGGGGATGGCAAAGTTGTGATGTATACATGTTTTAGTCTTAATAATAACTCCATATTCTTGATATACCATTATTCGTGCCGCATCACTCTCGGATCCAAACAAAACCTGAGCTGAGCTTGAGCATATTGTCCTACTATTCGCGTATTAACTGCATCTAAGCAAGAGGACCCTGAAAGGAATCATCAGGTAGAATTTGCCTCTGTGGTACGGCGACCTCAAAAAATCCAAATTCACTGCTGTGCTGTTTTTCTACGTACGGGAAATATGGCGAGTACTTGCAGGAGTAAAAGTCCTTCTTCTCATGAGCTCAGATATCGCTCCAATGTGCACTCATCAACAGTTTCCTGATCTTTCAGAAAAAATATCTTTATTACGTTCAGTCTTTTCAGAATCTGCGCACGACTGAACGTACGCTTTCCCTGTGATTGCGAGACAAATGAATCCATTGCTCGCTCTACATCGACATCTACATCTATATCCTGCCGTTTGCCATTTTTCATTCCGTGGTGCGCGACACAACTTATGCCTTGTTGACCTTGCGCCACTGGGTCTGAGCACCCATGATAGCAGTGGCCGTACTAAAGTAGACAGGTATCAAAAACAGCAATTGAGTTGGATGGGATCATCAGATATGCGCAAGCAGCAATGCAAAGGTGCAAAGCTGTGCAGACAGCACGACAACTTACCCAATGAGACCAACAGCACCATCGTCCAAGTTGAGGTATCCCAAGCCAGTGGCAGGGATGAGCATATCCAAACCATCCTGAAGGAGCTGCTTGTTGACGCTGTGTTGCTCCCTATTTCACATAAAATGATATGACGCGAGTGGTACAGGTTAGTTAACTACAATACCGTAGAGAACTTATGAAGATAATATGAAATACAGTTGAAAAAGCATATCATACTTGGCAAGACTCTTGAGGTCGGTGCGTGCCTTCGACTTCTCGGCCTCGCCGCTGTGAGCAAGACCGCGGGCAGCAGACTCGCGACGGATCTGGATCTGGCGAGTCTTGTAGAGACCGCTGACGAAGCCAAAAACGATACCGGCCAACCAGAATCGGCTGGCGAGCTCGCTGTACTTCTTGATGTTCTTGAACTTGTATGCTCCCGATCCATCGATCTGGGATCAAAGGTACGCAACCGTTTCAGAAGAGTAATCATAGTGTTAGGCGTGTCAGCAGTGAAAGAGCAGATTTGTGCATAATAAAGACTAGACAGGTCGCGTGAGTAGATCCGATGGCTTACAAAGATGATACCATCAAGGGTCAAGTAGCCAGCATATGCCAATTGCTTGCCGATGGTGCAGTATCTCAGGAAGTCGTCCGCAACAGAGGTGGCCTTGGCAGCGTTCTCCAGGTGCTCAATGGGCTTGCCTATATATTATTTGTATGATCCAATTGATCCGGCATGTGTCAATAGATATATTCCTCATCAATGCAAAAGCAACTGCTGTGTGAAAGTGATTAAGAATCCATACCGAAGCGCATCACTAAGATGAGAAGGAGAGCATGAAACCGATCGTTGGTTAGTTACAAGTTCAGTCGTCGTATGAAAAATGCAAAAGTATTGCAGAAGGAGTGTCATTAGAACAATGGTAGATCTAAAGTGCAATTCACTATATTCGAAGATACTCGGATAAAGTGAACAGGATTCTTTGTGTTCCCCGGTGCAGGTCCAGCTGGGAAGGAATGCACGGCTTCGTTCCTGCCTTGTCCATGTATTGCTGTTGCTATGCATAAACTTACGCTTGCGAGACAGACCGAGGGTCTTCTTGAGGTTGTTGAAGCGGGCGACGGTCTCCTTGGTGGCGCCCTGGCGGAGAAGGTACCAGGCGAGGAAGCGGGAGAAATACTGGACGGCTCTGTAGATCTTGTCACGACCGACGGTCGTGGCGGTATACTTGAGCCAGGGCTGGACATTGATGGGTAAGCTGACGGCGGAGGTCATTGTGAGATTCGAATGTGGAATGGAGGAGGACTGATGAGTGAAGAAACAGAAAGAGGGAAAAGGCGGGCGAGCACGGAAGATATAAGTTTGCTCAACGGTTCACACCATTCCTTTGTACTGTGGAAGATGTGCTCTCTCGCGTGTCTCTTGTTGTAGACGTTTCACGTGAAGTTTTTATTCCAACAGCGCGAATCACCGCCGAAGCCGAAGATGGGAGTGCGGGGGGGATCGAGCGGAAAGTGTCTTCGCCCCACGGACGCATCGAAACATCGCCAACTGAGCCCCTCATGGGCCATTGGGGTCCCTGGTCGCCATCTTTTTCCCCAATGGGCCTAGTGATGCGAGCTTGCTGGCTCCTTTGCTCGCTATCCCCATTATCGAAGAAGATGATGCACTGTAATCCACGAGTGCAGACAAGGACTCTCTGGAACTATGTGTCCGATCAGCGAACACGAACCCCGCTTCGCGCAGACATCATCTTTACGATAAATCAGGAACATGTCCCCATGGAACTCGCAGGTTACTCCCAGATCTTGCCATAGTCACTTTGAGCACGTTATGAGGACTGTCCCCTAAAGGTGTAGCCCTGCTTCCCCAGCCGTCGTCCCGGGCCGATCAAAAATGCACGACGTCATTTTTATTTTACTCCACAATGGTAATCAGTCGCACGTAACAGCAGTTTGCAACCAGGATGGAAGCCTATGTTTCTAATCTTCCCGCAAGCATCGATACCACATCTTTGAAGGCTCGGTCTCCAGCACAGATCAAGTCTGCTGACAGGGCTGGCGAAAGCGCATTACTGTCCTTGGGCCGTAGTTTTACATTGCAAGCAAGTTATGAGAGAGAAGGGGAATGTAGAGGATGACACCAATAGGGTTCGGCTGTGGAGGGCCTGAGCTACACAGGATAGTGGGCGCAGAAGGCAAGGCTCGAGGGTGCATCCTGTCCCCGTCCCAAAGTCCATTCCAAAAAAAGAGGTGCTCTACTCCAAAAACGAGGTGTTTCCATGGAAGCAAGGAGCATCGTCATCGATGGGCGGGGCAAAGAGCACCGACAGAGGTGGCCTATGAGGAGGGATGGAGGCAGAGCAGCGCAGGAGTTTCAGTGCAGTTTTTTTTTTGTTGCCCCAATAAGGACTTTCTCATACTTTTGTGCAGCACATTCTCCACCTTCATTTTCTGACCCCGCACCAGCCTCGACCACCACCACCTACACACACACACACACACACACCATCCCCTCCTCTTTCATCCTCCATCCTTCATCATCTTTCATCCTTTTCCATCCCCTCCTTCACGCCTTCAACGGCCCCTTGCTCGACCCCCTGCCCCGCACATACGCACACACCCCTCCTTAGTCTTCGTCGTTGGCTTGGGCCCGCCTCTCCGCTCCCCCCTCATCTCCTGCTGCACCGGACACTCTCCCCACCCCACCGCAGAAACGAAATATCCCCAGCAAAGGCTGATAATTGATGGCGAAATCGTACGGAACCATGACCGAGGCCCACCCCGCCCACCCTTCGCCCTCCTCCAGCACCACCGCCACTCAGCCAGAGAGTGCCCTGCCTAAAGACAACCGCAGTCAGCAGCACCGCCTCCACAACCATGACCAGGAACGAGCCTCGTCTGATGAGTCGCCTCTTCTGAACCACGGACCCCATCACAACCAGGATCTGGGTCACGGTAGCGAAGTCGGCCCCTCAGCTGGTTTCTGGAGCTGTGTAAGTCCCTGTTTCGTTTTTGACTTTGTGCCTGGTGCGCTGTTTCACTCCACTCTGTACCTGGTACGCTGTTTCACTTACTCCTCAGTGCGTGGGAAGTGCGGAGCATTCGCCTTTGCCGCTCTGTTTGGGCCGTATATTAATCCGTCGTGGACCTGCAGAAATAATAGCAGTTGTGCCCTGACCTAAGCCGAGAAATGCATTGCTCTGGGCCCTGTCGTTTCTGATTGTATACTCACCTTTGCATTCGCTTTATCTCTTCGGACATGGTTAGACAATCAACTTGGCTAACACAATTTTGGGCACAGGGATGCTGGCCATGGTACGTTACTCAGCAGCAAGGATAGATCAGAAGCACTACTCGATGTCTCTCTCTCCCTCCTAATGTGCCAGTCACTCTTTTTTTTTTTTAGCCAGGAGCATTGGCCTCTGTAGGATTGCTGCTTGGAAGTTTCATGATCGTCTTCTCGGCCTGTGCGTCTGCACTGGGACTTTATTTCTTGACAAGGAGCGCCAGTAGAACCGAGGGCCGTGCCGCTTCGTTCTTTGCCTGCTCCAAGCTCACCTACCCTTGGGCAGCCGTTATCTTTGACTTTGCGATTGCGATCAAGTGCTTCGGTGTCGGTATCTCGTACCTCATTATTATCGGTGATCTGATGCCCGGCGTCGTGAGGTCTTTGAGCACAATGGCGTTTATTGCGGCAGGTGGCGATGGCTCAGGAGAGATGGATCCCATTTTGTGGTTCCTGATAGATCGTCGATTCTGGATCACCATTTTCATGGGTATCATTGCGCCCATTTCGTTCCTCAGGAGACTGGACTCGCTCAAGGCCACCAGTGCATTGGCCCTCGGCGCCGTCGTCTATCTGGTTTTTATCGTGGTGTACTACTATGTTAACCCGGAACAGCCGTTGCCCACAAAGGAAGAGATCGACCTTGTGAAGTTCAATTCTCATTTCTTGACGACACTGCCGATCTTCGTCTTTGCGTTTACTTGTCACCAAAACATCTTTTCCGTGTACAACGAACTGAGCGACAACGGCCAGAGCATGCTCAACAGGATCATCACCAGCTCAATCGGAAGTGCCGTCGTGGTCTATCATATTATCGGTGTCCTGGGATATCTCACATTCGGAAACGCCGTCGGCAGTAACATTATCCAGATGTACAACGCATCGCTGCTGGTGACCATCGGTCGCATTGCCATTGTCATCTTGGTCATGTTCTCGTTCCCGTTGCAGTGCCATCCTTGCAGGGCATGTCTTGATAAAGTGCTTTTGGCTGCTGGAGAGCTCTGGGAGACGACACGGTTTGGCAAGAACAAGACCTACAACTCTTTGACCGCCCATGACGCGGACGACAATGATGCGCACCCACATACCCCGACCTCTGTAACACTCACTACCACCCACCAACTTGACGACCACGGTGCACCAGCTTCGGAAATCCCCCAGGTCAAGTACGTTGTCATGACCACCGCCATTCTGATTGCCAGCTATATTATTGCCATCACCGTCTCGGAGCTGGAGATTGTGCTGTCGTTTGTTGGATCGACGGGATCGACCGCAGTCTCGTTTATCCTGCCTGGCAGCTTCTATTACAAGTTACACAAGAACGACCCCTGGACCGGACCTAAGATCCTGTCGGTATGCCTGATGTTGTACGGATGGCTAGTCATGTTTGTCTGTCTATCTGCCAACATTCATCGTGTCCTCAGCGGATGATAATAGACTCTCGAATCACAATCCATACAGGACATAGACAATACATAGAGCAAACCCTTCCTTCGCTCATTCATTTGCTTCTTCAGTATTTTCGCAATCCGTAATACTCGTCTACCATTCATACCTTTAGCAATTTGCTTGCCAATAAACGCATTCATACTTTTCAAGCGCACTGACAAAAGGATCTTGCTGCTTACTTGTTTAAGAATGAACTGCTGATCTGGTTCGCGAACCATGTACGAGGCATGGCCGGCCGAAATGGCACCGCCACCACGGATGTAGACAAGGCAAAAGAGCCTTTTACTTGCCAGCTGTGCGTTCAAATTTCAGGCACGAAATTTGACACTACGTTGTTTCGAATCACCTCCGCACACTCCATGCCACAACTACATCTCAAAGAGAAATCGTGATCGAATGGACCCTAACAATGACCCTGATGCCCATCTCAACAAGGACGTTCCAGTCCTTCTATCGATTCAAGAACGTCGAAGGCAGTTGGAGGCATTCCAAGCAGGTATTGGAACGCCACTAATACTGGTACAGAAGACGACGCTCTCAGCATATTCTTTCGTAGAATGCTAACACGGCATCCATGTTTTTACAACATAGAACGGGCGCTAAACAAGTCGCTTAGAACTTCGGTACGGGGCACAGGTCGACCAATACCACATCCTCCCTCAGCGCTCAGTCGGTCCATATTCCGTCCAACGAAATCTATTTCTGCAAACAAACTGACACCTGTAAGCAAATTCGTTGCGACAGATCCAGAGCAAGCAGATGGCGCCGCAAAACAGGAGCAGCAGACAGGAGACGATCGGGAAAACGGCGACACAACTGTGCATGAATTCAATACCCAGCGAATCATTCAACATTTTGACGCTCTCTCAAAGAAGAGCAAACCTATGCAACATCCATTGGGAGTACGGCGGTATGGTGCAACGGCACACCGTGTTGAGAAGAAACCTCCTCCGACGCACTCTTGGAGATTACACACGGAGACTTCTAGCAGGGTTCGGGACACAGCGTCTGAAGAATTGATGGTCGATACCAACATCACTGTCCAGGACACACGGGCAGGGTCATTAACTAACTCGGACGAGTGGAAGGACTTTGAGGATAAAAGAAGCAGCTCGACATTACCCTGGATCAGTGGGAGCTTTGCGATAAAGTCATCCGAATTCCTGGGGACAAAGAGCGTTCGTCAAGATCGGCCACCAGCGCTTGCACCTGGTAAGCGTCAAGAGGAACTTTATTTGTCGCAGGTACGGCTAATGCAGTGGTACGAGATGAGTCGAAGAGCTGCCCAACACTTCCAAGAACAAGAAAAGTCTGCGGAGGTAATTATTTTGGGCGATGGCGAGATCTGTATTTTGTCAACTTTGTCATTTACTTGCTTTGGTTCTAACACAGTGTAATTTATGATTTGTTAGGGACAATTTGAGGTGGTCGGACGATTGATCCTGGACAAACAGAAAACGCTGCAGAGTTTGAAACAGCGATTTGAAGTTGAAAAAGAACTAGTGGAGCTCGAGGCTACGCTCGGATATCAAGTAAGTGTAAGGTCGGCTTTGTCGCCTCAGTTCGCTACAACGAAACGCTCTCATGACACATACCACTTCATTTTCCGAATCATAGAGGGATCAGCTCATGGCAGTTATTAGCGGTCTGGGGTCGTTCAAGGACAGCTACGAGAGTTTCTCGGCTACACTAGACCACGAGAGCAATGTTCTTTCTATTCCCGGGATCGATAATCATAATCTGGAGCTATGGCAGGGTCAGATCAGGCAGTGCCAGACTGCGCTGGAAACATGGTCCAGAGATGAAAGCAAGAATGGTGAACTGGTATGTACACGTCCTTATGGATCATTGAATGAGTATCGTTGACTTGATGTCAGTTTCTCATACTGCTTCTGTATATCGTTTTGCTACCCCGTCAACCAGATTCAGGGGATTGCGCTAGCCATGGGCAGATTGTGCGACATTGTCGATCAAGAGATCCAAGAGCTAATGCAGTGCATGACGCTTCTTGCGAGAGTCCGCGAGGCAGAGTCGCTGGAGAGCAGTTTGCTGTCCTCCAGCATAAATCCGTGAGCTGTGCCTTGAAACCCTCAGTTGTTTTGTGTTGCCCTTAAGAACAAGGACGAGAGGAGCACCGATGCGTTGCTTGTAGGCGCGATATCCATCTCGCATAAGGTCTCTTTCACGCTCAGGCATACGCCGTGAGAGGTTTAGACTGTTTCGATTGGGTTTATATTTGCAGCACAGCTGATTAAACAAAATAGACTCTGCCTTACTGGCATGGCAATCAACCTTATTTCCTATGGCGCACAGAACACACCTGATGATCCCCCATAGAGCCTTGACGCGTCTTGACGTGTCCTTACATAGGTATATTCTTCAGGTCGCTCTTGGTACCCACATGGGATCAAGTCTGAACACCGAACAGCTTTCTCTCAAGTTCAATGAATATTCCCTGGTTTAGCATTGGAATGATGCTCTATCCTCTGATCATTACTCGCGTGTTCTGTTAAAATAAATATATTTGGTATCGTTTATTGTTGCTGTGAGCTGTGCCAATCGCTCTCACGTCCCATGCTGCAGAGCAATTATTTCTATGAAGACATGTTCTCGACAAACAAAGGCAAGAAGGCCAAAAAAAAAAAAATAAAAAAAAAAAAAAAAAGTAAGTAACTGTCATTTGATTATACAACAAGCCCATGGAAAGCAGCCGCGTCTCAGCTTTGATGTTTTGCTCAGCTGATCCAAAAACTAGGCCCCAAGGCAGAGAGCATCGATTGCAATGGACGGGTTTAGACTGCATGGTGTTGGACTTGGGACATTCTACACGCAATGAGCACACCTTTGGACATCTTGCCGCCAGACCTAGATCGCAACCCTGGGTCTTTAACGTAAAGCCTAGAGCTCGCTTCCTTCCAGGCATTGAAGCTCAAGGGGGCTCTATCTGTAATGAACAGATTTCAAGGAAGCGCAATGAACAGGATCCACATCCACCCTCGGGGTCGCCGCTTAAGAGTTCAATGCTCGCGTCGAGTGCAGGGGCTCGTTGGATGCAGATGCGCCATTACTGTAGCCATAGGTCCTCTGACGTTTGATAGTCAGTCTGGGCTGGCCGATTCCTGCACGGCATCCATAAAAGTGTACTCTTACCTAATACATACGGCGTGCTGACAGGAATAGACATGAAGAGTAAAGAGATGAGGAGCATCTGTAATATACTATTTTGCATGGATTTTGTGCCAGCCTCCATACCTGCAAACACAGCAACTTTAGACACGTCGTGCCGGAAAGGAGGTTTGCAATTGTCACACGCCCTGAAAACAGTGGCAACGCACAGACCATTTTGACAGACCTCATCTCATTCTTGTCCTTCCTCTGGTTCTCTCTTTCTTCCTCTTTTCTGCCATAGTGCTCTTCTCTCTTCTTCTCTACACTCTTTCCCTCTTCGTCCTTGTCCTCCTACATATGCCAACAAACTACGTTATCTGTTCACTCAATCACGCTTAGTTTCGACCATGCCCAATCTCATTCTCTTTTGTCTCACTGACGGAGAACCCACGTCGAGGGCGTTTTCAGTTTCGATACCACCTACGGAAACCATCAGTAACCTCAAGAATCTCATCAAAGCCAAGAAGACTGTCGCTTTTGCTGATGTCGCAGCAGATGTGCTCATAGTCTGGCGTGTCTCGGTTCCTGTCATCGCTGCCAACGTCCGCAATGCGGTCTTCCTGAACGGGATCGATTCCAGGACAGAGCTCAGCCCAAAAGACGACGTCTCTGATGTCTTTCCAGACACACCAGCCAAGAAAACAATTCACATAATTGTTCAGCGGCCACCAGGTAATACATCGCGAGTTACATTCCTAATGGTGCATGGACTTGGATTTGCCCGCTGTATCTGTTTTTTTTGTGCGAAATACTGATTCTTGACCTAATCTTTTCTTGTCGCTTTTCCTGCTCTTCTTGTAATTCAATATACAGACCTTATATCAGAGCGCCAGTTCGTGCAACGTGTTTTGGAACCTGTTACCGACATAGACCGAAGAATACACGGGGCGACGACCGACACGACTCGTACATATTCGTTGACCCCTGCGTCAGTTGCCGTGTAGGATGATTTTTTAGCCCTGGTGCGCCAAATGCCACTTGAGACTGAGCCAATCCATCCACGTCCAAGCTTTCTACAAGACAGGAGGTTTACAATCGAGCAAAGTCTGCTCGAATTCTTCCGCCGCAATGTCGGTTCCGTTCAAAGCTTGCCCCCCTTTGCAGACACTCTCAGTTCCGCGGGTCTGCTATATGGTATTCCCGATCTGGTATGCTCACGCCAGGATGACTTCGACTCAGTATTATTTCCGATCGAAATGAAAAAGCCCTCCTCCCTGCATTTGGATGATGGCACCAGTTAACCAGCCGCTTATCAGACACAAGGATCACGGGCACAAGGCCCGGCTAGTGCGCTAGAGCAGATATTCAGATACATGCGGTCCAACGGGTTTCGATATGGCGTACTGTCTACCTACACCCAGACTTGGTTTATCAAGAGAGTCAAGGAGCGTGAGAACGACATCCTAGTCTCGCCTACAATCCAGTTCGACAGCACAGGGCCAACATTACTTCAATGTTACTTGTGATTGGTCAGGACGGCAGACAGGGACGTTGAATGGCAGCCGGACAGTCTCGATAAGTCTAATGTTGACAACATGCTCACAAACGAGCAGCCTGAATACAAGGCTGCGAAACGTGATCGCGACTGGAAGCCAAGCTCTGGCGGAAGCTTAAGGCAAGGAATGAAGTGCATTTTTACGCGAAGTAGAAACAAATAGGTTGATGCATTCCGGTTGGATTTTTTTTTTTTCATCATAGATGATTAACCATCCCATACTATATGGTAATACAGTGCCAGGGAACAGTCAAGGGTCACGGAACGAGAGCTTATCACTATCCCTGCCTTCGAAAACATGGAGCTTATCGCTCAAGGTGAAGAAGGTGCCCGTACGTTCCGGGCGTCATGGCCGAACGAGGATGTTGTGCTCAAAAAAGCCGACAGATGGAATCAGCGAGAGGTTGTTCATGAGTTAGAGCATGAGGCAAGAGTTTACCAGGCTCTGCAGAAACTGCAAGGGTAATGGATACCCAAGTTGAAGATAGCCGGAATAGCAAATGAACTGGAGATGATTCTGGTCACGGAATTTGTAGGACCTAACCTCTGCGAAGAACACTTGGATTCATCTGATCGGAAAAAGATCCGGGCGGCACTGTCAGCAATCCACAGGCTAGGTGTCCTGCATGGTGATATTCGACCGCACAACACTGTGGTGCGGCGCGATGGTGTAAACTCGCAGTTCTTTTTCATCGACTTCGGACGTTCGAAATTTACAAGAGGGAAAAAAATTCTGAAGCACGAGGCGAAAGTGTTGGAATCGCTGCTTGGGCACAATGCCTTGGCCAGAAGGTAAGTAACTATAATTCATGATACAGTCCTCTCTCATTTTCGATACTTTTTTTCGTCGAAAGTGAGATCGCTAAAGATTCCAGCGATTCTATTGGCTGGAGGGGCATTTTCAGTCAATCAGAGTACTCTATATCTAGGCTCGTAGCACTCTGCCCTCCATCATCCCCATCCCCATCCTCATCCTCATCCTCGCCAGCGTTCCCAGCATCACTAGCATCGCCAGTACCAGTGCTCCATAATCCCTCTCACCACGTTCTACCCATGCTTCCTAAGATTGCAGACGCGCTGGACCGACCTAAGTCGAGCGAGGACGCTTCATTGTCGGACGCAGGTCGCGGTAGTTGGACACTTGCTAGCAAAAAGCGGATCATGGACAATTGGGATATCTTTCACAGAGGCTATCAGGACCTGCTTGGCAATCCTGTACCAGAATTATCACCATCAATGAAAGACTTTGAGACGGCTAACAAGCTGCCACCTAAAACGATCACCCGACTCATAAAAATGAGGCCTTTTATCAACAAAATGCCTACCGGCTCTTTGGATACAAGGTGCTACACCAAAGCCCACATCCGCGAGTTTTATCCAGTCGAGACGATTCTTCACCAGGAGATCCAACGTCTCCGTAAAATGAACGTGCCGGTAGATCAATGGCTGTTACAGTTGCTTGCAGGAGAGGTATACGACCTGCTTGTGGAAAGAAATGGACCACTCACGTTTGAAAAGCCTAGATTCTCGTCCGGTTGGGTAGCCAGTTTCAAGGCCACCTGGGGACTGTCGTTTCATAAGCTGATGGGCGAGGCAGGGTCGGTTGATTGGGATGCGATAGCGGGGCAAGTGGAGGGTCTCAAGTCAATTCTTGCGACCTATGATCTGAATGACATCTACAACGCCGACGAGACTGGCCTTTACCTGCAGACCACCTCAAGTTGGACGCTCGATGTCGAGATGAAGGCCGGAGCAGCCATTCCAGCATCGCGCGTCTCCATTCTCTTCTGCACCAATGCCACAGGAAGCGACAAGCGAAAGCCTTTTATTCTCAGTAAGTATCCTGTCAGAAGTTGATATTCGGAACGAGGAGAGACATGGTTTATTTTTATTTTTATTTTTATTTTTTTATGCTGGATGCCATGTTGATCATATTTGGATCCATTTAGGCGAAAACCTTGCTTCTGGCTTCAGGAAAGATGAAACGCTGCAGCGCTTGGTGGATGTCATGCCATGGGATACTGCAAAGCAACCACGCAAGTCCAAGGCAGCTAAAGCAGCGGCAGTCGCCCAGCAACAGCATCATGACGCTAGTGGACAAGATGGCGCACCTGGCAATACACAACACCAGCAACAGGAGGCCACTTCACAGCATACCCAGGCGCAGAAGCGGCAGACTAACAAGCGAGCAGATTACATGACCAAGTATACCTTTACCCACTGGCTGCGCCAGTTCCAGCAGGACATCGTCGCGGAGGACCCTGATCGGCGCGTGGTCCTGCTCATCGACAATGCATCATGCCATGCAGTGGTAGAACGGTGCAGTGTCGATTTTCCGAACATCAAACTGCTGCTTCTGCCGCCGAACTCGACATCAGTAACACAGCCCCTGGACGCAGGAATCATTGCTGTTTTCAAGAGGCGGTATCGTAATCTCATCCTAAAGTTACGTGTCTTCAAATCCTCCCAGCCAGTGCCAGACCCCAATGCGCCTCCTAAAGCGGCCAGCAAGGGAAAAAAAAACACGAGGAGGGCCAAGGCAGTCGACAAGGCCATGAAGTCGAAGAAGGATGGGTCTTTTAGGGTGTCCAACCTCGAAGGATGGCACATGATAGCTGCTGCCTGGAACGAGGTGGAAGGCAAGTCCATCCGGAGCTGCTTCAGACACGTCCCCATTTTCGGCGAGGCCCAAAAACAGCAACTTTCAACGCACACTTGTTTAGAAGAGGAGGTGGTTGCGGCGCTCAAGGAGACCCAGCAAAACATTCTCCATCGGTTCAGGGTGCAGGGTTACCACGACTCAGTGAGTGGCAGAGACCAAGGTCAGAGCGGCTCGTCAACAACGCCAGTCCTAGATATTTTAATGGACGCCGCGGAACAAAACGCCCTCGTCCCAGAAGATGGCTCTTCGTCAGCAATATCAAGAGGTGTTTCAATCATGGGTGCTCTTGAGAGCCATGAGAAGCTGCTGGCTTCAACCGCGAAACTTTTGGATGGCTCGCCTTACATATGCGAAGTCATTGATCAACTACAGGAGGACCCCGATTTCATGTCCTTCTTCTTGTCACTACAGACGGGTTCGGAGCTTTTGGATGGCGACTGGCTAGAGAGCACAAGTGATGGCGAAGGCGCGGAAGACGACGATTTCGTGGTGGTGCCCAATCCATTCTTGGTGGTAACCAACGACAGAGGGTCTCCTCTGAAGCCCAAACATATCAACAAGCCTTTACACAGCCGCGTCTATATGAGCCGAGTCGAGCAATTGGCTTCCTCAGAGTACTCTGACACTGACCAGTCGGGACCACAAACAACTTCGACTGAGGAGGAAGGATCTATCGACGAGCATTGGGAGAGTGAAGAGGAGGAGGTCACAGGGGACAAAGCTGTTGGCGAGAATATCGTCAATCTATTGAGTGCCGCTGCAGTTTTGATGACCTCAAAGAAGCACAGGCGATACAGGAAACAAGTGGAGCTGCTTGCAGATACTCTCATGAGCAAACGCATGGATGACGCCTCAAAGAGCTACCGTACGTCCTTCGCCGAAGACTACAGATCCAAGATGGAGGCATTCAACAAGAAGAAGGCAGCTCTGCGCGTCGAGCAAGCGCGGGTCAACAAACGTTTTCCGCCAGCAAGCAAGACCGTCAAGCCAGCACACACCAGAGTAGTCATGCCACGATGATATTTATTGATATCCCTTTGCATAAAAAAAATACATATATTGAAATCAGTACGCCTAGGAGCGGTGGCGATGAGGATGAGGATGAGGATGAAGATGAGGATGGGGATGATGGAGGGCAGAGTGCTACGAGCCTAGATATAGAGTACTCTGATTGACTGAAAATGCCCCTCCAGCCAATAGAATCGCTGGAATCTTTAGCGATCTCACTTTCGACGAAAAAAAGTATCGAAAATGAGAGAGGACTGTACGTGTCGGGTCAAATTAATTTCTCATTCTACTAACCTTGTTCTCGTACAGGGTTGAGTCCCGAGATAGGAGAAACCCCACCGCTCTGAGCCAAGACGCTACGCTCTACCCCAAGAGATGGAATTTGCTGTCATACTAATGGGGATATTTGCTCAAGACTATTCAGCTGCTGGTCTAACTCAAAGGGGGAACTGTTCGAATGCCGATTTGTTTCCTCTACTCTACAAAGCATCAAAACGATAAATTGCTCGTTCTCATGTTGGAAGCAAGAATGAAATTGCAGTGAAATGCACAGAAATAAAACGACATACAGTCAACTCTTTATAAAGGAACCCCTCTGGGTCCGGTCTGGCTATTTCCTTTACAGAATGGGTGATTTTAAAGTTTCGATATCCGTTGCTGAACTGACAATAGCCTTGTTCTCAATCATTGCATTAAGA